TGGGACGGGTTTGACAAGGAGAAGTGTCACCTGTCCAACCTCATGTATTTTCTCCAGGTTCTCCTGTTTCTCTCACTGCTAACGACAGGTATGCGCAAGAGAATTAATGAAATAAAATTGAACGTTAAACCCTCTCATGATATCAACAAATGGTTCAAATAGGCCAAAATATTTTTTTAATGATTTAACATGAATGGTAAAAATTTAGATTTGACAAATAAAGCAAAATATTTTTTTTTTTATATTTTTAGCTATTTTGACATTTTTTGTTGATATATTATTATCGTAAACAATGACTGTATATATATATACCTACTTGTATATTAAAGTAGATATAGAGTACAAATACTTAAATGTTTACGGTAGAGAAATACATGAATAAATAACAAAATATGTCCAGTAAAAAAATCAACTACTTTTACTTCATTCTGATATACCTCAAATCATAAACTGTCTACTCTTTCTCGAGCGTCTTCATATGTTAGTTGTATATACCTACATGTACATACAAATGGTTAGTGGAGATGGGGTAGGAGTGTGGAAATCAAGCTTTGTTTTCTATCCTGTACATTTATTATCTCGAAGCTCCTATTTATGTACATGTATTATCATTTGATCCAGCAGATAGGCAGATCCTACCGGCCACACCAGTCCAGCCTCTGCTACTCTTTTAAGGGAGTGCTGCAATCCCTCCTCTCATATTGTGAAATGTGTAATTACATGTAGGGATTGTTCTGAGGTCAGTTATTGTACATTTACATACATATGCATAATATTTGGGCTTAACATTTGTTTGAAGATCCGATTCTTCCACCCATCGACAGTACATGTACTTTCAATAAGGAGTTAATTCGTCACTATCTTGGATTTGTTGGTGGATTTATAAAGTATTATAAGTTTATACTTCAACAGGAAGAAATTTTATTTGATTTGTGGTTCTCATTGATTGTCTGAAAATAAGACCTACACACTTTCCATGAAATACGTGGTATGTAAATCACATAAAATTGGGATTGGGTCAATAATAGTGAATGAGTATGATGTAATAAGTTATAGGATGGGTTTATTTCCTGGGGATATCTGCTATATAGATAAATATACACATATGTTTTATTAAAGATAGATTTAAAATAACCACACAAATTGTATAAATAGTTTTTAGAGGACCAAGTGGAAGGGAAATTTGATATTTTCTGAAAAATGCAAATAATGCACAGAAACTTTAAAGATACATTGTGGGAGATTCAATAACGAGTTGACAGTTCTCACTATAATAGATAAAAACTAAATAACGTAAAGGCAATTTGCCGAAAATTTCATTCAAATTGATCCACTATGAATCGAGAACTAAGCGAATAAAATATCTGCCTAGCCTCGGTCACCATTACTAAAGTCAGTACACTAAACAGCATAGTCTCGATTATCCATTTAATCGTTAAATCGAGACGGAAAGTTATGCAGTAAATCGGCTCACAATCCACTTAAGATCACAGGCTAGTGATGCCATCTAGAGTTGATTATGGTCTGGATAAGTTAATTAATGTCTAATTAATAATTTAGATAACATTTCAGGCCTAAAGAAAGACCTGCAATAGTAGGCAGATTTAGCTCTTACATAATGTATGTTTAACTTTAATTAAAATAAAGCCTAGGATAAAGCATATTTTTTCGCCTGATCATGCAGATTGAAATTCGCCAGCGATTTTTTATGGCCGATCACAAATGGGCGCACTTAGCGATTGTCTCAAGAGTGTACACCATTCTGTGGGTAAATTATGTTGATCATGTCACTCATGTGGACACCATTTTGAGATCATGTGATATCAGTGAAGTTTTCGATTAACTTATAAGTATGGTTCGCTTGACAATATACGCTGGACATGGACAGAAGAGCGGATTTTCCGGCGAATCGATTTGCGGTGTATAATATTTGACCCCAAAATATATAATAATATGCTAGATACAGGCGATCATCTGGTAAATGTTTCACCGAGCGGAATTGTTGTCACTGTGAAAGGGCACACAGGCGATTTTTGAGATTGATTTTGATAATTGGCATGCTTGGGTGGAAAAATACGCTCGTCTCATAATGCAGCTTATTCTTTCTTATTATCTACATGTAAGTGCAATTGTGTGAGAAAATAATTTGATATAATCTTCTTGTGAAACCCTTCCTACTAAATTTAAATGTTCATTTAAATTATATGATCCTTGTGATATTAAAGCTGTTATCTTCTGTCCATTAGTTCATAAGGAAATAGATAACTAAATCATTAAACTTGACTTGTTAAAAGTGAATTCAATTAATTATAATAAGTAAAAGTTAAAACACACACAAGTACATGTATTCATATGTAGTTGTTATATTTAAATAAGATGTGTTTTATTGTCTTTCTATGTATATCACAATGAATAAGTTGTTTAGTTGCATATTCATTCTTAAAAGAAAGCGGGAAACACATTATCTCATATCCATTCATTTTGATATTGTGGTGCACAAGTTTTTTATTTTCACAAAGTAGGTATCGGTACATGTACTTTTAGTACATTGCTGAGGTACTTTTAGTAAACCGTATGTGATGGGGATTAAGATTTGTTCATATGCAATGGGGTTGCCGTTTGTATACTTTGTAGTCTTATTGATATAAGACTGACCATTGTAGAAACAAAACAGCTTTCTTTAAGAGTACATGTATGTTTTTGTAGGTTTACACACCAGCTCTTGATGGACAAGTTCAAAAGTTTTCTCTTCTTTTTGAAGCGTTTTATTGTATAGAGGGTGTACTTATAACAAGTTCTTGTTGTGTTTTTTCTTCTATTCTCTAGATTATATAGACTAGAGGTAGAGATAGGGTGATGGTCAAAATACAATATTGTAGATCAACATTTGAGTATAGACACAGCCATACGTTAATTAGTTGACTGTCTGTCAAGAAACGAAGGTGTCACAAGTTTGACCCATGGCTAAAATAAACATCACCTGTTGTAGCCATTTTATTGTAGTTTTTTTTTTAGACTTGAAGGACATCTTTAACAAGCACAAATTTGATTAGATCTGATTAGGCCTTTACATTCATTTATTTGAATGTAGTGTTTGAAGTATTTGACATCACTTGATGGATTCACTTCATCATTTAAATTAACGATATACACACATGACTAATTAGTATGATGTGCCAAAAAGACATACTGTGCTCTTTAATTCAATTTCAGACCTATGTTATGCCCAGTCAGTGGCACATTTGATTCAAAATATTTGCAAACCTTTCCCATATATTTATCAAGAGAGGAATCCGCGTAACCAGAGATGAACTGTCAGAGGTGCTGCCTCTGGGGCTGACATGGGAATGCATGCCTAGTTATTTGGATTGGACAACAAAATGATGTCCACCTGTGTAAACATTGAGAGAAACACTGTCGCCCGGACAATGTTCTCCAACTCATGCTGCACATGTAACCGTAGAAATATGAATTACATTATGTTAGCCTCAAAATGGCCAGAGTTTTGTGTATTCAAATTAAAATATAAACATGTTGGAATGAAAATTAAAGATATCCAATATATAAACTGCATATCTAATAAAGTTATATAAGTTGGTGAAATGAACACGATAGATATTATATGTACATAGGTAATTGTGGATGTTTAATGTAATTATCATTGATTAATGTTGATTAATTACCTGTAATTAGTTTAACTAGTTTGATTATTAATTATCAGTTGTCACTTGTTATGAATCATCTTTTTTGTAAAATGTATCACTTCAGCATTAAGAAATAAAAAAGGTTAAACTATGTAATAAATGTGGAATAGAGCGGAATGTCTTTAAGTAAAGTCTTTAGTCTTGTTTTGATAAATTAGTACTTGAGACAGTTTTTCTGGTATACCCTTTGTTAGAGTTTTTCTGGTATACCCTTTGTTATGAACCAACTCAAAAAGGGAACCTTTTCGGGTTAAAATTTTTTTCTTGGGAGTTCTCCCATTAGACCATCAAAAACTTTTCGGAAAAGATCTATTTGCCCTTCTATTTTACCAGATTTTGTAAATATTTTGTACTTTTTCATTTAATTCACATTTTTTATGTGAAGATAATAATTTTGGATTATGTTGACTAAATGCGTTATCCTGAATCCAGTGTCTGCTTAAGATTTAAGTAAGGTGTTACATGTCATTCGTCAAGTATTGAGCAAATACATTTAATGGCCTTGCATAATGAGAGTTCAGTATCCTGCTGGAATTCGTTTCAGAATATTTCAAGAATAATTTGGAAATCATTTGCCAATGTATATGCCCTGCAGTATATAATTAAAAAATTTCTGTGCATATTCAGCTATTAATAGTATTAATGATCATTATCTCAACTTTGTATACATAGTAAAAATTAAGACTAAAAATTGAATTTTCCAATTGTACAAGTACTTTCTTTCAGGTCTTTCTTTAAGCCATAAATGTTATATAAATTATTAGTTAGACATTTTAAATTAACTTACCAAGACCATAATCAATCCTTGATGCCATCGGATGGCTGCGATATATAAGTAGATTTAAATACATTTTGCGCTTGGTGCTGTTACCGTAAAAATGGATAATCAAGACTTTATTTATTATCGTATCAACGGTAGTAATGACAATCAAGGCTAGCCTATAATTGTATCGTTGATATCCAGACTCAGAGTGAAGTAACTGGACTGAAATTTTCATCAGATTCTCTTTTCATTATCTATTATAGCGAGAACTGTCAGCTCTTTATCTCATCTTACCTAAAGCCGCTTTAAAGAGTCCCTCCCAAATAAATATTTCAATGAATAAAAGTGGCTAATTTGGGTAAACAAAACAGGAAAGCAACTACGGACAGAGCTCATATTAAATGAAAACAATCATATGACAGGGGAAGTAGTTCAGTTTTTCTGATACTAAGCAGATTCATAATATATTTCCTCACCTCATCTGCTTTAGGGCTCTCTTTCAATTTTATAAAATTTTCAATATTGTATTTCAGGTTTATGTAATGAGAGTTAGTTGGTCTGATGGTGGAACATATATTATATATAGACGTTATAGTAGATTATTTGACTTACAGGTATGTAATATTAATCTGATAATCGCTATAGATATAAATGATTATACACATTGAGCAATATATAAGTTTATTTAGGTTAGAATATTTAAAGAGGCAATAGCACTAGTTCTTCAGTTGATAAAAAACATGATTTACATTTGTACATGTACATGTACCTGTAGATTGTATGCAAAATTGGTGCCAAATGATAGCTGAGATTTTACAGAGTTTTTAAATTTCAATTTAGGGGGTGAATATATTGTTTTTAGTGGTTTTAAGAAAGTTTAATGATGCTTGTTAAATAATACCCTGCTTGTACATTTAACACATGTAAATTGGTGAATCTAGGGTTATTTGAACATAGATATTTATCAAAATGAATTACATTTATTTTCTTGTTGAGTGTGATAATACCCTTTAAACATATGTTCACTTTGCAAATATTTAAAAATGTCATATAAATATATTATGTATGATGAAATTATGTTACAGTATAAACAATAAATGTCTATATATATAATACCTGTTGTAACAGAGTACAGTTTATAATATAATTCTGTTTACAATGGGAAAAAATAAATAGAGACGCCAAACACAAACAGAATCTTTTGGGATCAGATAAAATCAGTTTTGTCCTTGAAGTTAAGTTCCCTTGAGAATGTTTTCTATTTCGCTTTAATCCTCAAACTTGTTTGTGGGTACAAAAGTGGGGAGGTACATGTAGAATAAAAGGCATAAAGCTGTTTCATAATTTTATTTTGAAGGCTGTTGAATTCCTTTATGGTTATCTATAAACGATATACCGGTACCATATTTGACATAATAACCACCTGACTCCTGTAAATGCCTGCTAACTGTTTTTTTCTTTAAATTGTAATAAGTAATATGACTCACCTATCAAATAAGCCATACAACTTTCATTACAGTAAAACAACAAGGGTTTGTAATAAGGGCCCCCTTATTAAACTGAACAATTTTATAAGTCCATATCCCCACTCATCTTTTCATGTTAAGATAACATCAATGTTGATTTAAATTAACCGATAAGTCGTGTTTGCAATGTCAAAGACTGTGGATGATATTGAGTTGACGACTTGCCTCCTTTAAACTACTTCAAGAAGATGTTTGTTATCACAAAATGACCTATTTTGTATCTTTAGAACAACAATAAAATAAATGTAGATTAAAATATTATAAATTTTAATAATTGTGTCCATGTATTCATGTGGCAATTCACCTTTTATTGTCCAAAATTTTCAGCTAGGATTCTCCAGTCATTATTAAGCAATTTTTTGATAAATTGAATTATCAGATGAAAATTGTTTATTTCAACTGAGAGATGTTTTAACTAAGATTTTCTAATCTCTATCAAGAACATTTGAATAATAAATTAAATTTGTTTTTTGCCTGAGAGAGATCGAGAGGAACAGGGTTTAACTTCCACTCGATACAAACTAGTTTATTGCTAAATCTGATTAAAACACTTGTCTTTACTACACTAGGATCTGGAATAGTTCTTATATAATCCACATTCTTGATGATGTTATGGATTAGCCAATGAAACGATCTGTTACGGCAAGTTCTTGGCGTGCTATGCGCAGAACTGTGGGTGTTCTACTAGAAACATCAACGTTGATTGGTTAATCAAATGTCTGACGTCATAAGTCAAAAGCCGCTTGTATGACCCCTGATGTGACCTCCCATTACAACTGATCAGATCTTCATGCAGTGGAGGCCATCGAAAGTATAACGAAATATAGATCTGTATTTTAATCAGATTGGTTTCTATGTGTCACATACATGTCTGGGATCGAAACCGCCACACTGAAGCGTTCATATCAGACCAATCATAAAAGAGATAGGAATATTGCTCAGTGTAGCTATTTCTACATGAAGTGATTCAGACCATCAAATCGGTGACAATAAGGGTTTCAACACTATGAGAGCCATACTTATTAAATGGAATCGATTTGAATGAGTTTGAATGTCTCTTCGACACTTTCCTTAAGTTTTTCTCAGCGAGTTCTTATTGAAACTGGCTCAAAGTGTGACCCAGATATTGGTTATGTAGAAGTACCTTGTACCCTTCCTTTGTTTACAAATATTCTCAAGTAGATTACCAGATAGTACATCATACTAGCCTAACTATCAAATACATAATTATTGGAGCATCTGTCATCTTGTAATTTCAGAGTGCTTTATTAGATAAATTTCCTATAGAAGCTGGTTCAGTAGATCCAGAAGCTAGAATTATACCTTTCATACCAGGTAAGAGTTTTAAGTGGCCAGCAAGGGTCATACACAAGGCAGGATATGTTTATACATATACTTGCTGTATGTAGAATCATTATAGATGCCACTTTCCATTTGAGGTATAAAATCTTGATGTTGCAATTCGATGGGAATATTTCAAATTTGAAACAGTGGTGTCATTAAAGATTTATTTCAATTTGAGAAATCTTTGTGGTGTCAAATTGTTTTGAAAGTAATAGTATATTTAAATAAAACAATTAAATACAAAATTACAACAATTTCTTTTCTTATACATATGTGAACTCATTGAATGTGGGGTTGAAATCATATGTTTGATAAGGAATACATCACAGTAAAAACCCACTTGGAAGTTCCTTAGAGATGTACTGGATTCTGTGTTGGGTTGTGGAGGCTCCATAAAAATTACATCCAGAAAATGGAGCATAAAATTTAATTTTGAATGTTCTGGGTCTTTTTAAAGGTAAAATTATATTTGGACGAAGTCATATTCGTGATGTAGCTGTGAAAAGATTAGGACCAATTGATGAATATTGTAAAGTAAGTTATGGGTATCATCAACATTTTATTTCTAACTATTTTAGGTGAACACTATTTAAAATTGATTTCGAAGATATTATAAGGAGAGGCATGGATGTCTGGTATTAAAACAAAGGTAGAACATGAAACTCCAGAAACAAATTCTTGGGGAAGGCTTCCACAAATTTTTCAGAAATTTCCATAATGCCCCTGAAAATTTTTTATCTTTGATTTTGAATGAAGAAGAACTATAGGTTGTAATTTATACAATAATCTGTATAAGTTGTTTTCCAAATGGACGTAAAGAACATACATCCATTAAATTGAGTTTAGAATAGTTTTTATCGATATTTCAGGGTATTATAAAACTACCAGCTAAAATATCACAATGTGATGAAGTATTAGAATTTTTTGAAGTAGACCGAGATGATTTAGATCCACCCAGACTTGAAGAGTAAGTTAAATACAATGGAGTAATGCTAACCACTTATTTAAAGAATTGTATCATAAAATCAGAACTGTGTTTAAAAGGTTTTAGTTTTGAAATGATTAACAGCACTTGACATTAATGTGACTATGCAAATGGGAGTAGAATTTTAAGTAGTAAATAGCAGGATATATATTTGGTATATAGACTACAGACTTTATCTTCATGGAGCCATTATATATATAATTTACTTCCTTTATAAGTATAAAGGTCTGTGCTTGTTATTGTGTCATCATTGTCCTTCAGTTATTACATAATATAAATGCAGTTCAAAATATGAAACATTTATGAATTATTCCCTGTGAATTAGAAACGTATAAGTAGATTTTTAATCGCTTTTAATTTGATATCAGGCTTTATAGTTCAGCAATTTTATTCAATTTAGCAAAATATCTATAATAATTATACATAATTTGTTTTAATTGGTTAAAAGCTTTATATCTGAAAAAAAACCAAACCCAAACAACCCAACTCTTTTTATATACTTGTACTTTATTTATCTGTGCATTATGCATATACTGTTTCAGGAATAGTTTAGCAATTTTAGGCAATTTAAAAAAAAATATATCTATAATGTTGTTTCAATATTTCTGTAATGGTATAATGCATAGGGAAATAAGGAAAATATTTGTTGTAGATCTGGGGTTAGAGCTACAATGGGTGTAACATGACCCCCTCAGACATTACTATTTATGAGAATTCAATGTTTTTATGAAATGAAATCATGCGTATCAGGAGTATAAGGTTACTTGTATTTACAAGATGTTTCCGTCTCTTTAAGGAATACAGTTATTATGATATATTGTTCATCGTTTCGTAGCTAGATATTTGTATAGTGTGAATCATTCAGGATTTGAAATTGTAATGAACACATTTAAAATCTAGTTCTCTGTTTATTTGTGTGGCTTATAAATGTCTTATCGTGTACATAAAGTTTCTCAGTATATAAGGAGTAGTAAAAGTTTTAACAAGTGTCGACGTTATTTCAGAAAAAGTAAAAATGTGGGAAAGGAAGCTGAGAAAATTTCTCAACCAAAGAGTTTGAAACAGTATACTGTGACGTCTGATTATGAGAAACAGGATCGCGGCGAAATTGATTTAACGTCGGGGATGTTGGTTGAGGTGGTGGAAAAAAGTGAAACAGGTAACAACAAATTAAACTCAGTCATTTGTAACTCAGTTAATTGAAACTCAGTTAATTGAATCATAGTTTTAGCTGTTAGTGCTAACTGTCCTTTGTCAAATTTTATTTACTTCATGTACATACATGTAGGCATTATTGTTGGTTTAAACTCACAATTCAGTTTTAATTCAAATGTGAATAGAATTATCTGTGTCAGCGTTGAATTTAATAGAAGGGGGAAATTACCATAACAACAAGGAAATTTGAACGAGAGCCACAGCCATTGATGTTCGTTTATATTTTATTCATTGTCCTATATTAAAATAGTTCAAAAATCCAGTCCAAAATTCAGACCATTTTGACTTTAATTAACAAATTAAGAGACTAGATGTATCATTGTCACTATTTATCTACAAACCATTTGGTTGTAAACACTAAGACTGTTTGAATACATAATAAGACAGATGTTAATAGTGACTGATAGTTTCCCCTTATAACATTACAGCCAGCACCTAAATTTTAAAATTTATCTAAATATATGATCACAATAAAAAGGGCATTTAGTATTGTTATTTCAAACTCAACCAACCAGCTAGCTATTTGATTTCAGGTCACTTGGTTCAAAGAAAAATCGTTGATGCATTTCGATAACCTTGTATCTGAGCTTTGTCTAATTCACTATTTGAAATCTAGACCACCTTATAAATATTCCCTCTAAAACTCATAAACCTAGTCCAATTATAAAACTGATTTAAGGAATTATATAGGTTTGCACGATCGAATTTAACATGCTCTCTGTAACATTTCAAACTGTGTCGAAAAATGGCTCCACCCCATCTAAAGGATATTGTTCACCCATATGTTCCAACCAGGTTCCTGCATTCTATTACTGATCAATGTTTACTGGAGACACCCAAATACAAATTGAAAACAATTGGTGCCATGTCATTTCCATATATCTCTGCAATGCTTTAGAATTCTTTACCCCTAAAACAAAGCTCTGCTGAAACATTAACTTCATTTAAATCAAACCTAAAGACCCATCTTTTCAAACATTATTTTTAAATAGGACATTGTCACGTGTGTTTTAACTTGTATGTTGTAGCCTGCTTGGAGAGAGAAAGAGAGAGAAATGAAGTTTAACATCCACTTGACACAAACTAGGTCATTTCGGGACTAATATATGGTTTAATTTTTTATTTCAATAATTTGCTTGTGCGTAGAGGTCTTTAGCAGTGGGATGACCAGGAGAAAACCCATGAGGTTGGATAGGCGACCCTACTCCTTGTCACGTACAACCGGGGATTAAAAACCACACCAGCTGACTCAATGACAGGCCTTATGATACAGCGCGCATGTACTAACCATTCGGCCATCCAACCCCCTGTAGCATGCTTGGTGTTGGGTCAGCGCTTAGAGCATTTCCCTAGTGTGATGTGGATTTTAGTACATCATAAGATGTACATCATAAGTATTATTCTGATTTAATTATTAAATAGCAACCCCTTTTTTGATCAAATTGATTAGATACAATATTTTTGAATATTGAAATGTTTAAATTTCCTAAGCATTTTTTTGATTTACGATATTATGAATTTTAAAATGTATCCAATTTTTTAGCAGTAAAAGAGATACTACATTGCATCTTTTACTATTAAGTTATGAGGATAAACCTGCTTTATTAATAATATCACATATAAACATTATGACATAACAAAGAACAAAATAATTGATTTAATTTAATTCTATTTAGTTTTTTGTTCCTCCTTAAAAGTTTAAAATTTCAACATACTTCATTTTGAACACTGTGGTGTTAAGGAAGCAATGCTGTCATTAAATCATATTATTATTCCTTTAAGTATCCATTTTATGACTGATAATTTCTTCTCATATAATTTGGATGTATACTTAGATATAGTAATATACATGTAATTACAATCAGAATTCTCAACAATCTAATTAAAATAAAGATCCATATTTAGTTTTGTTTTTTATACTTTCGATGGCCTACACTACATGTAGATCTAACAAGGCATAGTGGGAGTTCACGTTCTATGACGTCAGGTACCAAGCAAGCCACATCTGACCCGATTACGTCAGTCATTCGATTAACCAATTAGCGACCGCTATGTATTTTTTTTATCTACTTTTGCTTTGTTTTAATTTCTATTGTCGCTAATGTCTACCCACAGTTCCGCGCAAAAAAGGTCAAACGCTCGATTCAACAGACCATTTGATTGGCTGACCCCTCATTTCAAGCAGAACACGAGTTAAATAACAACGCTTCCAGATCCAAGTGTAGTAAAGACAAGTAAAATCAAAATTTTGAACTATAAAAACGAAACGAAATTGGATCTGTGTTTTAATCAGATTGAATTCTCAAAGGTGTGCATGTACATGTAAATCTTTAAAATTGGGTACCTTGATCAAATGAAGAAGTTTTTAGTACTGTATTTAATATAATATATCATTGTATAGGTTGGTGGTTTGTTAACAGTGAAGATGCTCAGGGTTGGGTACCTAGTACATATCTACAACCAGCTGATGGTACTACAGAAACTATTTCTATTAAAGTTACTCCTGGACAAGGTTAGTTTTATTATATCACTAAAACATATTGTTTTGGTGCATCAAATAAGTTTATTTTACTGAATTTACCTTACACTGGACCTGTACGTTCAGGAACACCTCAAGAGTATTTTTTCCCTGTAAATTTTACTGGGTAATTTTTTGGGTGGCTGACTTTCACGTTTTCACATACTGTCAGATTTTTATGTGGTTTCCTGGTTAAGATTTATCATGGTTTGTCAGTTATTTATTAATTGGTTAGTCTAAAAGGTAAAATAATTATATGTCCTGAAGAGTAAATTAAGTATTAAATGCTATGGTATATCACTTTATTACAACATGCTAATATTACATCCAAATATTATAAAATGATCCAAAGTCACAGAACAACATCATTATGACAGATGAGCCCACTATATGTTTTATTATGAATTTCAGAAGAGAAATATATTTGTATAGAGAAGTTTGAGTCTGGTGGAGATGATGAGATAAGTTTAGAGAAGGGATCAGTTGTTGAAGTTTTAGAGAAAAATCTCGAAGGCTGGTGGTTTATAAGGTTTGTATTTTATCATTGACATATTAAAAAAAGATGAAATAAAAGAAAGATGTTGTTATTTATTGATTGATTGTATATTATGTGAATGGTATAATGACTGAAAATAGTATTTCGTCTTTAGTGCCCAAAGGATTAAAAAAAAATGACAGACAAGGAAAGACTTGTTATTGATATGCATATTCTACACATATTTCATAAAATCTTACTGTAATTATGGAATATTGAAATTTTGTGAATTGTTGGTCATTCACATGTGATTAGCAAGACCCTCATCAGCATCTTTAAGGTGTGGTCAGGACTTAGGTAAGCCTGGCTAGGCAGTTTAGTCCCTGAATTAAGATGCACAATTTTGCGTTTTTCTACAAGTCATTCGTTTGGCATTATGTTAATAGATAATCCAATGCATGATCCATGATCCAACCGTTTTCTAACAAATATTGCCCCTATTTCACATATTATCATTCATGAAACCATGCCAGACTAAACTGTTAAGTTGATTTACACTACTGGAACAAACATACACAAGGTTTTATGTGGGTGTGTGGGCAATGCAAGGGGGATAATTCCAACTGCCAAGGATTCATTTATGTGAATTACTAATGTGTACACAGGACATCTGTTCTCCCTCCCATCTGAAGAACAAAACATACAGGAACCACTCCTGATTGAAAAATCCTGATGGTTCTTCCAGACCTATGCCAGGATTCGAAACTTGGACATTCAGGCTGTGTCAAAGGTGATACACATAAAGAATAAAAGATTATTTTGAACAAAAGAAGAATTGGATTGTGCTTAGGAAAAGAGCTCTTCTTGTTCTTTATAAAGTCAATAATTATTATTATTATTTATTGAAGGCATAACGGTAATGAAGGTTTTGCACCGGCAACTTATCTAATGAAAACTGAAGATGAATTTGTGAAAAGTTTGGCACATCGAAAATCAACAGATGTACAAATAATACAAAATCTTGCAGACATTAGTAATATAATGAAGAATAAAGATGCATCTGATGATGATACTGATGATGTTACTGAGAAATCTACTGGTCCTGCAGGAGATACTTATACCAAGATACAACATAGAAGTCGTTCTTTAGAACGTGGTGGCAATATTAAACCACCACCAAGACAGAATAGTAGAATTGTAAGTATAACAAACCCACACCCACTTTTAATGTGGATGTATTTTGTCGTCAGCTTCGTCGTCTGAATTTATCATGGACTCTATAAGAAATACATTTTTCAAAATACACACCCCATTTTCATGTTCAAATTCATGAATTTTTGTGAATATTTTTATTACTTATGATTTGAGGGGATATTGTTCATTATCTAGTGTATCAGGAAGAATCCTAACACGTTTTGTTGAGTTATCTTTCCAATCAAATTGGTTGGATAATTAATTGTGTCTAATGGGGACCTCTATAGATATTCAGAATTCTTTTATTGTGCATCAAAGAGTCATTCCGCTGTTTATGTTCTGATTTCTGAAATCTTGTAAACATCATACACTTCAGTGTTCTATTCAGTCGAGTAACATTTCAAGAATTTTCTAGTTATAAATTTTAAACATGTCTTACAGAGTTATCTTTCCATTGACACTTTGTTAAAACTTGCTCTATGGTATTTGTTGACATTGATTTCTTCCCCCACCCAATATTTTTCCTGCACACATTAGTCTTTAGAAGTGAGAGGTACAGGTGGATGAATATTGAAATTACACTTTGTCATTATTAGAGCCGATTAAGACATGTACTCAGTTTTTCTGCTTTTTGTCATGTGCATAATATGTTAATTTTTATAAACTTATTTCAGAGTATAAAAGGGGCAACAAGTTTAGTATCTAAAAGTAGTCATTATGTAACAATAGCAGAATTTGAAGATACAGTTGGTGATGGTATCAGTTTTAAAGAAGGACAAGTAGTTGAAGTAAGTTCTTTAAAAACATAATATTTCAAAAATATATATTAATATAGATCAATCCTCACACTGCTTAAGTCCTTTCTATTGATTTCATGTCGTATTCCTTACTATTAATGAATGGCTGAAAGGTATCTAATTTCTGTTGATGAACATCAAGTTTACAATGGTATCTAACAAAGGTTTATTGTTTTAATCTTCTTGATGACACTTTATATTAGTTTAAATAAGGAAAATGAAGAGTGGCACATTGAGGCTTTTAAATTAAAAATTACTATATTTTTGTGTTATAAAATGTATTCAAGCTTTATGTTCTGAACATTAAAGGAGCCACAATGGCTCAGTGAGGTCGTCCCAGGTTTGAGTAAAACAAAGGGTCTGGCAAAAAACAGTACAGCATCTAGTAGTTTGGATGGGACTTAACACCAAGTTCTTTTGTACACATTGGCATGCATGTAAAAGAACCCTTGACAGTTGGAAATAGAAATAAGGTCCGTCTTAATTAGTCCAGTTGCTGCAGAAAAGTAGAAAGTTACACCCAATTTCATTTCTGTACATCAAAGGGAGATAACTTTAAAAGGCATAAATGTGTCATTCTACTCTACATTTGTATCAGTGATGTGATTTTTTTCTCCCACAATGAAACCCATTGATTAGAAAATATGTTATATACACAGTCACAGAAATGAAATGAAATGGGGTTTAACATCCTACTGTTTTGCATCGACTGGGCTAATGTAGACAGTTACAAGTCTGACATTAATGAAATTATTACACATAAAAATCAAATATATTTTAGGTAAAAGAGAAGAATGAAAGTGGTTGGTGGTTTGTTACAATAGATAATAAAGAAGGTTGGGTTCCATCTTCCTATATACAATCACAATCAAATACAGATAGTGGTATTCATGAAGAAGTCTATTCAACAATAGAGGATGAAGCTGTGTTTAATGATGATTGGTCAGATGATGAGGAATTTGACCAGTCAGATGATGGAGTGGAAATGAGAAAGTCATCAAAAAAGAAACGAAATAATTTAGCTGAAAGTTTAATGAATCAATTACGGAAACGTAAGAGTAGCACAGATACAGATGTTAAGTCTGTATCTAACAGCGAAAACAATCAATCAAACATCAGTTCACAAGTCCCTCCCACAGCACCTCCGAAACCTGGCAGAGAAAACATGGGTGTGAAACCAAATGGGTTTAATGCATTGCTAGAATCTGGTCAAGGACTGGCTAATATTTTAAAAAGTAAATTTGAAAGTCGGGGTACATCACAAAATGAACCCGAAGATTTAAATTCCAGAAACAGTGATACTAAAACTACACCACCAATCAAACCAATCTTTCCTCCTAAAAATTCATCATCAGATATCAAACCAGTTTTACCCAGCAGATTTCTGAAACCAGACGTACGTTCCTCACATTCAGATGGGTTGAAAGTTATTTCATTAAATGGTGATAAGCCCAAACCGCCGACTTTATCCAAACCCAGTCCTCCTACGAAACCTGGCCTGAAGCCAACACCTCCCAGCAGTAAACCAGCCTTACCTTCAAACAAACCAACTATATCAGCAAAACCATCCATACCAGCTAAACCCAGCCTTGCAAAACCCAATATTTCTCAGAAACCAGCGTTACCAGCCAAGCAACCAGTAGTGTCCAACTCAGGAGCAAACAATTTCAGAGAAAATAAAACTGGACCTCCTAAATTGCCATCAAAACTGCTTTCTTCAAAAGCTTCTGATGATAATAATAACCATGATAAAAAACGTGATTCTGAGGTTGGGGCATCTGTACAAGGCTTAGCTGCAGCCCTCCAATCAAAATTTGAAAATAAAAGTAGTAGTCCCCCTAAATTACCTAGTAAACCGAATATCCCAGTTAAAAAGTCCAACGAACCAAATCGGACTTCCAGAGGAACAACGGAACCAGATTTACCGAAGGCAAATGTTGGCAATCTAGTGAATGCATTAAGTGGAAAATTGAACTTCGGTGGTAACCGCTTATCAAGTAATGTTTCCGATGAGGATAGTACCATTCCTAAAAGTAGATCCTGCAATAATCTGTTAAGTAGTCATAGTAACGGCAACTCGAATAATACAATGATTAAAAGTCAAAGTAACACCAATTTAAGTGATAGTCATAATAACATTTCTAAAAATAATGATATATTTGTGGTTGAACAGCCCTTTCAGGGTGAAACAAAAGAAGAAATCAGCATTTATCAAGGTGATGAGGTGAAAGTCATTGAACAGACGGACAGTGGTTGGTGGCTTGTATCTTTAAATGGCCGACAAGGGTGGGTTCCATCAGCTTATCTTGTTGAAAAACGGAAAAAGGTTTCAATCCCACCTGTTCCTCCTCACGGTAGAATAAGTTCAAGTGGACAAGACCAAAGGGTCTCGTACCCAAAGAAAACTGTATATAAAACTTGTGCTTTGTTTACAGCAGAAAATACTGGGGAATTGGGTTTTGATGAAGGAGAAATTGTCGATGAAGTAATTGATAAAACAGATGCTGATTGGTGGTTGATCAGAATAGGGAATGAAGAAGGGTGGGCACCTCAGGCTTTTCTAGAAAAGGTAGAAATTGAAGACAAGCGAGCATCTTTTGGTGGTAGTAAACCTGCAACTCCAAAAGTCAAACCAAATTTTAAACAAATAACAAATGTGAGATAACGGAATTCAGAATCAATCCCAACAACATTTTAATTTATGGGTAAAAGTTCTCATCTATCTTATCCTTCCAAATTATTATTATGATTGATTACTATATAATCCTTATATAATATTATTTTATCAAAATTAGGTGTGATATTTTCTCATTTTTAAAAGTACATGTATTTTGTTTTTCATAACTTGATAAAACTTCTTTTAAACTACATTATTGCACTTGTGTTAATATTAATATTCCTCTAAACTTCCTTATGAAAAATATTATAAATACATTGATAAGTTGTCTTTTAATCAAAAGCTTCTTATTCAGCTATATATTATGTAAATGCAACATATTATGCATTTAGTCAGGTATAAAACTATGTAAAATTGTCTTATTTGAAAACTGTGTGCTAGTCATAGATGGTTCGGTTTCATTATTGTTAAACATTAATAATTCATCCTCTTCATTTCTATTGACTTTTTGCATTAATGTTATAGACACAGCTCTATAAAGCCTTGTACATTTTTTCTATCATGGATATAATTATTTTAATAACTATTTATATGGTCCTGTTACCTATATTATATACTGTATATATGCTGATCATTTCTTATCGTATATTGTGTATATAAAATCTAGTATTTTTACTATCATTTGTTTTATCTGTTACTTATTGTTTATTTATAATACTTGTTATTACTACAATATATGTAAATAAACTCTTGCCTTAAATATTTGTTATTTTTAGTAGATATTAAATCATGTTCCATGAAAGTGAATAATGTAGGATCTAGAACATTTGCATACATTTATTAGACTATGGCTGTGCTGTCAAAATATGTTTATAGTTTAACAGGAATGGGTTCACTCTCTCACTACATGTATAATAATTGAAGAATGACGTTTCCCTGTCAGTACTAGACTAAACAAGAATGGCGTTTCCCTGACAGTACCAGGCTATACAATAATTGAAGAATGACGTTTCCATGTCAGTAAGTTAAACAAGAATGACGTTTCCCTGTCAACCCTCAGTGTTTCGAGATAAGCAGGGGCGCCGGGTACCAGGGTATACAAATGGTACCCTGCCCTTTCTGGGGTATACATATACCAATGCCCTAATGATGAAAGTTTTCAACCTTTTTGCTAGTCTATTTATTTTTAAACGATAGATATGTAAAAGCTTATTCTATTTTCTTGATGAAGATTGGTGTATTGAAATTAAAAAGAATTTTTTATGAGATGAATTGCTCATGATACGTAAATTGTGAATAATCAGGCTTTTGTTTCTTACATTATCATGTATTTTAAAGGGTTTTATGTTGGAATTTGTAATGCTAGAGGCCTTCTAAACAGCGTTCTCGGAATTGACAAATTTTAAAATTTTCTAGAGGTCGGGGGAAGAGACCCCCCCCCCCTCACATCTTTTGGTACTCTGGCCCTCGCGCCGTTCCGGCACCCCTAGAGATAACAGATGGTGCTTTATAGTTCCACATAGCAAAGCCCAACGAAAATCACATCGAGCCTCAATAAGCAAAATTGACTATATTTTTCATCAAAACAACAATTGATTATTGTTATTTATTGTTATTTATAATCTTTCTGCCACATCCACATACAATTTAGTATATAATTCTACCTGAAACGTGTATATAAATCATCATATTTAAAATCGAGGCGTTAAGCTGTTACTAGGAATGCCATTTTTAAACAGGAGATGTATAACGGTGCATAGAGCTTATCGGATAAAAACAACGCTTCATTAATTTAAACGCGAATTTTGTATCTAGTGTCAAGCCGCTGGCTCGCACAATGGATCACATTGATCTCTTTGAAGGGAGCGATCTAGATTACCAAACGGCTGAGATGCCGTTTGAAGATGATGCGATTATGAATATAGATTCTAATTTAATTGACGGAAATCCCTTTTCAAATGTTTGTTCAAATACTATTAATAATAATAATACTTCCGATAATGTTAATAATGATGACCGACCTATCACTGAGGGGAATTTGGGTAGAAAACGTAAATCGAATCTTTGTAATCCAAGAAACCTAGTAAATGCCGAAAGGTAACTTTTCCCAAGGGTGTAGACCCCGATATGCCTGATTTATAACCTATAGGTCTGTTAAAATGTTCTGGGGAAAAAATCTACTCATGTAAATAAGGCCAGTTTAAAAAGTGACACTAATAAATGAGCTGTCTTCAAATAATAATATACTATTCAAAAAAAGTAGGGGATATTTGATTTTGGGGGCATAATACTAAAATATGCAAATGACTACGAAAAAAGTCACTATAGAACCTAACAGAAGAAACATTTCCAGTTACATGTGACGCCCAAACGCACCAATAGCTACCGCATGGAATGCAGGTGATGCTTGGGATCATCATGGGGGTCCAACCCAAGATTTGCACGACTCTGACTTTGAATGTTACAGTCATTGTGGCATTGAATTCCAGGGTGGAAACATCAGTTTAATTGTTTTAGTGACCAGAAAACAAATTTTGATATGCGTCGGCTTACCCAAAATGAAAGGTTACGTGCCCTTGGCATGCTACAGATCGGCACAACACAGGCGGTTGTGGCGCGGACGATGAATGTTTCTCAGTCTGTCATAAGCAGGCTATGGTCCAGATACCGTGATACACAATCTGTACAGGACAGACCACGCTCAGGTCGACCAAGGGCGACAACTCAAGCCCAGGATCGATTTATCCGTACCTTGGCCTTGAGAAATCGTGCCATCACAGCAAATCAGATCAGCGCTCGTCTTCAAACAGACACTGGTGTGAGAGTGAGTGGCCAGAGGATTCGGAATCGACTGCATAGGGGTCACCTTCGCGCCCGACGTCCTCGCGTAATCCCTTGTTTGAGAGATCATCACATTCAGGCAAGACGTCGTTGGTGTAGGGATCGTCAACACTGGGATAATCGACGCTGGAGCAATGTGATGTTTTCAGATGAGTCAAGGTTCACTGTTGATTTTTTGGACAGACGTAGGAGGGTGTGGCGTCGTCGAAACGAGCGCTTCCAAGACGTTAACGTCATCAGACATGATCGATTTGGGGGTGGTTCTGTTATGGTGTGGGGAGGCATCACTGTTGCTGGAAGAACGGCTTTACATGTTGTTGCAGGGCGTGTTACAGGCCAGTACTACCGGGACAACATCTTGGTAGTCCATGTTGTGCCGTTCACACGACGTCATGGCCGCCGTTTCATCTTCCAGGATGACAACGCAAGATGTCACAGGGCCAGGATCGTTACAGGTTACCTCCAACAACAGAACATCACCACATTACCTTGGCCAGCACTGAGTCCCGACCTCTCCCCCATCGAGCATGTCTGGGACATGCTTGGACAGAGGTTACGTCAACGTCAACAACGTCCTGCCAATGTCCAAGAACTTGCTGCTGCGTTGCAACAGGAATGGGACAATCTGGACCAAAATGACCTTAGACGTCTCATTAGGAGTATGCCACGTCGGATCAATGCTTGTTTGGCAAACAGAGGAGGATTTACCCGTTACTGACTTGGTTGTGATGCTGTGGTAACTTTGCTGTTTGACCCCGGGTATCATTTTACCCTTATAATGGTCAGTCTGTGCCTTACTTAGTCTAACGATCATTTGGAATAAATCGATGAATGTGAACTTCATTTCATTTTGTCATTTGTTTCTTCGTCAGTTTCATTAGGTGACTTTAATAACACTTAAAAATCAAATATCCCCTACTTTTTTTGAATAGTATAGAACTAATAGCAATAAGCCCCCAACTGCAAGGAAAACAAATTCTAAGGTAGCTTCCTTCTTTGATATTATACCGGCATGTAATCAAAATGTTGAAGGCACATCATTTAAACGACCTTCTGTTCCGTCTTCTACTTTTTATTCCGAATCGTAGTTTTAATGCTGGAAATATAAATGAGAATAACAGTGTACCGGTTGATCGCGCTGATTTTAGTTTTATTGCGGCAACAATCTGTTGACAATTTAGTCTGGTCAAATAGTAATTTTATAAAGTCGGATCAATAAAATCATAAGCCTGTTAATGTCAATAATCCCCAAGTAGAACAGTATACATGTAGCAAAGAATCAGTTAACATGATGAAACGGTAACCCCGTTTAATGATGAAGACAATTTTGATAACGAGCCAGTCTTGGATATCATGAACCCCCAAGAAATGTATCATGAATTCAGGGATGGAAACGATAATTCCTCAGAATATGATTTTGACATTCCCAAAAATTTTCCACGGGGATGATATCGCTGGTAATCCAGTTTCTGATTAGTCAATGTTTCTACTCTGAAAAAGTTGAGATCGATAAACTGGTGTCAAAATACCCCATTCCAGAGAACTGTCAAAGGTTAAATGCACCCATGACTGATACTGATATTTCGCATATTTTACCCAGGAATGCACAGGCACAGGATTACTCTCTCTTGCAGGGCCACGGCCAATTCTTGCAGTGTTGTCGGTTGACGTTGACGATCAAATGAAACGTAACACACTAAAGCAAAGATACGCTAAACAGTAAATCTTATGCAAGAACCGATAGAAAATACAAACATGGATAGATAAACCAGCACGCGGCAGTTTTCATCAACTCGTCCTTGAAGTGTCAAATTTGACAATGAACCCCTCCCACGTGTATGGTGCTATTATTGCGTGTCGCATGTGCATCTAGTGTGACAATACAGCCATATCATACATTAATAGTCTGGGGGGTTCCGTGGACGCTTTATTTGATTTGACCAAGGTCATATGGTCATGGTGTAGGGATCGAGGTATTTTTCTGTCCACAAAATACATTCCTGGCAAAAGTAATATCATGGCTAACCAATTTTCACGTGATTTTTCAGATTCAACAGAATGGAAATTAAACGAATTTGTCTTCCAGAAAATTTGTAACAGGCTTTTCACGCCAGATATTGATTTATTTGCATCTAAATATAATGCTCAATTACCAGTTTAAGACAAAATAAACACTTTACCATTCAACACGAATCGTTTCAGTGCCATTGGTAACAAGGGGCCCGAAGAACAAGGCTAGACATATTCCACAAGAAATGTAAAACGGCGACGCCATAATCTTATCTGGAGAGCATGTGCAATAAATATTATCGGTGTAGACTGGAATAACAAGACGCTAGAGATTGCCATTCGATTGAGACTTCTGGCGTATTTCGAAAAACATAACTGATTAGAAATTCTAGTAAAACTTAAACGATTGAATGTAAATCAGTTTATACACATTCATATTACATTATTATATGCGTTGCGACCCATTTGTGTCAAATTCTAGGTCCCAAATAATATTAGCGATTTAGCTCCTTTAATATCTCACCCATTACGTCTTCCCGCACGAAAAGATCTTTCGAGGTTACCAGTAAGCAACACTTTACACCCTCTAGGGGGGGGGGGGGGTAGAGATTATTTTTAACCGCTTGCCTTATATCCGGCAATTTCTCTCTAATAAAGGATTATCAAGCGAATCTATCGCAAGTATCCTGGTATCCTGGAAACCAGGAACGTGTAGGCAATACAATCTCGCATGGAAGAAGTGGATTCTTTGAACAAATAAACAACAAGTTGATCCCTTGCATCCATCTTTAGCCCAATTTATTTATTATCTAGAGTTTTTGTCCAGAGTCTCTTCTTACAGTGTAGTTAACAGATCCGCGATCATCCAAACTTCAATATTGTTGGGTTTTGATAAACTCAAAGATCAGCCGTTGGTTGGTCGTTTCATGAAAGGCTTATTTAATAGGAAACCTCCAAAGCCCAGGTATTTATCCACTTGGGACGTCTCTGTGCTTATCAAATATCTAGCAACCTTATTTCCATTAGAGAGTCTTTCACGAAATCTTTTAACCCTCAAAACGGTAAGTTTGTTTGTGTCAGATTCTATGCTCTTTCGACCTAAATGATTTAGATGATTCTGGAAGAGTTCTAACGCTTTGAATTTCCAAGGTAATTAAAACTTCTCGCCAGTGAAAACAACTTTATTCCATTAAATTGCCATGTTACAAGAATAAGAAAATGTGACCTTGTTATACCCTCAAAGAGTATATCAGACGTACAGAGCGTAAAAGAAAATCTCGGCAATTATTTGTTTCTTTCTTAACTTTTAGAGCTGTCGCTCCTGGCACTATAGCCAGGTAGATTAAAGAAACTTTGAAATTATCTGGTGTAGACACGGATAAATTTAAAGCCCATTCCGTAAGGTCGGCGTCTTCTTCTGCTGCCTTTAACTCTGGGTGTCCTATTTCAGATATTCTCAAGACAGCTAATTGGTCAAACCAGGAGTGTTTCCAGAAATTTTATAATAGAGAAGATGTGGTGTCCAATTACTCTTGTTTTGTGTTAAATAAAAAATAAATTATGATGATTTGTTTTGTGTTAAATAAAAAATAAATTATGATGATTTTTAGTGTCTTTATTTGTTGACAATCCTTTAAAGTAGCTAAGTCCGTAACTCAATATCATCCAAAATCTTCGACATTGAAAACGCGAATTATTTCGCAATTAAAATCAGCATTGGTCTTGTGATCTTACCTGGAAAAGATGGGCTTCTGATATCCAATATTTTAGACAAAATAAACATTTAACCATTGGTACACGAATCCTGTACCATAATACGTTTCAGCGCCATTTGTAACAAGGTGCTCAAAGAATGAGGCTAGACACATTCCACAAGTCATGTCAAACGGTGATGCCATATTCTTATTTGGAGAGCATGCGCAATAAATACTATCGGTGTTGACTGAAATAACCAGACGCTAGAAACTAACTTTCGGTTGAGACTTCTGGCGTATTTAGACGAACATAACTGATGATAATTCACAGTAAAACGAAAACGAATGAATGTAAAACAGTTTATATAAATTCCCATTACATGTACATTATTATATGTGTTGCCACCCATTTGTGCCTATTTCTAGGTCCAAAATATTAGCGATTTAGCTCCTTTAAACAATGCAATATAAATCCGAGAATGGCCAGCAATCGAACATGTTTGGGACATCATGGGCCGTCGGGTACAAAGAAGGAATCCTCCTCCACAAAAGCTGAAGGAACTGGAGGCAGCTCTTCACGAGGAGTGGCAGCGGATACCGATGGAACAATTAAGGAACCTGGTTAGGGGTATGCCAAGAAGAGTGGCTGCAGTTATTGAGGCACGTGGTGACAGCACACGTTACGGATGTTTTGTGATTCCTGGGACACTAATCCACTTTATTAAGCTGCTTTTACCGGGTGGCACACACCAAGGCCTTGAACTGACGAAACTTAAATACCCATGTTTTTTGGATGAAATTCCATTTCAATTTCACCCTGTGTTTTCATGCACTTTTAGTGCTCATACCGTTACAAAAACTTCACTTCCAAATGACCAAATGATTGTTCTTTTAATTAAAATTTGTTTTGCTTATCTTCTTTTTCCCAGTTCCATACCATACTTCCATGAAGTTCATCCCTCTGTGAAAAATCAGGGGGGTGCTTAACTTTTTTTGCTGTGTATATTTGAACAAAATTCGACAAAAAAGTTGCCGTGAAGAGTGCCATGAAAATGTCGATGGATTCACGGGCTATGGACGCTATATTACGTCAAAATGAGATGTGAACATATATAAGAGGATCGCAGATGTTCTTCAACTTCTTGTAAAGCCATCAAGATTTTCAGTTAATGAGGTAATATCTCAAGTAAATCAAATAAAAACCACAAGTAGGGTTTTGTAGCTTTTTTTGTTTGTCTGTATTGAAACCGATGGTGGTTAATGCTCTTGGGAATACAAAGTTTTTAAAAAAGCAAATGTAACTGTAGGCCTATAATTTTATTGTATTTAGATAGATACTTCCGTTAGATTATAATCACTTACTCTATAACGATTGGCTATAAGTAAGATAGAATCTTTATTTCAACGTGAAACAAAATCATCTAAATATTTATCTTAATTGAATCCTTCACTTTCATAGATTGCAATTTACCAAATGCGTATGTGTTTTCCTTTCTGGACAATGCGCTTAATGTATTAATTATACGTATTTACTTAAATTATTGGCGACTCAGTTTACAGGAGTTTTATGGCGTAAGTGCTGTTTTTTTCATACTATTAAAGATTACCGATAAGATTGTTATGGTTATAGTTTGATGGTTTTCTATAATTATTCTACATTATCTATTGATATCTCATCTAATATCAATCAGTAAATCAATTTTAGTTGATTAGCTATGGGAGAGTCCGCCAATAAAGACAGTTTATACGTTATATGACAATGGTTCGGTCCTGAGAGAATACTGGGTTTATTCCTAGGGCGTCTTTTTAACGAATAAGTCATCTAAAGCTGACCACTATGTAAATTACTACGTCATCATCTATTGGTATTTCCAGGGAGTTCATTTTGGATCCGAATTCCACAATTACCAAAGGTTCAGCGTTTACAGAAATGAACAACGAAACGTTATTAGGCGATCAGCAGGTTTCGTTGATAGATCAAGGTTCGGTATCTAAGGAAACGTATAATACTATATTTACAATAATCACATACTTAATGTATCCACTGACATTTGTTGGGTTTGTTTTCTGTGTATTTGGTGCCGTGGTTTATTCAACAAAACGCATGAGAAGCCCAACCAGCATTTATCTTGTAGCGTTAAATCTGACGGAACTCGCCAATGTCCTTATAACAATGACATTGGAAACTGCTGGTGTTATCTATGGGCGAAATTCAACAACCTCGCACGTCTATTTAATTATACGACTTTATTTTAATATTTGTTTAGGTACGGCATTTAGACGTGCAACGTTTTGTCTGTCTTGTCTGGTATCCGCCGAAAGATGCATTGCCGTGGTGGCCCCGTTAAAATCCAAACATTTCAAGCTTGTACGCTATCCTTTCTCGGCCGTTATCTGTGTTACGACGATATCCATTCTTTTTCACGTGTTTACTTTGTATAAGTTCAAAGTTGTTCCATACCAGTCTCCAAATAACGAAACATTGTGGAAGTTTCAGTTTACAGACACGTATGTGGCTAGTATACATGAGTTTGATGCTTGGAGTGTGGCCAGTAAGGTGATTTTTGTCTACTTAGCATTAATTTGTTCTCTGGTTTTAAACTTCACCATCGGGATTACGTTAAGAAGACACGCCAGGGCCCGTAGATCACTGATTAGTAGAAATGAGCTATTAGTTAAACATAATGATCGGCGAACAACCATCACAGTTTTAGTATCAACGTTTGTTTTTGCACTGTTGGCTCTTCCGACCAATGTAAGTTCAATAATAACCAACACGACTTCAGATTACGGATCTTTTACAAAAGAACATTATTTGTTTAATACAGTCATGCGGTTTGGAAATTTGTGCGAACTCCTTAGTAATTGTGTTGGGTTTATTTTCTACATGACACTTAGTACCCAGTTCCGCACAACCTTTTACAGAATATTTTGCCCATGTTACGTAGCAAGGAAATCGCCTACCAATAAAACGAGCGCACGACAGTCTGATTCAAATGGTTCTAATATTACAATGATCTCAAGTCTGTGAAGATATGGTATTAGGGAAGTAATGTAATCAACATTGAAGGAAGACCGCTCATCAAAATACAGAAGATATAAACTTTTGGGGAAGATTAACAGTGAACAAAGAGTCAACCCTACACCAAGAAGTAAAGGAACGGAATGGAGTTAATCCATTCGATGCCACCGTGAATTAAATTTAATTGTGATAATAAACATTAATCTAATTAGATAAATCAATTTATATTCATAGAAAACAAACATTTCTATAGATCAAACAGGCTTGTCTTACAATTGTCTTACTATAAGATCTGTGAAAGTTGACATAAGATTGATTCAACATGAAGCATGCCTGGCATCGAAAGGTTGAACAGGTTGTTAACTCTATACTACGGTCACTTTAAAAGTAACATACATACTGTAATGAAGTCAACCTAGCTTAATTAATATCGCCATGCCATTGGTATTATACACGCGCCTGTGTCTGCTGACATAAGAAGGATATCATCAAGAATGTCTCATTGTGATAAAGATCATTATTGAATGACAGAAACTAATTATTATACCCAGTTAAAATATATTGAGATTAAGATACAGTTAATTCTATTGACTCTAGAGTGCATGTATTATTCTAGGGAGGACTATTGCCACACAGACGTTTCCGCTTACTCTCCGAATTCCAGAGATCAAAGTAAATAAAACGATATGTAGTTTGTATATGGTGATTATAGAAGTAATGGTAAATCAGGTTTTTTGTCCTTAGTAATCTTGTGCGTATTTTAAAACATTATCCTTTGTGTTTTTAGTGAATATCCGATGTCACTTCGCATTTGACGAGTTTGTCACAGGTAATAAGTTATAGTTGTACTTTTATATTATCTATGTAGTAAATTCCATGTGGGGTATTTGTGAAAATACAGTTATTAATGTCGAAGAAATAAAAAAGAATATAAATTTAATTAAAATTGTGTTCGCATATACCGTACGAAGAATATGCCACATTGGTAAATTCACAAGGGAAGACATTTATTGTTGTAGAGGAATATAAACATACCCTTTTAATTAATAAAATGTCTTAATGGGTAGTTCCCGATCAAAATGTTGCTGTATCGACCATTAAGCATAGACAGTGCCTTATTCTAGGAAAACATTTTAATAAACAAAGAGAATTAATATTTAGCCAATACATGTATATTTATAAGAGTTAATAGAACATTTATTTAAAAAAAAACCCAAACAAACAGCATTATTAAGTAGAACAATGAACTCTCTTTTCGCGTCAAAAGAACCACATCAAACACATTGTTTTAAAAAGACACAGAAACATAAAGTAGATTCATCTGATTGTGTAGATTGAAACTGAACATTTTATTCTCTTAGGTCCCTTTTCTCTACACCAAAATCTTTTCTTATTTTCATTTCGGTAATAAACTTTGTTATAGAAATGCTCATGAAATCGCGACACTTTTGCAATGTAACGTCACTGTGTTTGTCGTTCGTATTCAGAGCAGTCGTGTACAGTGGGCCAGATGGAACGGATATCTCAAGGAGTCTGGGCTCCTTGGAAGTCAATGTACAACCAATTACCGTGTGCTCTTCTGTCAGATGACATAACTTTAATATTCCACTAAACTTTGATTCCAAAAACGGTGGGTCTCCGTAAATTAATTTTACTTGTTGATTAGGTTCCAGTATCTTCAAAAGTTCTGGAATTCTGTGCAATCGGGTTACCGGATCAGATTCGGAATATTTGGAGTGGTTCCTTCGGAGATCTACAATATATAAATCTCCAGACCAGTCAAATGGGAATAAAACTTCTAATTTTCTATCTTCCGTTATACACCGCAAGCACCTCATTAAACGGCGTTTTTCTGACTTACGACTGTTGATATATGTGACGTAATCTTCGTGAACATTCATGGCGTAAAATAGTCCTGTGGGTATGTCCTTCCTTTTGTTATAGATAATGGAATCACCGCGGATTTTAGAGGGAACAAAACCTCTACCGACAGATAGTGAGAGAAATGTTGCTGGCATCACTCTGGCAATGGTAGCTATGGATATAATGTCACTTTCTCTCTCTTTTAAGCTTTCCATCTTCAAGAATAATCCTGGAAAATAAAGAGTATTATTCTTATTATTATGAAGCCACGGTGGCGCAGTGCATAAGGCACACAAACCATCAGGTCAAAGGTTCGATCCGTGATTTTCCTACGTGATTTCCCCTTATCAGTGGTTTGGGACGAAAAATTGTGGTAGGGTATACACCTATAAGGTGTGCAGGTAAATAAACCCCTGACAGTTGGAATTCAATTGCTGTCCGGAGAAAAATTTTACTCAGCACACTGTATGGCATATTACTATTATTAATAAATTATACTAGAGGTATAGGATTTGCTGGCTAAATCTATTTGTTAAGGCCAGCTCAATTTTTGTCATGGCGAGCCCTGTTTACATCTCGTGACGTATTGAGCTGGCCTTATCATTTAACACTAACCGGATTTGCTTGAATGCACCCCAGACCGTGCATGGTGAAAGTTTGACAGATAATCGATTTATTAAAAACACTTATATGGATATACTACTTCTGAATTTATTAACATGCTACGTTTCGATACACATACAGATATCGTTATCAAGCAAATAATGATATATAACAAAAATGTGGTGCAATATATAGTTAACAATTGGAAACCATGTAACAGATTAATCATTAATTAAGAATAAATAAGATGAGAGAAGTAATAATATGGATAAACAATTACAAAGGGATTAACAAGATGAAAGACTGTAATGTATTGATAACAATTAGAAATATTAGCAGATCAAACTAATAATTATAAGAGATTAACTATATGAGAGATAGGAATATATAGATAACAATTAATACACTAATTAGCAGGTGAAACCATAACTACAAGATGAGGGGGTTAACCACACAGGCAAGAAATCGAAAACTAGGGGAAGGAAACCATAATGTATTGATAACAATTAGAAATTAGCAGATAAAACTAATAATTATACGAGATTAATGGGATAACAGATGGCAATATATAGATAAATGCAACAAATAAACACTAATATAGCAGGTGAAACCATAATTACGAGATGAAAATGGTTAACCGTACAGGCAAGAAATTGAAAACTTCACATTAATAGGAATTAAATAAATCGACCCAAAGATTTGGGAGAAAATGTCCTGAGTCCCTATTTAATTTAGGCTTATGTTTTTGAATTTCTAGCGCTTCTCGTAGAATTCTATTTTTCCAAGTTGGTAAATTTTTAGCTAGTATTTCTGTATTCTCCCATTTGATATTATGCTTAGGATTTTGGTAGATGTGTTCTGCTATTGCTGATTTATTATATTCTTGTTTTGTAACTGCCGTGCGATGCTCTTTTATTCTCACTGAAATCGATCGGGAAGTTTCTCCAATGTACGCCAAATCGCACTCACAATTTATTTTATATACGACACCCTTTGGATCATCTCTTGGTTTTAGTATCCTACCATCAGATAATCGATTGCCAAAAATGTGACCCCAGATCGTGAGTTCACTGACGTCACTACGACAATTAAGTGATTAGGAATAAACCGGATTAACACCTAGTTGACTTTTAACACGCATTTATAACCTCCTAACTGGTTAACCCGTGCGTAGTACTGAGCAGGAATTGGGGGGGGGGGGAGACAGCTGGGACACTTGTCCAGGGGCCCGGAGCCTATAGAGGGACCCGGAGACTAATTTGTAGGAATAAATTAATAAAAAAAAAAATTAAAAAAATATATATATACTGATACTCGATCGTAAAGTAGAAGAAAACTGGTGACTTTTGTAAATGTGGGTACCTAGTGGCGTGGGTATGATTAGAATCAGATTCTGTCAGTCCACTTGTTAAAATTGGTGAATTAAAAACTAGAAACCACTCGTTCTGTTTGAGGCTCTCGTCAGGGTATCCGGGCCCGGCAGGTAGTCCAGGCCTGTAGAAGGCTACAAAATCTAGTTCGCCTCCAAGTGTGCAGAAAAACTTCCGCTTGAAGCCAATTCAACATGATTTTGGGTATTGAAAAAATTAACAAATAGATTATGTGATGAAAAAACTGTCTTTTGAACTTTTGACATTTTTGCTTCTACTTGTCACGGTTTTTGTCTTTCCATCCATTTGTTTGCTTGTGTAAAATTTCTTGTCAAAATCGTGTACATCTGATTATTATTCCATCAGTAAAACGTAGTACATGTTGTATTTGGTATGTCATATGTAGTGCTATATCTCAGTTTCTGTATTTTAGCAAAGTGACATCCAGTTATCCCAGATATACGCAAAGAGATCATGTATCTTTCAAAAATTTTCGGTCCCCTACATTCTTGTTCGCCAAATCCCCACAGTATACAAAACCCTTTGTCAAAGGTCTTACATACGTTTTGTGCAAAATAAACTAATATTTTTAGCCAATCGACTCAGATAGTCTGGGTGCCCTTTATGTTCTCTGAAACTCTTGTTTCCGTTACCAGCTTCGGATTTACCAACTGGCGGAAGAAGATTGCAAAATCGCATCACCATAGATTTAGTTTTCCCCGATATTATATGTTTATGAGCCAAAGTATGGCCCAGCTATCAGTTAACGTTAGCTAAAATATATCCTTTCCTTTGGGTATGTGTGCATTTCTTAAAGCTAACACAGGAGTAATATAATACATGTAATTGCACGTACCTGTATATTCCTCGGGTATAACGACATAGGGACCTGCTTCTTTAGGTCTATTCATCGAGTCCATCACCATATGTCTTGTATAGAGTTTACGTCTTTTCACCTCTCGGTATAATAATAATGGCCGTTGAAAATCTATTGCCGTGTCTGGTTCAGACTTCACCACATCGTCTTCTACAATTTTAACCACCACGGGGAGTCTGTTGTCTTTCAGGGTCTCCGCAAGTGTTTGGGCATGGTCACTCCATACAAATGAGATCTCACGCCCCACACCCAGAATAGAATATCCGTCATCGATCATTATGATCAGTAAAATAATACTTATGCTTTTTTCAAACAAAATAAAATGGAGAACTATCTACTGACAGACTCTCAATATATTACACATCAGTTAATTTGACAGTCGTTGATGAAATCCACGCTCAGCTGTCAAATTTTACGCTTGAACTGTTAAACTGATCAATTACAAACAAATTAAAGCTATGATGTGCAATATGTATTTAACCTGATTTAAACATCGATATACGACACATCATTTTCTTATGGTACATATATCTTTCCCACACTACTTATGATCACCTAGGTAAAACGGTCGCCCTTGAATATCTTCAGTAGAGCAAGGTGTGTATTATATAGCCTATAATTTACTTACTAGTAAACATAGCTCCTCTATATTTATTGTATTGTCCGTTAGTCGACTAAGGGTTTAGGGTATACAATAAAAGGTATGACTCGACATCATGCAGTATGATTATAGTTATTGCTATACATTCGCATGTATGACCACAATACCCATATCACCATGTTACGGTCTAATTACTAACACAAGTTCTCATTATTCTCATTCACTACTATACGGAGCTCCTTTGAGAACACTTAATGATTTCTATGTTAACACACTATATAATATAGATCAAACTGATTTTCGGTTGATATCATTCAGAGAGTACAATTTTACTTTAAAGGGACAATCTTACATAGGTATTTGCCGTTGTGCCGTATGCATGGTTTTTTTTACATCCGACTTGATTGGACTAAACTATTAAAGAGGCATTAACGGTTGGTAGGCCCTTATGTTTTGGAAAAAAGATAACCATCCACACAGGAGCTAGAACTCGAAAAAGACAGCATCTTATCCGAAAAGAAATACTTGGACGTGACAAAAGATGATAAGGATACTTCATGCCTTCAAGAAATCTGGTTTCTATCCTGTTTACAAGCTTTTCAGACACGTTCGTATACTCACATGACACCAATACTTCACACCAAATGTGAAAAAATCCGTTTAGCCCCTATTGCGTTCACAAGCCAATTGTTGACGGACGAACTGACGAACGGGCAGATGGACGGGCGGACGGATGGACTGACAGGGTGACGACAAAATACGCCAACACTGAAATAAATTTCGATTCGACGTAGTTTGACTTATATCTTGATTTTTTTACGATAATAAACACTTGTAGGCGCATTCCAGAAGAGGGAGAGTGTGGGGGTGGGGCATTTTAGCCACACTCCACTCTGATCCTATACCTGTATGAACAGAGATACTGCCTCAGAGCTAAGTTTATCAAATTCTCGGGTAATCCTCCAGACCTGTAGTCAAACTAGGACTTGGTGTTGTTTCCACTCATGGTGAATTTATTGGCCCTTGGCATATTGATGACCGGAAATCTTGGCAAATTAGTAAGTCCATGATATTTGTTTTACAACACCCCGTTAATAAATACATGTAACACATAAATTCTTGTTTCATTTGCAAATAGTTTACATGAAATTAGTACCGTTTAGTTTTATGTGACCAAGAAAATAAATGTATTACATTTTTAATAATATCATAATTGATATAATATTAGACTCTCTTCAAACTGGTCTAGGGCCGATGTCAGACTAGTTTACCAATGGATTAAGATCTCAGCACTAATGCTTCTTTATAAGCTTAACACCATTTTATTTAATAAAAAAAAATTCTGTACAGCCCATGCTGTACATAATGTTGACTACTAGTATTTTGAATATTATTTTAAAATCATTTTGGCTCGATTGCCCCCATCCCCCGAGCTCGACCATCCTCACTTGTTCTGTTACTGCTGGCGGACTTGAGTTTTTCTTGGAATATTATAGTACTTTCCATATCAATGGAAGAACTTGTTGGAAATTTAAAAATTCCAATGAAGGGAATACAAGTTGTGGTCTGATTCCAATTTTTTCGTCATAGTTGTCTACCCTTAAAAGGGAAATCGAAAGTCGACAGAATGCAAGTAGCTAGTGGAATATTTCGTCAGGTTGATTTGTAGTATTTAATGAGCATTATTTGTCGATTTTGTTGGTATTGTTTGTCAACCCAAGGTACGTGAAATCAGTAATTATACTTGTAATGATCTGAGAAAACTTTTATTTATAATGTTATAACTTTTCGACTGTCTTGGACTTAGTTGGACAGGCTGGACTGGGTTAGACAGGGTATGTAGGCTATGGTATTTGGAATTGATTGGATTGGGATTTGTTATTATCAAAATAATTAGGAAAGGCCCATTTGCTCCTCATATTGGCTGTTGAGGGTTAAATGTTTTGGGTTGAATTCTGTTTACATATTGTCTAAGAAATTTGGATAGAAAAGATTGAGATCACTTTCTGTTGTATGGTACCATATAAGGGGTTGTATTACTAGGTCCATGGTTATAAATTAAGGACCTGGGTATTGAATACACCCATGTGAATTTGAACAACCCATTGTTGGTCGTCAGAAATTTTTACCGCAATACATATAGCCCATAATGTTATAACATGGACCTTTTGATTCCAACATCAAAGACAAAGAGTAGCCTAGGCGTCTACTGTCATGAATTGAATCAGAAACTACCTGTAGGGCCTACTTGAAATCAGTTTGTGTGGGTCTGCCCTTTTTGATAACCTTGATAAGCCACTATTGAGGCAGACAGTGAATTAAGTGTAGTAGGGCCGATGCCTATCAGTAGTTTATGAATATTTACCTGAATTACCAACTGTAATATTAATTTTGTGTGTACTTTATATATACTTTCTTCAGGAAACACAGCCATAGGAAATCAAATTTCAAAAATCAAAGAAGATGGCGAGTAACTTATTTGGAATGGCTTTTATACCATATTACAATCATCTAATGGAACTCCTAGATACGAATGAAGAATTGAAGAAATCTGCAAAAGGTTGTCACTGTATACCTACTCATCATCTTCATGATTTTCAGGGACAGCAGTAGATGTGTGGTTAGGATGCTAGACTCACAGGGGGGTGGATGGCCGAATGGTTAGCACGTGCGCGCTGCATCATAAGGTCTGTCATTGAGTCAACTGGCGAAGTTTCGATTCCCCGGATGTACATGACACGTAGTAGGGTGGCCTGTCCAACCACGTGGGCTTTCCCCAGGTCCTCCTGTTTCCTCCCACTGCTAAAGACCCCTACACGCAAGTGAATTATTGAAATAATATTGAACCATGTGTTAGTCCCAAAATGACCTAGTTTGTTGACCTTTGGCTTTTGGAATTCAATGAAAAATAAGCGAACACCGAACTGTCATGCATGATTCATTCATCAATATCCTTTTATGGTTGCAAGCCTGTCATCAACATTTGAACCATAACAAATAGATTGATTGATTGCTTTGTTTTTACAGCATCATGGATGGTATTTTAAACTTTAATTCAATTTGATTTTCTATTTTTAGGCATGTTTTCTCAGATGTGTTGGAGTGCTGGTGGAGCTTTAGTTGGTGGAGCTGTAGGTGGTCCTCCTGGTGCCATGATAGGGGGCATTGCAGGTATTACATTATGCCAGTTGTGTTATGTTTTGAGCCTTTAGATGAAGAGGATAAATGATACTATAATAATGTTGAAGATTGACAGTAATTTCAAAAGTACCAGTACTGTATATGAAATAAAAATAGACACCATTTCTTGAAAGTTTCACTTACGTAAAATACTAAAAATTAATTTTATGAATGGGTGAACTCCATAGTTTCGTAAAATTAATAGTGTTTGTATGAATTGATATTACAAACTCGAGTATGCTGTAATGTAGTGTAGACAAATGCAGCAAGAAATTATAAAGAAATTTGTTGTAAATGGTTATGTGCCATAAATATCCTTCCACAACCATCTTATTTAAAGGTTTGAACTAATGAAATTCCAGGGTTAAGCCCTGTCTTCATTAGCCCAGTTGGAGCAGAACCGTAGGGCGTAAAACCACATTTCATTTTATTTCCCAGGGTTAGGAATAAATCATCTAGTATTGAAAGGCAGGTTTGAATTCTGTGAATCCAAATCTTGGTACTTTCCATATTTTGTTCCAATAAAGAATTCAAATCTGAATCTTAATACATTTATCGTAAATGAATCTATGAATTTGCTTTGTGATTTGGTTTCTTTAGATTCAAAATGGTAGTCAATCACAAGTCAACAAGAGACCATTATTGGACTTCAGTGACCTCAAATCTTGATTCTTTTTCTAGACTGGAATGTGGAAAGGAAATCTAGATTGGGATTCTTACTTAGGAATCAGTCTCACACTTAATTAATGATGTATAGGACAGATGGACAGGAAGGCATTGTTCAAAACATGCCTCTTGAAATTATGTATGAATAAATGCTGTTTACAGAATGGAATATTTGTATGTTACAGGCTCTGTGATTGGTTACTGTAGAGTTGATCCTTATCAATCCATGGTAGAAACATTGAGAAAACTGAATGATAAAGATAAGGCAAAACTGGTGAAAAAAATTCAAGAATTAGTAGGAAGTACTGGAATAGAGGCATTGACACGCTTTATAGCATCCCAAGCACAGCGAGAAATATTAGTCAACTTTTTAAGAAAGGCAGCCGAAGATTTTAAAGGGGGGTAATTTGCAAAATAGTAAATTAAAATTACACTTTAGGCCATGATAATTTTATTGATTTTTATTAAAGATTTATTATTAAAATAATTATAATTCCAGTATCAAATCATGTCCATAAGGGGAATATTTTAGCACCTGCACTTATTTATAGACTCGGCTACATCAGAGGAATTAAAAAGTTGAATAATTAGAATGATTTATTTTGTAAGATTGTAAAGATTTATACATTATAAATATATTTAATCACATGGTGTTTTCACACAGTCTATGTAAATATTTTATATAATCTATATATATATATATGATTTCATTCTCATGGTTATCACATATCGATCATAATAACAAGCTTTATATCTTATATTTATATTACAGTAGATCTGATTAACTAACAGATGTTGTAGTTTGTGATTTGAATGACAGAAATTGACAGGTACATGTCAATTACTCTTATATTTTGTAGACAGTTCTCAGGTTTATTTTATTATCTTTATGTATTTATACGGCTTTTAATGAATGTGTTATTTTCTCATTAAATAAATAAAAACTATTTTCAATAGAAGATTTTTATGTGCAATGAATGTAATATAACTATGAATATGCATCACTAACTCTGCTTAGCCTTCCTAGTAACATATCATAATGTATGTAATTACATAACAACACTCATGACTAGAAATGTTTCATTTTGATAATGAAAATATTTTACTATTCTAATATATTTCAATACTGTCATTTATTCCATTGATATATGATCATATATTAATATATGGAGCTTCTAGAGCCTAAAGTTCTGTATGCCAAAGCAAATTTATTGGTGTTAATTTTACTTTTAACAGTAACAAACTAGATCTTGAAATACCTTTAATATTTAACATGGACACGGGGGTGGGTGGGGGGGTGGATGGCCAAATGGTTAGCATGCACGTGCTGTATCATAGGGTCTGTCATTGATTCAACTGGCGGGGTTTCGATTCCCCGCTTGTACGTGACAAGGAGTAGGGTCACCTGTCCAACCTCGTGGGTTTTCTCCGGGTCCTCCGGTTTCCTCCGACTGCTAAAGACCCCTACATGCAAGCGAATTATTGAAATAAACAAATTAAATCCTATGTTAGTCCCGAAATGACCTAGTTTGTGTCGAGTGGACGTTAAACCCCATTTCTCTTTCTCTCTCTTAACATGGACACAACCCTTATGCTTCAGCATAGTGTTTATATACAGACCTAAAATTTTACTCTGGGCCAAGGAATCTGCGATATAATTATATAGGCTAGGCTTGATTGCCTTTAATACAGTTGTTACGATAATAAACAGTCTCGATTATCCATTTTACACGGTAACTGCATACAGCAGAAAATGTATTTGGATTTTGAATCCACTAAATATTACAGACATCTGATAGCATCGAGAGGTATGGTCTTAGTAAGTTAATTAATGTCTTAATTAATAATTTAGATAACATTTCATGCCTAAAGAAAGACCTAAAGATTTAGCTCTTGCATAATGCACGTTTAAGTAACAAATAAAATGCAATCAAATGAACAATTTTATTTTTGACACAAAATGAAAAAGTGGATACTGTTATAGCCAAACATTGTGAAAATACAAAACTGCTTTGTGGAATTATCATATCTGACAATTGTTTTATCTTTAGACATATTTTTTTCTAGAATGTAGTCCACCCTATCATACAGCTTAATAAAAAGATGATTATTGTATCTTCCCCTTGTCATTGGGAGGGGGGGGGGGCGCAAGGACAGTGTCTTATTCTTTGGATGGAATTAGAAGTAAAGGTCGTGTGTACGTGTTGGTTTGCTGTAAAAGAACGTTTGACGGAATTCGATATAAGATTTTGTCTGTCCTTACAAAAATTGCCTCATATAGCACACTGTAAGGCGTGCAAAAAGGTAGGACGTCAAATCCCACTTCGTTTAGGCCGATTGTACTGTCAAAAATGTTATAAATCTACTTCAATCAGCGATAGCCAGGATTTTACACCAGAGGGTCCGAAGGCCTAAATTTTTTGTGAATAAAAACGCTGTTGCCGATCGAAGTGAGGTCAAAGAACTTTCGCGGATCTTATTCTGTATATAAGGCGGTTTTAAATAGGTCGCATGTATTTCATCATACTTTGGTGGGTTTTTTGTTTTTTTGTTATGGTTTGTGCAGTTTAACATAACATAACATTACAATATTACCAAGTAGACAGTGTTGTCGCGTAGTGCCGGAGCGGAAAATTTGCATAGTTGTCGGCATTTTTTCTTTTACCCTGGAGGCCATACGGAAAACGAATTCTGCCAGATTTTACAGGAAACGTTATTCAGGTAGTTTTGTAATTTTATGCTATATAAACACATAATAACAAAAATGTATGATGAAATACATGTGACCTACTTTGGAAGCAATATTGTTAGTAAGTCAACAAACCACAAAACAGATCTGGCAGAAGAACTTGGTAGTAAGGTTATTAAGGTAGGGGGCTGATTCTTCTAGCCAATTCGATTAATAAATACCATTTAATTGTGTGCAATTAATTGACAGAAAATGCGAAAGGTTATTAATTTGAATTTGCATCTTCACCTTTGAAGCATTAATATATACCAACTGCTGTAATTCAGATGTGAAACAAATTATCTTCGTATATGAGCTATTGTGTTCTATTTTTATATTTCACTTAGTTAGGTTAGGTTAATTGGACCTGTTTAATATTGGCGGGACAACGGCATAGAGGCTGAATTGTTGTAACAAACTAAAAAATGAATCATAATTTTAGTATTGTTCAGTAGCAGATCTAGAAGCTGTGAAGTGTAAGGGGGTGGGGGGCAATTCTTGGATGCCACCTACAACTTATTTCAACACAATGCATACTAAAAAAACCCAATGGGCTTCCCCCATAGAACACAGCTTGTATTGCCTATATAGGTGTTCGCCGACCGACCGTTATCTCGCCGGAAAGCAGTTTCATTCAAGTTGACAGAAAGTTCATGTTCAGAGTATCAGTATTATTTTGGCCTAGTTATAGTGTATTCAATTCTAATAACATTCTCCATGCATTTAGATCTGACATGCTTATTGACAAGTAAGATAGGGTTGCTATATAGATTTTTTTTATATAACATTAAATATAACTAGACATCTCTCTGCTTTAACCTCTGGCGCAGAAATAAGCCCCATCAAATCTAATGCTGTTTGAAAGTATCGTCTCACCAGCGGTTTCAAAAGATGAGAGCATAACTTGAAAACGATACTGGGTTAAACTTGTTATGTGAATTGCCGTAAACTGGAAAGACATCATAGAGTAGCTGATTGTAGAAGCACTAATGCATTGATCATAGTACAGTGATTATCAAGATTCGCTGATCAGAAGAATTTCTCTCCCGCCTTTCTTTATTAGTTCAAAAAATCCTGACAAATTCTTTGGGGTGACGAGGAAACTCATGCGTTAACGACGGGTTATTACTTAGTGTATTTCTCCGATTATGACCTCCCGGGTCCTATACCCGAGAAGTCATGATTGTGACCGAAGCATGCCACAAAACTGAACACACGCTTTATGTAGTTTTTGAAGAAAATAAATTACTATGTTAAGGTTTGAAAAAAATATATTTAATTTATTGAATATTTACAAGCCTTGGTGTTCATTTTTAACAACAAACAAATATAATAATTCTTTTGAATTTAACCCTGTAAAAACTTGAAATTAACTGATTAAATGAGATAATATTACCCAAAAATCACATACAGGCGCCACTGGAATTAATAACTGAAGAAATTTAAAACACTGCCGATGCCATTTATTCAAGATCTATATTTAACCAAAAGACATTGGGATACCAAACGGTTTAAAGGGTAATGCATTTTAAATAGTCCTAATACACCGACTATGATTAGGTTTCAAATATTTCTTCAAAATTTTAATATGTGCCTTAACTTATATAATTCAAGACATTGACATCTTTTTTTATGTATGAACTAAAGAAGATATGAAGATCTAAAATGGGGCCCAAATGAAAATAACCAAACAAATTTAATTCATAAAATAACTTGAATGAATAATTTTTTTGGTGTTTACAAAGTACATTAATATAATATACATCTTACCATAAAATTTATATCTTACTTATATACAGAGGTCTGATATTTACAGCAGTATTGGTAGTTTTAAAAAAAAACCACACACAATCAAAATGCACTTGTGTGGTTGATGTATAAAATTTCATAAATGTTGATAATTAAAAAGTGGCTCAATCACAATAAAGTTTTACACCAAAGCACTGTTAAGCATGAACTTCTATTCCAAATTTTTGTTTAATACATTATAACTCAATCTACCAAGGCCTCTTTTTGTAAAAACAAACTTTTTGATTTAAAAAAACTAAATATGCTTATTCAAATGGTAATCAAGCTTATATTTTCCTTGTCTGCAAATTTAGTGGAAGTCATTCTGTTGAATTCATCATTTATTACTATTTTTTTTTTTTTACTTTTCTTGGTGGCTGTTAGCATTCCATTTTACTCTCTAAATGGACACATATATCTATAAGGTGGAGTTATATCTTTCCCATTAAATTGACATATCCGGTTTTATTAAATCAACATTTTTATTTAATTTTTTACACAAATAAGACCTACTTTAAGATATGAAATATGACTAAATAAGTTGAAACAATGAATTATCATCTTCACTATTTTCACTGCTCAAGTCATTTAAATTCAATATAACATCATCTGCATCATCATCAACATCATCATCATCATCTTCATCATCTAGCTCATATTCAATACCTTCTAAATCATCCCCACCATTCAAGTCATCAAGCTCCAGATCATCATCTGAACCAATATTATCATCACCTACATCTTCCTCATCATCATCGTCATCATCATCATCATCGTCGTCTTCATCATCATCATCATCATTGCCTTTCTCCTCTTCTTCTTCTGGCTGATCTTCCTCATCATCCCTTCTTTTACCAACTTCATAAAGTCGACATAAACTCTCCTCTCCACTTCGCTCAGAAAATTTTTGATTTTCCACCACAGCAAGGTAACAATCTGATTTGTCGGTAGAAAGATCAAAGATACTTTTTGTCTTTAAATCCTTTGTTCCGATATGTGTATAATCTGTTGAGTCAAATGTGCGAAGTGTAGAACTGTAGGGACTTCGATACCTATCTTCTGGACTAGGATCTTCATCGAAATGAGTGGCATAAATTACATCACCAGAATAGTTAAACTGTATCTGACATTGGTCTAAGGCTGGTACCGTATGAAGTAAATGGAAAGTTCGCACATCCCACACTTCAGAATTAATAATTACTTCCAGTCCCATTGGATGGAACACACCACTGATACTGGGGTTAAATTTATCAAACTTGTGTATTGGTTTGGTGGACCTGACATCCCACAAAACACCATCATTCAACACAAGATCCCCACAAGGACTAAAGGTGGCAATATTAGATTTGTAGTTGTTAGCTTTACTAGTGTCATATAAAGTCATAATCAGTTGACCTGTAGCTGTGTCATAAATATGGGCAGTTTCATCCTTAGTACCAATAATCTTGTCCTGAGTAATTTTACTGAATTCAGCGTAAGTATCATCAAAGGTGAACCTATTCTCTAAGGTGTCATCTACCCATGCCCATAGAGAAGAATCCTGCATTGTTCCCCATGTTGATGTAAGCAGAAGATTACCATCTGTAGAAGGATCTAAATGAATAACTGGCGACGAATGGCAGCTGTATATTCCTAACTCTTCAGTATAGATATTACACATTTTGATTTCTCCAGAAAATGTCCCAAGCAGTAGATACCCGACTGATGTTAAAGCACAACAAGCGAAACCATCATCTTCGGTATCTTTAAAAGTTTTTACAGGTCTAAATCGACTATAGATTAACTTTCTATCATATTTAGCACGATCAAGGCCTCCATTTCTCGGATAAATGGATCGGTTAAGATACCTGGTAGTGAAGTTGATGGGAGCAGTCTTTTGACCCCGAGGCTCCGGACACTGATGAGGTGAAAACAGAGACATGGGAGGACAAGTAACTACTGGATTTGGACAGAGTGCATGTTGTTTTCGTAAATACTCTGTCACTATTTTATCCAAAGAAATGTCATAATCACTAAGAGATTTTCCTGAGAGAGTACGAACACTAGGGGCGGGTGTTACTGCAAGAGTATCTTTTTCTCTACAGTCTCTAATGTATTTACTTTTAGATGTCCCATGAACACCTCCTGGTTTGGGGGTATTTAATTGGCTTGTTTGAAGATTTCGCCCCATGGTAAATTTGATTGGAGTTGGTACAGTTGTAGAGGATGCTGTTGGGCTTAGAGCAGCTAATGTAGGGGCAGATATACTGGCTGAAGCACTAAGCTGACGAGTAAATTTTGAACTACTGGTAGATGGAGAGAATATATTTGGTGCTGCTATGTGAACAACAGATGGGGATGTAAAGGCAGGGAGTTTGGCTTCCTTTCTTAACAAGTTCGCAGAATCTGGATAACCTTTAGACAGTAAATGGCCACAGATTAGTTGTAGTAGTTCTTTTTCTTGGAAAATGATTTTTGTTTTTGAGACTATGTCAGACCGTCTAATCTCTTCCAAAGAAGCATTGACACATTTTGATTGTTTTCCAGATACTTTCTCCAAGAGGTCACAAGCATATTTACAAAATCTGATATGTTCCTGTCTCTTGTCTTGAAGAACAGGTTCTTTCATTAATAACTGAAGTTGTCCATTATTAAAAAGTGGCAATTTACTGATAATTTGTCTTAGAGTCTCAGATCTGGACAACCCGACTAGAGCTTTACAAGACAGAGCTCGGATGGCATCGGCATCCGTTATTGGTGTTTTTACTGATAGCAATTTAAGAAGGGCCATAACACCATTATTTGTGCGCACTGCATTCCACATTTTTGTCAAAATATCCTCTCCACCCTTAGTATTAAGTCTCTTCTTTGAACCTGAACCCATAAAGCGTCCCACACCTCCCCCAAACCTATCTATAGGACTACAAACACAGTTCACAATAATAGTCAGTGCCGATCTTTGTACATCGGCATCTATCAATAAAGTTTCTCCCTCAGCAAGACCGATTATAATACTGATTGCAGGAGACTTAACATCATTAGGTAGACATATAGTTTCTAATAGCACTGATTGGGCTCGAGGAGTAACAGTACACACAGCCAATACGTCCAGGGCAGCCTTTACTGTTTCAGGTCTGCCAGGGTATGAATTCCAGTCTGGTGCCATAGAGATAAGCTGTAATAATAAATGAATTCCTCCCAGTTTCTGAAATGTAATGACTGGGGTCCAATGTGATCTTATTGGGAAAAACATACTCAGTAGTTCAATATTCTCTTCAATTAGTTCTTCTGATATTTTCACCGGTCTGAATGATGCGGTTTCATGGACAGGAGGATGTTCATCACTTCGATCATGTGATCTTTTTATTTCCTCAGCTTTCATAATCATGTGAGCATCAAAATACATCCTCATTGCACCACAAACATGTCTTGCAGTTTGTCTCATAGTAAAAACATAATCCTCAGATAAATTTTCAGAATTATCTTCAACGTTTAACAGTGCTAAAGTACTTATGGCATTAAACAAGTGTCTTAACCCATTTTGTTGGTCAAATAAATCCAACATGACCTTAAATGGGAATGTTTGGCTGAAGAACATAGCAGCATGAATACGACTTGAATCATGCGAGCATTCTAATAGCCATAAAGCATATTCCACAAGATTAACAAGTATGTGTTCTGGCAGAAGACAAACACGTTCCAAAGCATCTTCAAAATATGACATAAAATACAGACAAAGTGACACACCTGTAGCAGCGATAGATGGTCTATTTATTGTGATTAGTTTCTCGATACCTCCTCGTTGGAGAAACTCAATGGCAAATTTCTTATGGCACAATAAAGTTGCAAGATATTTTAGAGCCTCAAATGCTAATCTAACATCAGTATTTTTTTTTAAGTCTATGTAAAAAATGATCAAGTCCATTGCGTTATATTCAAATGCAAAACCCAATAGATCTTGATATTCACCCATGGGGGTTAAATATTGCAATATTATTCTTTGTTTCATTGTCACACTAAGTGGTTCCATTGAATACGATCCAATGATAAAATGCTCCATTTCTAACCAACTGCTGTTACTACATGTAAGTTCTGAATTGAAATATGTTTGACTATCGTTGCGACTCTTTTTATTTTGTTGAAAATCGTCACTATTATATCTGGGAGATAGGGATAAGCCTCTCTTTAAGGACGATGAAGATTGCGTATTTGGAGAGACTGTAGCAGAAGAATTTTCTTTCATAGACATTTTGTGAAGATTTTCACTTGTTTCAAAACTTGATAAGCGTACTTCATCTTTACCACCAGTACTGGAATTCTTTTTATTTGAATCATTTGATGTCCCTGGTAAATTCTCAGATTCTGTTTTTTTTAGGCATTTATCTTTAGAGTTAGAGTTCTTAGACACTTCTGAGAAATGACGCTTATTGGTCTTTGAAACCTCACTAGGATTTGACTGTGATTCACATAATTTGTGCAATCTACGTAACATTATTGGAACAAGATGTGCATTTTTTTCTCTAAAGTCAATTGATATTTCTGGTAATTTGATAGCAACTGCAAAAAGCCCTGTGGCATAAGATCGAAGTGGTTCCGACCCAAGTTCTGCCCACTGGAATATTTTTTCAGTGAGACCCTCTGTTTCTTGAAATAATATTGAGGCTTCTACACCTGGCATAACATCTAATAATAGACGGCATGCAGCTGTTTGTAATGGAATATCTTCACGACTTCTCATAATATAGTTGCCAACCAACTCATTCATGAAACGTTCATTCTTGGAGAGATTCACTAAAACTTTCCCGAGACCACAAGTGGGGTCTGCTCGGTCTGGATGTCTGTCATCAAATGGGTCAAGATCTAGTTTATAAAAGGCTTCTGTTTCTATCTCTATAATTTCTGCTAATCTTTTCAAATTTTTTACTGTTGTTTCGCCATTCCACGAAGCTTGATTTGTACCCCATTTCTCTAATAAAGAGGTAAACTCGGAAACAAGGTCTTCGGCTTCGTTTGAAGTTGAAGTTGAAACTGACATTTTCGTCATTACTGCAATTTGACAGCTTCCATTACATTGTCTGCTGAATCACAGATGTTTGACTGAACATTTGGTTTCACAATATATTTCTTCTGTGCTAAACAAATATATATGTATTCATAATACAGTTCAAAATATCATAAAACTTAAACAATAACAGAGTTTCTTCACAACAACCGTTAAAGCGTGCGTTTTACAATTTTTTTGATTCAGTGTTTAGTTTCGTACTCGGAAAAATGTGTATTCAGTAGCCGAACTTTCGTACAACTTTTGACGCGATTAACTCACTCTAATTATAATTTTGGCGATTACCGTAAGCACGCCGCACCGGTTAATAATATCTGGGTGACCTGTTTTATGTCAACCTGCCCTGTCTCTTTTATAGAACAACAGCAGTTTGTAATTGTACCCCCAGAATCTGCATCCATATTAGCATGGACATCTATGATTACTGACATAATTGTACTGTTTCACTCAGTCACTGACTTGAGTCAGGACTCGAGTCGATGAAGCCAATTTGAAATGAATCATATCATTTTTATAAAACGGACGCGAGTAGGGCTTTTAAGTGCATTATCTATAGATAAGATAAGATAAGATTTTATTGCATCGAAACATCCATTTAGAACAGCATACAATATAAACGTGTACATAAAGATTATAATATATGAGTTTCATTATTTTTAGCAATTGAATCTCGGTATTATTATCTATTGAAATTCATTATTTTATTTTATTATGATGAAAGTTGGTGAATTGGTGAATGAATCGTTCCATGTGTTGTTTATTTCAATCACGACCTTTAACCTCAATGTCAGTTGTTTGATTGGCCAAGAAGAACACCCCTCCACTCTGTAGAATCCGCTGATTGCTGGTTATCGAACAAATTGCTCCTCGATTGTCAAGGTCGATCGGTGTTTGGCGTGATTTAGCTAAGGTAGTATCACGCAGTTAGTCGTTATCTTATTGATAAATAATGTTATTATTAGATATATGAAATAGAAAGCCGGTCCCGGATGTAAAAATTTAAACATGGACTCTACTATACTCCTCATACGCCCGGTCATAGCATTGATATAACATGAACACGTGTCCATAGATCAGATTATTTGTTGACTGTCTCGGTCGGTGAACTGAAGTCGATTTTGTTTCACGCTCTGAGACACAAACACTCTCAACAGGATCTACCTAGTACTACCCATAGGCCATGCGTTTTATTTTACATGCTCTAGTTCTTCGAATGAAAAGTGTGACCAGAACTAGGGTATAAATTATCAGGTTTTAAAATCGGGAATAAAGTCGGTAGAAGAGTCAACAACTGAACCGTTGGCATTGCTGTATTTTTGTTTTATTATTGTTATTAATTTAATTCATTATTTTGATAGGATTACCAAGTGTTATTTTTTAACAGTTAAAAAATACAGTGCATATAAAGATCACAGATGTACAAAAGACATTCCAATAGGCCTAAATAAAATGAAAACACAGAAAAATGCCTTTTAACATTAAATAGGATTACCAAGTGTTATTTTTTAACAGTTAAAAAATACAGTGCATATAAAGATCACAGATGTACAAAAGACATTCCAATAGGCCTAAATAAAATGAAAACACAGAAAAATGCCTTTTAACATTAAATTGTCATTTACTCATTACTTAGGCATTAGATAAGGCCTATATCATTTATCATATGTTAACTGACATTATTATAATTATATGTTTGGCTATATTTCAGATTGAAGAAACAGATTTTATGTTAACAAATTAATACATTTGAATTAAGATATCAAACAGTCCAAGAAAATGTTGAGCCGGTTTATTCAACCTTTATCCTTAGCTTCCAAACAGATTGCTAGAGCTTCTTATTCCCAAAGTTCAGCAGCAGTCAAAATAGGTGCCAAATCTGATGCAGTGTTTGCAAGAGAAGACAAATATGGAGCCCATAACTATGGTCCACTACCTGTAGCTCTTTGTCGTGGTGAAGGTATATATTATATGTAAATATTTGAATATAATCGGTCAGTAGACATTATATTTATGTATGAATTGATTCAAATTGCCCACATGATTTTATAAGATGTAACTGTCCAACCCTTCACACAATTTGTTGCATTCAGATTCTCATGGCGAGATTTAAAATCAACACTTCATTTAACTATAAGTGGTGATTTTTGTCGATGTCTTGTGTAAGAGTCTGTAAGACAGGTATGCTTAGTAAGCTTACCCTTTCTAGACTGCTTTATACCCTATACAAAGGGTTCAAGTGAAACTTTTCCTTGGAAATTTTCTGTTTCTTGAGAATATCATTATATGGTTAGAAAAGGCCAGTCTGTAAGAGACCCTGCTAAAAGAACAGAGTCTCAATCCATAACTTATCTTTCGTTATATATTTTTTAGGAGTACATGTTTGGGATGTTGATGGAAATAAGTATTATGATTTTCTCAGTGCTTATAGTGCAGTTAATCAAGGTCATTGCCATCCAAAAATAATTAAAGCTTTAAAAGATCAAGCAGATGTATTTACCTTGTCATCAAGAGCATTCTATAATAATTTACTAGGAGAATATGCTGAATATATCACTGGTTTATTTAAGTATGATAAAGTTCTACCCATGAATACAGGTACAACAGTTTCTTTATATTTAATTTTCATGAAGGATCTTACCATTTAAAAAAAAAAAAATTAAGCCATGGTCAGAGATATTCCTAAGTATGATGCTTTTCCTTGCAACATGGTTCTATGCACAATTGACCGTTCTGGGCACGAAAAGAAATTGGAACTGACAGTTGCTATTATAATACTAAAAAACAACTTATAAGCATGCCTATTCTAATAATATTATATCATACAAGTTTCATAATATCTAAGATTTGGCTGTTGTTAGTTGTTGCATCATAAGGTCTGTCATTGAGTCAACTGGCATGGTTTTGATTTCCCGGTTGTACATGACAGGGAGTTGGGTCGCCTGTCCAACCCCGTGGGTTTTCTCCCTGTCATCCAGTTTTCTCACATTGCTAAAGACCCCTGCGCTATAGCGAATTATTGAAATAAAATTGAACCATATGTTGGTCCCGAAATGACCTAGTTTGTGTCGGGTGGATGTTAAACTCCTCTCTCTCTCTCTCTCTCTCTCTCTAATGGTGTACAAAATTATCCAGTGTTGTATTGAGGATGCAAATGTATATATATATATAATCTTATTTAGGATAGATATGAGAAGTTGAAAATTATGGAAGACTGGGTGGAAATCCTTGATAAAATCCTGAAGAACACAGGACATTCAACGCACTATCAATCAACAGTTTTCTAATTGCCATCAGATTTCTGTTTTTTAGGGTCACCTAGCTGTTTTCAGTAGGGTGTTTACAGCTGTTTATCTTGTTTTTATTATAGGTGTAGAAGGAGGTGAAACAGCATGTAAATTAGCCAGGAAGTGGGGATATAGTGTAAAGAAAATACCTGACAATAAAGCTAAGATTATATTTGCTGATGGTAACTTCTGGGGTCGAACATTAGCTGCCATTTCTAGTTCTACCGATCCGTCAAGTTATTCAGGTTTCGGACCGTTTATGCCAGGATATGTTGTAGTACCATATAATGATTTATCTGCTCTTGAGGTAAGATTCTGTAGCAATGATTTAGAGACTTTTCTATCCTATGGAGGAAAGGTTTTGTAAAAAAACATTGAGCCTTTCAAAAAGAAAAAAACTATTGAATTTTCAATTCGGAAAAAAAAAAATGAAACATAGAAAGACTGGAATTAAACTTTTAAATTAGGCAATATTCTCAAATGTTGCTGTGTCACTTAAAAAAGTTACATTGACCTGTTTTTATTACAAAGAATACAAAACAAAAAACATTCACATTGATTACCTTGAGCTCATATTGCAATAAACATCTCTCTATTACCTAAATTAAAGGGAGATAACTCTATTAAACATTTCTGGTTGAACATCTTGAGTGTCCATAACCCTGATACTATAGATGCTATTGATAATGATAATTGTCCTGTGAACTACATTAATTTTGTAATGAGAAAGAAATTGGTTTATACTTTAAATAGATGAGATGTTATTGAAGAATTGTCTGAATATAATCAGAATATAGGCTTATTTTATGTTATTATTAGCATTGTCTGAATAGAATCAGAATATAGACTTATTTTATATTATTAGTTTTAAATGAAATCTTTATCAGTTCACTGCTACCCATTTAACCAGTTTGACGCAGGATTTTTTTGTCATGCCCAGACCCCCCACGTAGGATTATTTTTGGAAAAATTGACCCTTTTACATTAATTGTCAAAATTTGGCTATTTATGGTATTGTATTCAAATAAAAAGCACCACTAATTGTAGAAAGCATAATTGACATAATTTCGATTCTGTTTTGCTTTAGGCCTTCCATTCACAGCATTCAAATTCAACGAATTGTTATTGTCAGGCACGTCAGTGTTGTGAATGTCAAAATCACTATCGGTACTTGAACTGTCGCCAATTTCACCCAATTTAAACTCACTTCCACTCGAATTATCATCCACATTGTCATCAATGTCATCAATGCTGTCGTCGGAATCAGAAGAAGAGGAACCTGACGTTGCAAACATGTATTGTATTTCGTTTTCCGTAAGGGCTTGTTTTCTTCTGGCGCCGCCATTGTTTATTCCGAGCGGTCAGCTGACTGCTAAAAATAACCCACAATAAACGACAATTATCACCATCTATGCACTCCGTAACCCCGTAATAACAACAATAGACAAAGTGGGAACACGCTAAAGTCAATCAAGTTTTTCGGGCCAATCAGAATGAAATGCTTTCAGGGGCGTGTTTTCATATGTTAATTTCGCGAGTTATCTCGTCATCTGCGTGTCGGCAACGTAATTTTCTGCGAGATATCTCATCATCCGCGTCGAACTGGTTAAAAAACTAAATGCATGATGGAACTTCAAAGCTATTTTGAAAAAGCCTTTTTGAATCTTTTTTATTGTTTTCAGAAAGAATTAAAGGATAAAAATGTATGTGCATTTATGGTTGAACCTATACAAGGTGAAGCAGGTGTTGTTGTACCAGATGCAGGTTATCTGACTAAAGTAAGAGAACTCTGTTCTAAATACAACGTTCTGTTTATAGCAGACGAAGTTCAGACTGGTCTGGCTAGAACAGGAAGGTAAGATATCCTGAACCATATCTGCAATAAAATTCATAATCTTGGGTATGTATGGGCTGTTACTAAAGATAAAAAGGAAATTTATTTAAAGACTTGCCTAAGTCTGCAATGTTGGCCGCAGACTACTAAATTACTTCACCTGTCTCGGTACCCACAATTATAGTTACTCCTGTTTAAAGTCTTTCTCTCCCTTTTCTTGTCCACATGGCTATTTTTGTTTCTCGATCTGTGTTGGAGAGCATTCATCTTAGGGCTGGCGAAAAATATCGATATAACCGATAATCGTCAACGACTACGGGAAAATATTGATATTGATATTCAGTTCTTGATATCGATACTCGTATGAAAAATAAAGGAACTTCAATAAAATGAAATTAACGGAATGTTTTGTGTCAAATAATCACCGTCATATCATTCAAAACACGTCATATCATTCGAAACACGCTAAAACTAAAAACACACACACTAATGACTAAGGTACAACCACTGCACTGGTAATTTTTGCGGTTGTTTACAACAATGACAATGAATAATTAATTTATTATTCAGGGGAAATAACTCGATTTTAATAGAAATTTCTTTATTGTTATAAGCGGCCAAGGACAATTGTCAACAGCGATTGAATGGCGAGTGCAAAGCTGCGAATACTAGTTTGTTAATTACACCTTCAGAAAAATTGTAGGCGAAACAAACATTAAAAAAGCATAGTTTGAGGATCATAGTTTTTTTATTATTTGATCAATAACACATTTAAATGCATTATTAGGATACAAACAGTTATTCCTTTCAACTTCAAATTTTCCGATGTATCGATATTGCCGAAATGTTTGCCGATATAGATATTTAAAATCGGTATCGATTGCCAGCCCTAGTTCATCTCAACAAATATTTGGTGATTTGCATCCTGCTGCTGGGCTATTAAATGGAATTATCTCCCCTTAGTACTTTCTACACGCTTTCAAAATTCTTTTTACTTTATCTACACAATTTCATTTATTGTAAACAATTTCATATAATACATTACAAAACTATATTTTTTTATAAAGACGTCTTTGCTGTGACCATGAAAATGTACGTCCTGATATAGTTATCCTGGGTAAAGCTCTGTCTGGTGGTGTTCTTCCAGTAAGTTATATACATATATATTGTTCAATTTTAATGTAAAGATTGTTATTATGATGTAATTAACCTGTTAAGCTTGACTTTTTTAAAACGTTAACTACCCCCTATTGTGTAATTAATTTGACGAAGTGAAGAAGAACTATGTACTATGTTCTAAGAATAGGTTGGGGAAAATACCTCCAAGGCGTTATATTACGCCATATCCACAGTGAGTGGCAGTTGTCCAGGACGTAATATAATGTTCTACACATGCTGCCATCGTGTAAAAGAACAAAGAATGTATATATAGTTGGTACTTATATTTAGGTGTCTGCTATATTAGCTGATGATGAGGTCATGTTAACTATAAAACCAGGTGAACATGGCTCAACATTTGGTGGAAATCCCTTGGCTTGTAGTGTTGCTATGGCTGCCCTACAGGTATGTATCTGACTATCATATTATTTCATTGTTTTGATATATTTTATGGTAGTTATAGATCTTCAGTAATTTGTAATAGTAAAAGAGATGGTCAACTGTTATAGATTCTTTATATTTTAGTTGTTAAGTTAAACCTCCAGCACTTAGACCACACTAACTAGGGCTCCTCAGACCCCCCCCCCCCACCCACCCCTACACGCACAAACTTTTGATCAATAGTATTGACGTTTGCCCTACATGCTAAATATATATTGCAATATTTAGTTTGAGCCCATCTATCACAATAGACAGACCAACTGCTTTGGCTCATGCGCTAGCCTATCTAGAACAGCTCCGTCAATATATGGACATAAATACTTTATCACACATACACGATAAAAAACACGTCAAATAATTTTCTTCAAGGAATTGGGGTAGTCAATATTTACACGTACCAAGTGCTAAAGGGATAAGATTATATGATTTAGTTTCAGCATTCTAGAAACTATTTCAATAGTAAATTACGAGAGAAACATAATGAATATAATAGAAAGAATCTGGAACAGTTAAACTTCTCCTTTAATATAATATATACAGCTCACATTGAAATTGGGTGTAGATATAATGATTTTAGTTGTACCTGACAAAATACCAGGCATTAATAAACTACATGTACTACTTGACATTTTAAACTTTGAACAGTTAAACTTCTCCTTTAATATAATATATACAGCTCACATTGAAATTGGGTGTAGATATAATGATTTTAGTTGTACCTGACAAAATACCAGGCATTAATAAACTACATGTACTACTTGACATTTTAAACTTTTGCCAGACATGTATTATAAATATCATTAAGAACACAAATAAAAACAAATCAGGGCTGTTCCTGACAAATCCCGAATTTGTGTCTAAGAATGTTGGTGACAGGTAGGTGTCGTATTTCCAGGGTTAGTTAAAACATCACCTCAAATGGTTTGCTGTTAATTGTTTCTATTTTTATTATCAAATTGTCAGAAATAACATATTCAAAATAAAATACATTCAAAATAACATACATAAAAAATAACATACATAAAAAATCAAATAACATACATACAAAATAACTAACATACAAATAACATGCATACACCATAACTTATATACAAAATAACATGCATACAAAATAACATTCATGCAAGATACATACAAAATAACTTGCATACATAATACAACACAACATACATACAAAATAATATACATTCCATACAAACAAAATAACGCACACATACAAAATTGCAGGAATTTACATGTGATAAGAAGACCTTAATGATTGAAATTCTGATGTAGGTTTTGGAAGAAGAAAAACTAGCAGAAAATGCTGAAAATTTAGGGCAGTTTTTAAGATCTGAGTTAGCTACTCTACCTAAAGATGTTGTTAGTGTTGTTCGAGGAAAAGGATTGTTAAATGCTATTGTTATCAATCCTAGTAAGTATTATTTTATTGTTATTCATGCTTCCAGTATATCAGTATTAGTTAAACCATGTGATCTAAATCAGTGTTTTACCTGCTGCATCTATTTTTCTCTAGGTCAATGATATTAGCACTGCAAGTTTAAAGAGATGTTCAGCCATTACAATGTGTTTAAAGTCACAGATCCCATTCATGCATTATTTGGACAATGTATAAATTTTCATGGCCTAATCCACACTAAACTGTATTTAAATTAATTATTTAACATTTAATAAAGAAAGCAAAACCCAAATATCAACAGTGATTATTCTCACAACTTGGATTCAATTGGTGTATCAAAAGATATACAGTCATCTGAGTATGCCAGATATTGTGAAATTTTCATTTTTGAAATGGTATTTATTAGTTTGCAAGGGCATCAAAATTCCCTCAAACCACAATCAGCAGCTTTAAATATTTTATTAAACAGCCATGCGCAATCTGAAATTGTTTCTAGTTAATTAACAAATTTGAATGCGAGTGGTGATGCTTGTACATTAATTAATAAATTTAACAATGACAAAAAGCGGTCCATTGTTAATCATTCGCTATTTGAGCACCCACGTACTGACTACCTGTCAAGAATTTTCTAGAACAAAGCCGCTATTCCTCTATTACTGAAGCCATCAATGTTTTTTTGTTTTATGTTCTACATTATTGATGATAATTTGTATTTACTATTATTTTTACAGAGTTTGATGCGTGGGAAGTTTGTGTTAAACTACGTGATAATGGTTTACTGGCTAAACCAACTCATGGGGATATTATACGATTTGCTCCGCCACTCAACATCAACAAATCTCAACTAGAAGAATGTATTAAAATCATCAAACAAACTATTCTCTCATTTTAAATATACAACTATTACCCTTTAAGACGTCAGTGTGTAACTAATTATATTGTGTTCAGATCTGTACTTAAAAATAAGAATTATGTACTTATGTCTGGCAACAAATTCATTATTATATTTAATTCTGATATTTTGTAGGTGAAAACTGATAGTGTTTTGTTAATTGAAAAACTACAATAAAATCAGTAATAACACTTTTTATATCTGAGTAATGTACAATAATATCAGTACTATATAAATTTGAAATCTGGGAATTCTAAAAATTTGCATATTTGAACTCAAAACTAATAAATATAGAAAGTGTGATACAAATTAGATACAAATACAAATTGAAACAATGAACTGAATGTTAATGAATTGATCCTTGGTGTAGGATATGTGAATGTCATTTAACTCTGTCCTTTTTGATTATGCTTTGGTGATTTTGTGTTAAAATGGCTGTATTGTCTAATACTCTCACAGATAGTGTATATTTTCTTTATTTTGATAGATATATACTGAAATCTATTTTCTATATATAAATAATATATCCCTTATATACAAATTTGGTTGATGCTTTATATATACACATGTAAGCTTTAATATACAATTTAATAAACTTATTAATACTGATATTTTACAAATAATATTACACATTTGTGTAATTAAATGTTTTATACATAAATTTACATTATCTTTTTCTCTCTTAATTAGATTTCCGTGATTGATCAAAATATTTGAGATGTACAAGTATTATTCACAATACTGCATAGTTTATTATTATTAAAATATCTCTGATTGTTTCTATATATTCTTTTCAAAATCTAAATGGGTGAAGGTGGGGGATGGCCGAATGGTGTGTGTGTGCTGTGTCATAAGGTCTGTCATTGAGTCAACCGGCGTGGTTTTCATTCCCTGGTTGTACGTGACAAGGAGTAGGGTCGCCTGTCCAACCTCGTGGGTTTTATTGAAATAAAATTGAACCATATGTTAGTCCCGAAATGACCTAGTTTGTGTTGAGTGTACCATGGACCTTAAACCTCTCTCTTTTGCAAACTTTTCAGCTTTAATGAGAATGTGTGGCTTTTCTTTACTTTTCTTTGTAACTCAACCATTTTTCGAGTGTTAAGCAAGCAAAATACTCAAAATCCTTATCTTAATTGTTATAGAGATGTGTGTGTGTGTGTGTGTGTCCTGGATAACTGCTAGGATTTTATTATTATTGTGATACATGTAATCCCAAACTGTTGGTTGATCTCTTAGGAAGGGAAGCTTCCACTTGAAGTGGTTTTTTTTACCTCCAAAAACCTATTTATGTAAACCTATTTCTTGCATTGTTAGACAGTGTATTTGACCTTTTCTAGAAGACCTTATTTTACTCAGAAATTTAACTTGCTGAACAATGTTTTTATTATTTTTTTTGTTTCATTATTTCTTTTAGTTAATTAGTTATATGAATGAAATAAATTGGGGAACATGTTGAAAGAAAACCATATCATACTACTAAAGTTGTTGAATAGATAATAGTGCTATTTTTGTTAAATTGTTATGATTACCAAATGATTAATATAATTATAAATAGTGTTCTTTTGTTGAACTAAAAGTATTATTTGTATTAATATATCAATACATATATATCGACAATTATAATTCTTTTTTTTTATCTATTTCCATACTCCCGAATTTTTCTGCTTCACATTTCTTGTAAATGTGCTACATGTTTTGGTTGATGTTCTTTTTCCTCAGAATTAGAGGTCAGGATTGTTTGGCTCACCTAAACTTTATAAACTCTACAGTACAGAGTTTTTGAAAACTCAATTTACTCAGACAGTTCAACTAGTCTGGTCGAAATTCAGACACCAAAAGACTTTTCTCATTCGTTTTATGGCAGGTAGGAGAGAGTCTATATGAATAAGCCCCATGTGTTTTTGGGAACCATCAAATTTTCTGAGAATATCGTCATTGATTCTTTTCCAGAAACACCTTGAAATATATAAATAGGCTATATATATTTATATATTTATCCAAAGCATAATAATTTAGCACCACCTTTCTGCAAGGGGATCATAGTGGCTAAGTGGGTAAGAAAGTTCATCCAGATTTTCCTGCGTGGTTCTCCCTTGTCAGTGATTCAGGACAGAGGACCTGACAAGGACAGCTTGGATACTGCTTAGATACGTGTAAATTAGAGAGAAAATTCTACTTTGAATTCCACAAATGCTAAGAATCTTTACGCGTACGACAGGTTTTGGTCTGAACCGAGGAACTAGACACTTATTTTCAATCCCATAGGCCCCATTCCTTATAACAAGTGCAAAGAAGCATACTCTTAACATATCTTTCCGTGTCGGTCACAGTGTGCTATGGGGAAAATTTACGGGCACGCCAACGTGTACACGGGGCCTCGTATTTTCGTTCTATCTGAAAGACTTGATGCAATTCCTTGCCGGTCCTCGGTTCAGCACAACTGAAAATTCCGGGTAAACCTTCTCCGTCAATATTAACGGAAAGTCTTCTTGCCCCCCCCCCCTACTTACTTTCACCCATTACGGAAGGGTATAGGGGTCATTCAAAATTTTGTAGAAAGTCTCGAGATCCTTTGAACCTGTGATAGTTTATCGAAATCCCGTGATCACCTAGTAATTTTCTTGAGATCTCAATTTAATGTTCTCCAGATCCCCTAATAATTTTCCTGTGATAGTTCCACCCCGAGTTAACGATCTCAAGAATTCAAGTTAATGTTCTCGAGATATTGACATCCTGTGTAAATTTTCTCGAGATCTCGACTTAATAGCGTCAAGGTCATGACGACATATAATAATATCCCCAGATCTACAGTTTTCCCGAAACCTTATGATAGTGTCTGCACGTTCTGAAGCAACCATTGGCCAAATACTTCACAACAAGTTGATAAAAAAAAATTAGGCCTACCCCAAAGAAATACTCTGGCATTTGTTTAAAAGGAAAACTGCTAACGAATAAACGGACAAATGATAGGGTCCATCCATTGTCTTTTGGTCCTAATGCTTTACATTAATTTTGAAAAATGATTAAAATCGAAAGGGTTCATCGTCTTAGGACCTCAATGCTTGTTAAATTATTTCAATTTAATGTGTGGGCGACGTTTTATTGAAAATGTCATAATTTCCATGGTTTTCAGGCCATAGTTCTTTTAGAATAAAACTAGACACGGGTTTATTTTCTTGTGGCCCAAATGCTTCGCGGTAGATTTTAAAACCAAAATCTTGAAAAACTCTCGCGTTCCCCAGACGGAAAAATATGAATTACGCCATAACGAAAAGTCGGGGAGGGCTGCAAATCAATAAGGTTCATTCTCTAGTTGCAACAATCCCTCCGAAAATCTAGCTTCTATCCGTTCACAAGGATAAATCCCACGGAACACCGAAAATAAATAGGGTCACTCTCTACTCATGATACCAATGCTTCATAGGAAATCGGAAAGATAGCCACGCAATGTGTGGAAAGAGCTCACGCAGCATCTATGTTTTAACAGCAGATTATCGGAAAGGAAAACTTGAATGTTAATAAATTGAATAAGCATCTAGCATCCTTCAAGAAATCTAATCTTTATCTGTTCACGTTTTTTATATCTCTGTGACAGCAAACTTTATATTTTAAAATTCAATAGGGTCATCCTTGTCGCGGAACACTGAATATCAAAAATCCGTTAAAAACAAGGTTTTCAAAGAATGGGGTGTAACTCTGGGACAGAAGATCGCTAAGCGCTGAATATCAATAGAGTTCACACAAAATTTAACGTTAACAGGGCTTTCTGTGAGAGGGGTGGGTTATATTAAGGAACAGAAGGTCACAGAATGCTGAATATCCATAGGGTCCGCCCTCTCATCGTCCCAAATTTGAAAAAAAGACGGACAAAGAGGGTAACTCTGGAACAGAAGTTTGCGGAATACTGAAAATCGAAAGACTCCAGTGCTTCACAACACATTTGAAAAACAAAATCAGTTAAAAAAAAAACCTGTATAACCTCTATTGCGTTAACAGGGTTTTCGGAAAAAGTGTGTGTGTCGAGTACAAAAATACTCAAAATCTCGGGGAAATTTACACAGTATGTCAAGATCCCGAGAATATTAACTTGAATTCTCAAGATCGTACACAGGATGGGAGAATCTCGAGAATATTTTTAGGGGTTCTCGAGAACATTAATTGGGATCTAGAGAAAGTATCACAGGATCTCGAAGTCTTCACAAAATTTTGCATGACCCATATACGCTTCCGTAACCCATAAATCGATAAACCATTAATCATAAATATGTTAGTTTTCAGTCTCTGTTATTAAATATATCGTTAGGGCTGTAATAATTTTAAAACTTTCTAGAGTAATATATGACCCATATACGCTTCCGTAACCCATAAATCCATAAACCATTAATCATATGTTAGTTTTCAGTCTCTTTCCTTACATATATTGTTAGGGCTGTAACAAAAAAATATATATATGGAATTATCAAACTAGAATATTTAGAGAATTAAACAAATAAAAATAAGTGATGGACACTAATTTGAGCTCCTCCTCTCAAAACCCCCGATGGGTTTACGGTGCCAATTAACATCGTTTATTTCTCAACAAGAATTGGAGTGTAAAATTTGTGTTTCCGTGTTCCACGTGGCATGCCACAGGGCTGGAATCTATTAGCTATGTTTATATTACGATATGAACGGTTCTAATTATAGCTAACTGTCTGCTGACAGCGGTATTGTTCTAATTTACCACAGTACAACTACAGGTGGAACAAAATTTAAATGACGCTTATTATAACGAAATCGCTAAACTATTGTTTTCTTCTTCTACATTTCATATAATTTGCCTGTCACATAAAATTAACCACGAGCAATCGGTGATTTGTGAATCAGTCAAATATATATTATCAAAAATTGACCGCTGTCTTGGTTGGTGTATTACCGCATTTCTAAAGTACTCAACAAAGAAACTCTAAAATAAGGTCAATATGGGAAGTTCTATTTTAATAATAATTTATTTACCAAAATTAGATGAGACACATTAATTTCATTTTTAATATATATATTGAAAAAGCTATCTTTAAGCTCAATTCTCAAAAAAATTAACACAGAAGTTTGATGGAAATTGCAACTTCGATATTGCGGATAAAAAAGTAAAATAACTATATTTTTTTATTATAATTAGTTGGCGTGGTTTAATTATTTAAATCTGTAATCTCAGTTTAGAAGATATAGTATGTAAAGACTGAACATATTATATATTTTGTGATAAACAATAAGGAGTACCCCAATCATAACGTTCCAAGAATTTACTGAATAAATTTCACTTTATGCGGCGTTTATAATTAAACACATGAAAAATAATCACAACATTAACTTGAAAACAAAAAGAGAACCATCGTATAAATGTAGCTCTGTTAAAATTCAATAATTTTCTTCCATAGAACTGTGATTATTTGAATTACTAAATTACGCTTAAATAAAATGGTACTTTTCATACAATAACTGTTCATATAGAACTGTTATGACTATTTTAGTGTGTGCAATAAATAAAACCAAACTTTTAATTTACAAACAAGACATGGCATTTAACAATTTGAAAAAATGTGTTTCTTATTTAACATTTAAAAAAAATTGTATTTGAGAGTTTCAAAAACGATTGGCATCTTTTTAATAATTAAATTACATTACAAAACTTTTTCCGACAAAATCTGAGAATGTGGTACCATTATATAGGCTGTATAATATATAGTGTATATTTATTCTTATCTGATAATAAATATTAAGTATTTCTACATTAATTAAAGCACGTGTATAGAACTCACAACCTACTCTCATTCGTTCAAAAGTTGCAACAAAAATTAATTGAAATTTCGGGGAACGCTGAATACGGGTAGAGGAATTACATTTCAAGCTTTTCTCAATTACTTGACACGCGTGTCTGGTTGATGGACATAAAACACGTCTTGTGTGCTGAATAAAACTTGACGTGAGAAATGATTTGTAGTTTATAAGACCTGTTTGTATTTACAGCCTCAAGGAGAATATCTGTTAGTTACCCCTAGACTCTTTATACCCTCATACTGCCCGAACAATATAACAAGTTTTCATTCAGACTTATAACCACTTCTAAACAATTTTCATGTTGAGCCCGAATCATTTCTTCTGTGATAATGAAATGAAACCATTATAAAAGTATTCTTTTAAAAAGTAAGAATACATTTTAAAATTCAGTGGATTTTTGTAAAATATATATTTTTATTTTATTTATCAATAAAACGTTCAAGAAAATAGGAACAATTCGACCATTTTTCTATTAGAAGTGTGGATGCAATATCTTCAGCACTAATGCTGAATTTGTGTTGCGAGGGTGGGACAATAAATAATGAAAAACTCAATATTTAAACTAGTCAATTTTAGGTTTTATTATTTTTAATTAAAAAAGGGTCGGTGTTTGAATTGTATTTACAGTTTTCTTCTGTGTAAACGTTCTTGGCTTTTCTTGCTCTTTCTCGCCCCTTTTCCTCGCTCCTTAATAATCACTGATAATAAATTTTTATCAAACGAATACAACAGAAAACTAAAAGATAATAATATAACATATCCACTAAAAGTAAAGAGGCAAAATGTTAAAATAAATGTCAAATGCTGAGTACCCATGAAGTACTGATCTTTTTGACTAAACAAGCTGCGTGCATCGGAATACAAGGCTTCATTTTGATGAAAATTATGAAAATCACAAAAATTAAACAGAACGAAACTGTGATCTATTTTTTAATTCTATTGCAAAATCAATCATACATAATTTGTCCAAAAAGGATCCAAATCCATCACCCCTAAAGTAAGTTATCGACATTTGAAATTTATATTGGATTATGCATGAAAAAAATTTCTGCCGATGCTAAGTTTTCACCAACATCCAAAATCAAGAAATTATAATATAATCTACACACGTTTCGTTCTAAGCTGTTTTAAAATATATTAATAAAATAAGTTATTCTGTCTTTTCTATCCATCTTATACAACGATCGTACTCTACAGGGAAACTGTGGTTATATCGAATGTAAAATATCAAGTGTTTATCATTAATTACTATAATTGTCCTCATATTATTTCGCTTTACCGGTGATTAATCCCCAAAAAGGCCTGCAGCAAAAAACTAACCAAAACGAGAGAAGCCCAAGTTTGTTCACTGGTACCCTTTGGCGCCACCAGTCAGTCACGTGTCCTACACCCATCTTGTGCCTCGCGAGAACGCACCACCCTTATTTCGGTTTCAAGAAAGATCTGATTTTTGTTGTGAGTCACCAGCATGTATTTAAGACAAGTTAAAATTGTTTTAATTAAAGAAAACCAAAAAAAGTTTGCCATTTTCTCCATAGAAAGATATTTGTAATTGGGAAAATAAGATGAAACTGATATGGTGGAAGTTTTCTAATGGACAAAATTAGATAGGCCCTAACTTGCAGGAAAAAAAAACCCATCAGACACATGCGAATAATATGAGATTCAAACATTAGACAAGGAATTATTCCCAGCCTTAGAAACCGTTTTATACTAGTTTCTATCAAACATGTTTTTGAAAGCTATATAGAAATAGATAAACAAGTAATTATTTTCTTGTATTAAGGTAACGACTCTTATAATTATATCTTTGTTTTTAAAACAAAATGGGAAAGCATTCTGCATTAACTTTTCTAGAAGACCTGATATCACTTTCCATTTGAGAAGTCAACTGATAGCAAAAATCTTTATAATATACATTGAGAATTAATCCGAATTCCAGTCATTTTCTGACCTTTTCGTGACTATTTTTTGCTAACAATTAATTAATAGTTTTAGATTACATTTCCAATTTCCTATTTTTTTATTTGAATATTAACATTTTAGAATAACAACCTTTCAAATTATTTTGATAAATATGTAATATTAATCAATTTTGTCATAAACTTTGCAGGCTTAACAGTCTAATAAAGTACGATTGTATGACTTCACATATAGCCATCCAAGTTGCCTGGGCCTATACAAAATTAAAGCATACCATTTGCTTTCTAAAATCTAGGCTTATTAAACAAATTCTAACCCAGCGCCCACTTTAAGCTTAATTTACGTTACTATGGCCCTATCAGGGTTATGGTTATGGCTCTATGCTAAAGTTAATGTCCGATTGAATTTTATTATTATTATTATTGTTCGATTTATATAGCGCTTCATTACACGTGAAGTGTTTCTAAGCGCATATCACAAACATATACTTCAAACACACAGAAACAATCAAAATCAGGAGAACATAATTAAACTTTAAATTTATACACAGTGTTTAAGGTCATAAGAAGAATCCTATTGATTTCAACGATTTCCGATAATTACTCCCAGAGTTATGGCCCTTGATTACTTCGAAAAATCTTGTGGGTGTTCTACAGGCCAAAGTTTTTATTCGGTTCACTCTAAATTTATACACAGATTTTAAGGTCTATTAACTTGAACAGCTAAACCCATTATATTAAGTGTTTTGTATACTAAACTTTAGCATGGGGAACAACTAGAAGCCAAACAAATTCTAATGATTTCTGATAATTACATGTACTTAATGAGTTATTATTCTTAATCAAATTTTAGTGTATTGTAAACATTTCATTACCGACAAAAGAAAAAATATGTGACAACCATTGTTGACCTGCCGGGCGACTTAGCTGCTGTGGGCGTATGTTTCGTTGCCCGACAATATATCTTTCCAAGTTTATATTGTAATTTCTAATCAATTTTCGGTGAGATACAATCCAAACTGAACATCGGTCGTTTGCGTCTGCTTAGTCCATTCTATATAAGTTTCTTTTAAAATTATTTTAATAACCACTGCATTGTATTTTGGGTTATGTTTTCTTTTGTTTATTCCAAATGGCGCTCTAAACTATTATATCCCTAAATTGCACGACTGTGTATTAATTTTAAAATGTTCATTTAGGAGATATTTATTGCGCAATAAACATGTCCTGAGATCATTAGGACCCAATTCGAATTCCTGTTTTTAATTTCGAATATTATGGCTTCTTTAAATCTGAAGTTAAATACTCTTAGTTACATATTCTTACGATATAATAAAACACCCCACTCACCTTCTCAGTTAAACCAATAAACATTGGACCAAAGAGCGTATCCCATTATGACACTGGGTCTGTGTAGTCTATTTTTGCTAATTTAAAATAGAGGAAACCTACAAGTCTATTTAGATTTTTTATTAAAATGCACGTAATTAAAATAATCAATTTTATGCATTGAGTTCTAGATTACGACTGAATCTACTGGGTTTACGATTACAACAAAATTTTATTGATGTTGTATTGAAATTCGATAATGTCCTTAAACACCCAAATATCCACTGTGCCCCTTGTCCCTGTGGCCAAAACATCAAAAGTGTGTATGGTTTATGAAATGCAAAATAATCAGTACTAAAGGCATGACACCAGGGCGGGTTAATAATTAGCTTTCAATTCTAAAACAATTTTTCAAATTAAGACAAAAATTGAATGTGTTATCTGGATAGAAAATATTTCGGTAGGGTATGTAAAATAGTACGCGAAGGCTTAAACTGAGTAAAAGTAAATGCATGATGTGACGTCCCGTCTAGGATCACTGCTCGCTGACCTGGTTGTCCGGGTTCGATCCCAATTTTGGCCGACAAGATTGCTAATTGTTTTACGGCAGGACGGAATAACAATGATAAATACTAAACAGTCGGTGACGTTCCTTCCAATATTTCTATACACCCAAAAGAAGATTACATTCATTAAAGGAGCTAAACCTTTACCTCTATATTTTCAATAATATTTAGAATTAAAAACACGGTTTAGAATTCAATATTGGCCCATTTCAATCAATATTGATGTTGTTATCTTGCCGTGAAAGTATGGGGTCCTAATATCCAATATTTAAGAATTAGTGAACATTTCAAAATCAGTACACGAGTAGTTTACTCAATGGTAAATTGTTATGGATAAATAATAATAATAATAATAAAAACGTGTAGAATTCATATTACATTAAAGGGGGATTAGGTAAGATTAGATAAAGAACTGACAGTTATCGCTAAAGTAGTTAAAAATAGATAATGAAAACAGAATATGCTAAAAATTTCAGTCAAATTGCTTCACTCTGAACCGAGATATGAGCTATTCAATTTTAGGCTAGCCTCGATCGTCATTACTTCCATTGGTACGATTATCCATTATTACGTTAAATCAACCATCACAAAACGTATTCAAATGATTATGGTCCTGATAAGTTATGGTGTCTAGTTAATAATTTAGATAATATTTAAGGCCCAAAGAAAGACCTACAGGCAGATTTAGCTCTTGAATAATGCCGTGTATACGCCCTTTAACTAGATTACCACCAGAGTAAACCTTCCTTTTCTCTGTTGGTATATTACTAAAGAGCAGAATATTTTATTTTTTTTTAAAATCAAAGAAAAGGTGCCATTTAACTATAAATTACCACCAGAGCAAACCTCCATTTCCTCTATTGGCTCATTACTAAGAAAAAGTGTCATTTTCTTCTTAATACTATTGCACTGTCTAATTCTAAAACCAAATTATTTGTGTTAATACTATAAATATCACGTTAAAAGGGCCGTGGTCATTTAATATGCTTTTAAAGAGGATTTAAGTCATCAATTCGTGTGGAGTCATCCCCATCATGATTACCGGCTACTAACCTCATCCGGATTAAAACATCCGATAAAATAATATGACACCAGCTCCTTGAAAATAGCAGACGGGAAATCACTGACAAATCTTTCTTATTCCTACAGGATCTCAACAGGATCACATTGTTTACTGTTAAGCACGTGCCACCAAAGAAACATGCACGCGCACCTTGTCCACGCACGTGCATGTGACGTGTTGGTCTTGTCAAGACGTGTAATTGGGTGGGTGTTTAGAAAATAAAGTTGTCATCGAGTAGCACAAGTGAAATGTGACAGGATTCTGCCGTTGTTAGGTATCTTTCATCGAAGATACTGTCGTAAATTTCCCCCGTTAGTTAATAATTTTACGGCTTCCTATCATTTCGCGTCAAATCGACTCGAGTTGTATTTCACAATGATTTCCGGGCTTCTTCTCGAGATTCTCCTAGTTGACCAATCACTGAGCGACATTCGGTGTTTTTCAATCTCATTAACCAATAAGATGTTAATGAAATCTTGAACGATACCAACAAAATTCCTGGCAGGAGATTGGAAGTGGAAAAACATTAGGAATCAGAAGCCGTATGAAAGATGCTGCCCGTTTGCCTTGTGGGCTAATAGAGAAATATATTTGAAAAGAGTCGCTTCTCAATTTACAATCAGTCGTGTAACAATATCATACACCTATTATTTAAGAGTGAAATTGTCGTAACCATGGAAAATCGAAGAAAACACGCAACAGTCACTACCTCCTCACTTCAGCAGGTAAGATGCAACTTTAATTGTGAAGATATTCTCTTAAGCGGTAATTGTATTTGATTAATCTTTGATTTTATTTAAGTAGAAATGTTAATGTATAAGACATTATATATGTATGAGAAAACATATTGGACATATACACAGCTACATGTAATAATACCTTGACCGATCTTGTTTTTTTAAATTTTTATTATTTTTTAAATTTTAGATTTATTTTATTTATTTGAAAGTTGTTTACAATTTTATTTTAATCTAAACTTATTACAGACTAATTTAGTTTAAGGCTTGCTTATTTATTTAAACAAATAGTATCTTTATTTTACGAATAAAACTCTATTTGTAAACAATATAATATAGTCCTTGTCAATTTTTAAAAAAAATATTTTTCAATAACTTGATAATTTTTTCATTTCAAAAATAAAAAGAGTCTGGATTTTTAATTCGTTTAAATTCAAATTAGGATGTAAAATTATATATTATATTGAAACACTGTTTATGGATAGTGATATCACACATATTTATTTGTGTTTTATATGTTTGATAATTGACTTGTGAAATTTGTTGAAACTTTGCTATAAACTATAGTAATCGTTTTAATTGACGGTGTTTGCAATTGCTAAATGTCGTTCAAAGACTAAAAATTCTATATTATTTTGTAATACTGTAGGTATCTAATGGACACGTCCGTCAATGGAGGTTATGATTTGTGGAAAAGTGAAACTTCAAGTAGGCCATCATCGGTTGATTTACAACCATCTTCATCACTGCCACAATTAGCCAACTTTCCATCATCTTTAGAATTTGAAACTGTTCCCAGTGTATTTTCTTTTAATACTTGTCCTACTAATTACAGGTAAACGTATACAATTATGTTATTTATTCGATAAAGTTTACCATAAACATTATATTCTTATAATTGCTATGTCCTGAAAACTAATCGTAGAAAGAGACATTTTTCGCGCTCTTGTATTTTAACGAACTTGTATCTTTCTCTTCTAACGGAAGTGAAACATGGATTGTTCGAAAATATTTAGTGAAATAAAATGGAGTTTAACGCCCTTCTTTTAAGCACAAACTTTGTTAATGAAGACGAAAAAACATTCAGTAAATGTGACAATCTAGATAGGCTGCACACACATTATCAAATTAAAATTGAATTCATAAATACCACAGAACAATATTGACTTGATTGTTTCTTCATTCGTCCAAATAAACTACATAGATGCAAGTAAAACGCCTTAAAATTATTATGTGAAATATAATTTATTTTTAAAAAGAAGTTTTCTTCACGATGTTATTGGGTTTCCTTTGTTTCTGTATGTATTTTTTATATATATATTTTATACCCATGTATATATTATGTGCATGCGCATTTGTAAATAATATGAGCTACTCATAGTTTAATTTTTAAAAATAGATTTTCTTCACGATGTTATTTGCTTTCCTTTGCTTCTTTATGTAATTTTTTATACCAGTAATCTGTATATATGAACTTTTAATAAAACAGAGTGATTTCCTTTATTCTGTTGCAGAGATTTACCAGTTTTTAAAGAAAAGGGACCACATGATATAGCCGACGCTCTCCTATCGTTAAAACATCCTATTGTACATCCACAGTTCGGTGGGCCGCTATCACCCATATCTCCATCATCCGGTATGCCGTACTTTGCATCCCCGCATCAAGGTTTTAATTCTGGTATGGCACCATCGTGTACCCAGGGTCTACCTTACCCTGTATCCCACAACCCATCTGTATTACATAATACATACAGTACAGTACCACCACAATATTCTCAACAATATGAAACAGGTAGGACATTTTATTTACCACTCATATCCTATAAGTTGATATTCATTAAAAACATACGAGTTCTTCATAAAAATTGGTAAATTTTTTTGCGAAATAATTGCCAGACAAATGACACAAATGGGATTTCTTTTACAAGTAGTCCATGGGATCTATTAGTTTCGTTATTTCCAAGTAAAAGACGCGTCTAAGCAGTTTTTCTCATAAAAATATCTTTCGCTAAATCAAATTTACCAGTGGTACCTCTGAGTATTGTATTAGTTTTACAGACACCACAAAGAAAAATAAAATACCAGTATTACTTATTTATATAAATTACTTATTGGTATAAGCCCAATACTACTTTTTAAAAAAAAAAAAATCAATAACTTATACAGACATAGTATGCTTGTTACTTTTCTTGTACAATGTATAATCATAGAATCTATTTTGTTCACTTTTATCCTTTTTTAATTGAAATTGACCCTAAATCATATCAATTTTTACTGTCGGATGATGAATTTATCGAGTATCTGCTTTATGGTAATGTTAGCAAAATATTATTCTAATCGAACAATATAATATTTCAGGTCAGTTGTCACCAACTCAACCACCAACACCTAATGTTCACTTCCCCTCTATGAGTGTAAATGTATCAATGAGTATGAATGTGGGGGTACCTCATGGTCTTGGTAATGGACAATATAACAATTTACCCCAGCAGTGGGGAAACCAGCCCCAGTCACCTACCCTAACACAGTATCATAATGGACATACACCGGGCTTACAGCCTCAGTACCCAGGATGTGGTCCACAGCACCACCCATTCCAGAGTTCATACAGCTTCACACCTGAATTGAGGAGCCATGTTCCTGAAAGTCGTGGATTTTATTACAAGTCTGAGGGATTAAAAGATGTGGCGAGATTCTGTGCTACCGGCCATTTCAAGAAATCTAAATTTCTATCAGAGCGACCGCCTCCTTCTGCTTCTTTCAATGAAGGTAAGAAAATATATAATCAATAAATGGCTTAATATCTTAAAAGGGACGCTTGTTAAAAATATTGAAATTATCATCTAAACGGTATAAATATAAGTTGTAGCATTTGGAAACATTGTAAACATTATAACATTTATTAAAAATATATCGTTTATATTATAGAAAATGGTTATAATAATGGAAATATAATCAAACTATTGACAATAATATTATTTAAATTTCATTTTATATATCTGAAGACAATAATATATCTTCATTTTATTTCCAAATTCATGCTTTATGTTAGGGGAATTTTAGCTCAATTTTACAGTGTATAAATGCACTGTACACTGTTAGAAATTTTTGTAAAATTACAGTAGTACAAGTAGTTTTTGTACCTTAATTATCGGTATGTTCACCACAATGTAGTAGTTTTACCAAGTCTGGCGTATTTTAACGGAGTTTCGTGTACGTTTATAGAGTTTCGTGTCTTTTTTTACAATAGACGGTGATGAAATCAAAGACACATTCAAAATCAGTAAAAATACATTCTTACATATGTAATATTTCCAAACTGAACTCAAAATAAACAAGCTTGCATGTAATTTTACAGATCTTACGTTTATTCACATTATTTTGTAAATTTACTTTTAGGTTAGAAATATAAATGAAATTACAGCAGTTCTCACTATAATAGTTAAAAACTAGATAATGTAATGGGAATATGCTGAAAATTTCTGTTAAATTGATCCCCTCGGAACCGAGATATTAGAGACTAAATGTTAGGCCTAGCCTCGATCAACATTACTTATTAAGTCAGTACGATAAAAAAAAAACATAGTCTTGATTATCTATTTTTGAATTTAATCATTAATGAGCGTTGAGCCCCAGATCGGACTCAAATCCAGTGAAAATCCAACACATAAGATGGCATCCATGAGTTGATTATGATCTTTTCATGTTAATAAATGTCTAATTCATAGTTTATAGAACATATCAGGCCTAAAGAAAGACCTGCAATAGGCAGATTTAGCTCTTGCATAATGTATGTTTAACTTATTGGTAGTTATCGTATTCGGTAGATTTATTGTCTCTTAGCATGCAATTTTACAGATTTTACGTTTACTCACATTATTTTGTAAACTTTCAGGTTAGAAATATAAGTAAATTTACAGCAATTAAATTTTTACCAAAAATGTTCTAAATGTTTACCAAAATGATGTATATTTACCAAGTTTCATTCTTTTTTACAATAAACTTTGATGAAACCAAAGGCACATTAAACCCCGGTAAAAATACATGCGTAATATTTCAATATTGAAATGAAAATAGCAAAGCCAGTAGGTAATTTTACAGATTTACGTTTATTCACATTATTTTGTAAATTTACTTATTGGTAAATTTACTGTCTCTTATGTTAATTTACTGTCTCTTATTTTATTTTAGTATTCCATAGCAACGAACCATTCCTAATAATTATTTTCTTATAGTATTCATTCTAATTTATTAACCATAATATGGACAATCACATTTTGTGAAATTTGGTATATTGCATGTTATATATATTTAATTTTCTTTATTTATACGATCTAAAACGTGTATTATTATTTATCGTGCGTTGATCAGATTGTAAGTATGTTCATTAACGTATAAAAAAAATGTTTTGCTTTCTTGTCATAGATTGTATTATCTCGTAACCAAGGTCAATTGAAGACGGTTAATTAAACCGATTGGTCAGTGTTAGCTTGACTGTCTCTAGAGCAGAGTTACCATGCCTGCAGTAGACAGTACCACAAGCTTACATCTAAAATCCTGGAACGGAAGTTAAAATCATTGTGGTTTTTTTAACATTTGTCTGTAATTTTTCATTTACTGCTTTTAGGTAAATTTACATTGGGAAGTCTAAAAACAAACTTACTGTAACCGTTCATTTACTGTGTTGCGGTGAATTTACAGTCCAAAGTTAAAAAACAAACTCATGTTATTTTCCATTTACTGTTTTAAGGTAAATTTAGTCACAAAGTCAAATTACAGAAACTCTGTAATATTACAGCTGAATGTTTATTTACAGTAAATTTACTGGCAACTTTTGCTGCCAGTAATTTTCATGTAAATTTACCAGATTTTTTCTAACAGTGTAAGGGATTATTTAGTTGTGTTAATGTTTTGATCACAAATTCAGTATATATTTTTCTATATAAAATCATACCCATATATAGTATAAAATTATACCCATGTTTTTAATATGACCCAATAAGTCAATATTAGTTGATTATATATGAAGAAACACAATGAGTAAATTATCTAAAATAATCCAAATTTAGAAATAAAACATAATCCGAGTTGAGCTCAATAATTATTACTGTTTATTTTTTTCTCTTTGTATTTAGCTTGCTCAATGAAAACAAATTTCTGTCGAATCTGCGGTAAGACTTATGCTCGACCAAGTACATTGAAGACCCATCTCAGAACACATTCGGGCGAGAAACCATACAAATGTCATATTTGTAATAAGTCGTTTTCTCAGGCTGCTAATCTTACAGCTCATACTCGGACACACAGGTACGTTCTGTCATTTCTCTTCTTAGTTTTAGTGCAATGTTGTTATACAGGAATAGGAAGGAGGGACTTGTATTTCGTTTAATACACAGCGCCAAGAAACGGATTAGACCAAAATATGTCGTCGGTTAATGTCTTCAGAATAATTTTTACGGCTACAAAAAGTAACAAAATTATATTAGTCGAGGAACTTCAGAAAATAATTTAAGAGAATTTAGATGGTAGTCACATATTGTTTTGTTCTGGTTAATATGCCTTCTTTCACGGTTATGTCAATTTTACACATGTTTAAAACAAACAAGATATTTAACTATCTACAAACGTAAGTTTTTCATTGCCGTAGTAAGTATAATACGTAAATTATTCTGATCTTAATATCATGGAATATAGTATTTTAACCTTGGATGTGAGTTTTTAGAAAGTTGATAAAGTCTAATATACAAGGATTAAAAAATAAGTAAACGTTCTTGAAAATATAAGGTAATATCGGAATGGATATAATAAAATACAACGTTTCGGGAATATAAAAATACAAAATATCGTGTCTTATATTACATGTTATTCTTGATATAAATCTTTTATAAATAAACGGGAATTCTTGAGCTATTTTTTTGTCAAAAATGTATTGAAATTAACATCTTACAGTTTCGCCAATTAAATTCAAATTATTACCTGTCAAATTTTCACAAAATTATACAGCGTTTTTATTCTAAAAAGACTTAGATCTACATTTTTGAAGACATGTGTGCAAATATTCTGAGATTTCCTTTTATACCTACGATTAACGCATCAGAAAGAAAAATAACAAAAGATATAGAAAATTAAATTTGAAATTTTTATTATAATATAATCTGAATTATTTTCAGTAGTTAGTTGCATAGTATATTGACCAGATTTATAATTATGTCTACATGTTACGTCTGCGGTAATAAAACTTGTTTCTTTTTCCCCTTGATTTTTAAAAAAAATTTAGCTTTGATGTTCTTTTGCTTAATTTTACCAATATTATAAAGGAAATCACAAAAAATATTTAATTATTATATTATTTAGAAAATGATTAACTGGCAGTAATTGTGGGAAAAACAACCTAACCCCAAATTGATCTTCCGTGTTACCGTAAAAATTCTTAAATGTTACTAAGGAATGGCAGATTTTGTGGGATTAAAAAAGAAAATCTCATAAGTTATTAATGTTTCTTAAAGATCAATATGTATATTTTTTTACAAATAGTATGGTCTTGTCCTCATGTTAGTCCTCCATTTACGGTTTCCTGTGGACGCTCTATATATTTAAAGCTATTTCAATGTTACCACATGTACACTATATATTTTATATTTCTCAACACGACAACTATGTATTTTATATTTCTAAACACGACAACTATGTACAATATATTTCTAAACACGACAACTTTGTGCTTTATATTTCTAAACACTACGACTATGTATTTTATATTTCTCAACACGACAACTATGTATTTTATATCTCTAAACACAACTATGTACTTTATATTTCTAAACACGACAACTATGTAGATAATATTTCTTCACATGACAACTGTGTTTTTTTATATTTCTACATGACAATGTATTTTTTTATTTCCACACATGTCAACAAACATATTTTATATTTCTACACACGGCAATTATTTTTATATTTCTATATATCTTATATTTCTATACATTTTATAGTTCCCTGACAACTATGTATTTTATATTTCTCTACATGTTAACAAACCTAATTTATATTTCTCTACATGGCAACTTTGTAGTTTATATTTCTCCACACGAAAACTATGTATTTTATTTCTCCACATGGCAAGAATGTATTTTATATTTCTACACATGTCAACAAAACATATTTTATATTTCTTCACGTGTTAAGGGTGTATTTTGTATTACTACATGTCTGATCAATGTATTTTATATTTCTCCTCATTTGTCATCAAAAAGTATTCTACATTTCCCTGGATTCCAATTATGCACTATCGTATTCCCAAATAATGTTTCAAATTATGTGGAATATATTTGATCATACAAGGAAGAATGATAAAATACATGGTAGAATCCTAATATTAAATTAAATACATGGTTAGCATTCGTTGACATAATTATTAAATTATGCAAATCGTTGACATACTGCAGCTAATATCTTGAAATGTTTGTATATCAGACGAAAAATTAAAAACAACCCCTAAAAACGTAGTTACGCGAATGTATAAGAATTTAATAACTACGTAAGTATTAACCCTATAGGATGTTTTTTTTTCTTAAATTCTAATCTATTTTTTTTACAGCGGAGAGAAACCATTCCGGTGTCCAGTGTGCGAGAGAAGATTTTCACAGAGTTCATCAGTTACCACTCACATGAGGACCCACTCGGGTGAGCGACCTTATAGATGTCGTTTGTGTAAGAAAGCTTTCTCTGATAGTTCTACTTTAACCAAACACCTTAGAATTCATAGTGGTGAAAAACCATATCAGTGTAAGCTATGTCTTCTTCGGTTTTCGCAATCTGGGAATCTTAACAGACATATGAGAGTACACGCTAATAATAACTAACTCAAGAACTGCCAGACATGGTGAAGTAATGGACTAATAGTGTGTATATTAATTTGGTTTTGTTTGAACATTTGAATTAAATTTGACCAATCGTGTATGCGTTTCAGCGCCATTTGTAACAAGGGACTCGAAGAACATATTCCACAAGTCATATCAAACGGTGACGCCATATTCTTATTTGGAAAGAATGCGCAATAAATTCTATCGGTGTAGACTGAAATAACCAGACGCTAGAGAATTGTCATTCGATTCAGACTTCTGGCGTATTTCACCGAACATAACTGATTTGAAATTAGAGTAAAAACGGAAACGATTGAATGTAAATCAGTTTATAGATTTGAAATTAAAGTAAAAACGGAAACGATTGAATGTAAATCAGTTTTTACATTATTATATTCGTTGCGACCCATTTGTGTCAATTTCTGGGCGCTAAATATTAGCGATTTAGCTCCTTTAATATAACGTTTCTGCTGTATGTCAGTGAATATAAACATGTATTAAAGGACATGTATAATATGCGACAGACAATACTTAAACATATTAGTAATAAAAATATCTAACGAGTAATTTCTTCTTATGTTACATGAGCTTCTATTGATTTTACACAGTCATCTTTGTCCTAAATAATAATCGAGAAGCATTTTCTATACAAGCCAGGTCGTTATTATAATTGATTCTTTTTTCTCGCATTTGCTCAAAGGGCCATTATGCAAGATTATAAAGAGCTGCCAGTTTTCGATATACAGTTAAAAATTAGATAATGAAAAGGGGCTATGTTGAAAATTTCACTCAAATCACTTCACTCTGATACGAGTTATCACCGATACAGTTACAGTGCGGTCTCGATTGTCATTGCTACCGTTGTTACTATAATAAACAAAGTTTCGATTATCCAGTTAATAATTTATACAACATTTTAGGCACAAAGAAATACCTGCAGTAGGCAGATTTAGCTCTTGCATAATGCCTGTTAAACTAAATTGTGAAATAGTAACAGTCGATCATCTGATTTGTATTAAAAAAATCATCATAATATTGTATAAACAGACTCGTCGTACGAAGCATAAATGTTCGGTATCGGCACGTACGGGGTGTGGTTCTTTAAATGAATGAAATGGGGTTTAACGTCCTACTTTTCCGAGCTGTTTAAGTGTATCTTATTTTATTTTTGTTAATATAGGTATTATATTATACTAATAAGTTTGTATAAAATGTATTAAGAATAAATAAATTTGTTCATTCATATTTCTTATTTGAATAATAATTTATGTATATATCAAAAGGAGGATAATTTGGAATAAGGGTTTGAAATTAATTTCATTCAAACTATATTAATATCCAATTATAGTATGAAGCTGCCTAACATCTATGTCTAAAATCAGTTAAATGTATTTTACTTTTGATTATAATGTTCAAAGTATCATATTTTAGGATCTTTAAAAAAAACATTTGAGTTTAAAACAAGATGTTTTACGATCTTATATATATAATATAAAACAGGATTCGTCAGAGTGTGTTCGCAATCTTCCAGAGATATTTTTTAAAATACAATATTTAGAAGACCAATGATTTTTTCAATCACAGACATTTTTGAAACAGGTAAATTGTTATATTAACTTTTATTTTACATTAAATTTTTAATTCTCTTTATCTGTGCGTAAACAATTCTTATCCCAGACATTGAAGGACATATAATTTTGTTCTCTTAAGATAATTTTTTTGTTGAAAAACTGTATTAAGAAAACTCCCGTCTCATAAATTTATGCATATATACGAGTAGACAGGTGATTAAAAGTAAATGAAACGGTATTTAGCTCTGTTCAACAACAAAATACCGACTTCCCCAATGTTAATTTTGGATCAGATTACAAGAGCTGAAGAAAGTGAGAAATAAGTGGACAGTGGTCAGTCAAGCCTGTGTAATAATGTCCACGTGGATAGTGCCAAAGGTCATTAAAGTGGTCAGCAAGTGTCCGGTGTCATCGCGAGAAGTCAACTGACCATGAAAGTCAATAAATATGTCATGTTATAGTAGTACTGTAATGATAGAAATGGTATTGATAGAATCAACGTACCGTACATACAGTCAGTATCTGATAAACAATATCAATATTTATTTTACATGACATCATGCCACGCCCCATCTGATATCAGTTAACCTATGTGTATTTCAAAGCAAACTGATCTTAATTATTGTATTCTAATTTTATTAAATTTATGCAGTTATTCGAGTCAGAAACAGAGCGACAAAAAGATATTTTAGAAGCATTCAAACGAATTCTTTTTGCGGATAGGAAAACATTAAGCGAAATGAATTGGGGTTTAACTTCTTTATTTGTACAGAGAGAGAGAGAGAGAAATGGGGTTTAACGTCCACTCGACACAAACTAGGTCATTTCGGGACTAACATATGGTTTAATTTTATTTCTATAATTCGCTTCCGCGTAGGGGTCTTTAGCAGTGGGAGGAAACCGAAGGACCCGGAGAAAACCCACGAGGTTGGACAGGCGACCCTACTCCTTGTCACGTACAACCGGGGATTCGAAACCACGCCAGTCAACTCAATGACACGCTAACCACTCAGCCATCCACCCCCCCCCCCACCATTTGTACAGATTAGGCTTCTCGGAAACACATCTCTATATGTAATTCAGTTGCATGTAAATAGGATTAAACTAAAATTTATATTGTGCATAAATTGAAACAAACTATAGTAATACTATTAGTTATTTTTGGGGTGTTCGATCCCTGCATTGGCCGAGAAAGTTCATCCAGATTTTCCGGCGTGGTTCCCCCTTGTCAGTGATGCAGGACGGAGGGCCTGACAAGGACAGCTGTCTAATCCTTCGGATGAGACGAAAAACCGAGGTCCCGTGTATACATTGGAATGCACGTAAAAGATCCCTTGGCAGTTGGAATTCGATATAAGAGTAGGCGATAGTGCCGCTGCCCGGGTAAAATTTCCCTATAGCACACTGTATGATGGCGTATGCCCGTCTTCATTAGCCCAGCATCGGAGCAGAACAGTAGGACGTTAAACCCCATTTCATTTCATTTCATTTCATTAGTTATTTTACATAGAATATACTATTGTATACTCTACTATTATTTCCTTAATGTTTGCTGAATTTAGTTTTTATGGGGTAGACGACAAAGCGATACAAGAGTTTAAATCAACAATTAATTAACCAATTTGGATGCTAGATAATAATTCGAAAGCACTTATTTGCCTCGAACTTGAAGATGGATAGATAGAGAATTGTGGACAACAAAGCGATACGAGAGTTTAACGCAACAATTAATTAACTAATTCGGATGTTTTACAATTCGAAAGCATGTATTCGCCAGATAGAGAATTGTTAGCCACTTGACAACTTCTAAGGTTGCTTCAGATGAGGCCCGATATCAACATCTTAATTATATAGGTAAACGTTAAAGTCTATAAATTGAAATAGTCGTCTGTACAAATAATGGTTACTTGATTTTTCCTGGGTTTCTAAATTTGTTCGGTTTCTTTTTCAAGGAAGTTCTAGTAGATGAAGACGTCATTGATACTATATCACTTCTTTGTCACCGACATAACTAATGCTCATCCATTTAATTTTTACCATTATGACTTATGGCAATATGAAGCCAGACAAATGTCAGTGGTGGCGGGTTAAAAATTCTAGTTCCATTCCAACAGGCATGTACTAGCCAAAACCATGCAGCAGATGATACGTCACAAAAGCCACGTGCGATGATTGGTTAAGAGCTATTAAATTGCCATCACGACACGCGATGTTGTGAAGAAAGTGTCACGCCCCAGGCCTTATGTCATGCCTAGGGGAAAGTCGAGACATTATGGGCGGAAAATAATATATTTATAGCAAATACTTGGTGACAAATTATAACCCTGAAGTGGGTTATTCGTTGACCTCTCAACCCCGGAAGTGTTTGTGTGGTGTTCTAGAGCATGTAAATTCTAGTGTGACATATGGCCGACTGGATGCTCTTATCAGAAGAATCATTATATTTCTCCGAGCCGTTAGCAATGATTAAAACCTTACTAGCTGTTTCGTTCGGTCCTGATCTAAAGCCCCCAGCTAAATCCCATACAGAATCCGGCTAATTACCTTTAAATAACGGCCATATTTTCTCATTAATACAATGTACAGACTAAACATGTATTAAGAGGAATAAACACAGACATACTTCACTATAATTTTAGTACCCTAATTATTTATAATAACTGTTATGATAAATTTAATTTTGAAGAGGAATTACAATGGATTAGAACAGTCCATGTACTTTCATAATGTTAATCTGAATATTTTGTAGCAGAATTAACCAATAATACATTATTATTAGGTTAGGTACATATACCAAATATGTCACTTAATATTAAAATGACATTGCCTTTATTCTTTACGGTATACTTTGTGTATGTACTAAGATTCACTTTCGAATTATTTCATGTCACCTTATATCTACATTTCTACAAGAGGATCACACCAAGGGCTATCACCAATTGACACCACCCTAACAAGTATTTTTAAAATCAATTTATAATATTTGGTTACCGATTTTCTGTGACACATTTGGTAAAACAATTTTTTTTTAGTATTATTGATTAACTACTCTATGAGTCCTTGCCACTAGCCAATTGCTCTGCCCCCCCCCCCCACACACACACACATTGGTGACCACACCACACATAATAATTAAATAGAACAGAAGACAAAAATACACAAGAAAAGATTTTTTCCACTTTTCTGTCAACACCACAATTAAATAGTCTGACTTTAGAATGTTGTTTGAACTTTCCTACTTAATATATCTATATAAGGCAACAATTATTTCAATTTTGTATTTCATATTTTAATATTAACATTTCTATAATAATATTTACATGTTGTTTTTTAGATGTACATGTACAGTATTTACACAATAACAGAACCATGGAAAGCAAACTGCAGTTTTTTCAATTATAATAATATTTACATGTATTTTCATCATTTTTAATTTAATATAATAATACATGTATTTATATAGTATCTCAACATTCAGTTGGGAAAATGCTGCTTTTTTTTAAATATTAATTTTTATCTTAAACAATAAGGGGTCTAGTTGTCCATTAAGATTTAACAATAGACAAGAGTTTACACAGTCGATTCTATTCTTAAAAGTGTATTTTCATAGTTATCCACAATATATATATATATATATTTATGATGACAAGAACAAGCAAGACAAGAATCAAATAGATTAGTTAGTTATGTAATGAGTAATTGCCTCTAAACCCACAGTGTGAATCTGATTGAAGTGAATTCAAATTTGTTTTAAATTCAGCCTATGGTAATTATATTTCTTATCAAACTTTGTCATGAAATTTAATATATGAATACCTTCAATCTTGAAGTCCAAATGACATGCATTCTGAGAGTACTGCTGAAACAATTCCCTACAAGTGGTCAACACTGCAAATACATTTCAGCAAATATTATCCGAATACATATAGATGAAATAAATTCTGTCAAACTAAATTTTCACCGAATTCATCAACAACCCTGATCTGCATGGGACTTCAAAATACTAACTATGAAGTGCAAATTCTTGAATGTTGATTCAGCTACTGATCTTTATAATAAGATCTGAATTAATTCCTACATCATAGGAAGTCATTCTAATGTACTGTTACGTAAGTAATTAATGCAATGATAGGTTATTGATGTATTTATCAATAATTTAAATCACATGATGAAATATTATTTCCTCAAACCCAACATTAAATAACAATACAGCCAAATGTTCACCTTACAAACAAAAATATAATATTTCTTCGTCACAAAATCTCGCAAACAGTCTTATTTTGTGCTTTGATGTGGATCTTTTGCTGTTGAGTTGATTGAAATACTTTTTAATATTTGTTATTATCTTTTCATGTTGCTTTCACTTTAGACGTAGAAGGCTGATCTAATTCCTGTTCATATTCAATTTCTATCTGTGGTCTACGTCTTTTAGCTGGTGTTTTCTTCTTGGGTTGTTCATCTTCAGATGATGAACTCTCTTCTGAACTGTCATCTCCCATATCCTGGAAAATTATAAAGAATCAAGAAATTAGTCAACTAGTAAATTCAATTTTAATACACAGAAAACTATGTATAAGAGGGCTGCCAGGATACTTTACAATCTCAGAGAGATCAGAAAGAGGCCTGGATGTTTTTTCCCTACATAATATAATAATATAAACAAGAATAATATTATATTAACATATTTACTATGATAGAAATACTTTCCCCAAACATAGATACACCACAACAAAATATTACTATAAAAGGAATACTTTCCCCAGACATAGATACACCACAACATAATATGATAACATTACTATGACAGTAATACTTTCCCCAGAAATAGATACACCACAACATAATATGATAACATTACTATGACAGAAATACTTTCCCCAGACATAGATACACCACAACATAATATGATAACATTACTATGACAGTAATACTTTCCCAGACATAGATACACAACAACATAATATGATAACATTACTATGACAGAAATACTTTCCCCAGACATAGATACACCACAACATAATATGATAACATTACTATGACAGAAATATTTTCCCCAGATAACATAAGATATACTGTGTATTAAAGATATCCAGCCATGAAACAAAAAGTCCACTAAATTGTAACTGATTTTGTCCAATTGAATTAGACCAGTTGAAGTTTACAGATGGTCGACAGATCACTGCCATTAGTGCCTTTGAGGACTTTTTATTTTGATATAATCGAACTATACAGTTACATCACAGATTTTCAAATTAGATACATATACATTGTAGTGTTCAAACTTTGCGACAAATCTGCCAAACTATCACTGAGATGTATTGACTTTCAACAAATACGGTACTACAAGTAGGTCAATGGTGTGTTTCTTGATAATTAGGTGAGTCAGGGTTATTATATATTTTCTTAGTGAAGGTGATCATGTCCCTTTAATTTGATAGGTTAGTGGTTACTTTTGTGCTAAAGTCATTTTACCTGCAACACACCAATGTCCCACTCTAAATACCAATGCTCCACGTGTGCTGTTTTCAGGGGAATAAATGTACAACAATAACTCAAATACAATGTACTCTCTTCCTCTATTTTATTCACCTATTTGACAGACTCTAACCCCTAGCATAAATTTAGTGAACAGAAATATGATTTTATAGTGCCTTTATTTTACTGATTTTGTACAATATATTGTATTGGCATATATTGATAATTATGGTTATTTTATATACTGTAATATACCATACTTACTTCTACATCTGATACATCACTCTCTTCAAAATCTTCTTCTGCTACATACTCTACTTCTCTCTCAGACTAAAATCATACATTAATATCATACATTAATATCATAGACAATCAGATGATAAATTAGCAGCACAGTCAGGACATGGCAAACAAGGATGGTTAGAATCTTCAGATACTTAATAGTACTTTAAAGTTAACCCCAGTTCACATCTTTCAGTCATAATAATGGCAGGGCTGACAAAGTGTGGCCTTACATTACAATGGAAGAAAAATGAACTAATGGGTAGTATACATACACGGATGGATATTCTGACAAAATGTTCACACCTACACTAGTACTTGTGATGTATTTATATATTTTATTCAATACATACCTCCTCATCTTCCTCTTCTTCTATCTCTCTATCTCCATCTTCTGTTTCTTCATTCTCACTCTCTTCCATTTCTTCTTCTTTCATCACATTATCAAAAGCATGAGTAGGGAAATTATAAATATCACCATACTAAAATATAAACATAAACTGTATAATTATAAAATCTATCTTTAAAGGAAACCCAGTCAATATCTTGATGTGAAGTAACCGAAATGAAATGAAGTGTATCATTCTACATTTCTGAATCAACTGCAGTGTGCTGTGGGGGAGCAATTTGCCCTGACAGGATAAAATTAAACATTTGAATCACCTACCGTTCCTTTCTTTAATCTTTCTAACAATTCTTTCTCTATATTATTAGATAAATCAGCCGCTACTAAAGCTTTTTGCTGAAAAAGAAAAAAATAGACATTTTTTTAAATGTACATCACATAATAAAATTAGTCAGAGGGCAACAACACATGTACTATCAAACAAACATGCACTAGTACATGGACTTTGCAATAATAGTAATAAGAAGACTAAGTTGTTCATTTGGCACATGTCATAAAAGTTAAATCTCATGGCGCATTTAGATCTCCATCAATCACAAGATACAAATGCAGGTAATGTTAATTAGAGATGAGTCTATGAACAGCTACAGAGAGACAGAAATGGGGTTTAAGGTCCACTACACACAAACTAGATCATTTCGGGACCAACGTAATGGTTCAATTTTATGTCATTAATTCGCTTGCGCATAGGGGTCTTTAGCAGTAGGAGGAAACTGGAGGACCCAGAGAAAACCCATGAGGTTGGACAGATGACCCTACTCTTTGTCATGTACAACCAGGGAATCAAAACTAAGCCAGTTGACTCAATGACAGACCTTATGACACAACGTGCATGCGCTAACCATTTGGACATCCAATCCCCCATAAATGATCACAACATCAGAACTGGACGATAATTGAACTATCAGCTCATATCAGTATTTGTTGATAATCGGTCATTTTTTTACCGATATCCAATTGTAAAGAAATTATAAGAGAGAGAGAGAGAAATGGGGTTTAACGTCCACTCGACACAAACTAGGTCTTTTCGGGACTAACATATGGTTTTAAGTTTATTTCAATAATTCGCTTGCGCGTAGGGGTCTTTAGCAGTGGGAGGAAACCGGAGGACCCGGAGAAAACCCACGAGGTTGGACAGGCGACCCTACTCCTTGCCACGTACAACCGAGAAATTATAAAATTGTTGAATTTGATATGTGGTTTTTAGAGTAACTGTCTCCTCAGGAAACAAATGTATTATAAACTGAAAGTAGCAGGCATGGTAATTTCACACGAACATATTCTTGGACATGCAACTATAGTATAATAATTATTTCTTACTTCTCGTCGGGTTTCTCTACGCTCAATTTTACGATTTAATGGTACAATCTTTTTCCTGATAAAAAGAAATAACATATTAATTTATTTAAATTAGTTAATTTTTATATTAATAACATCCAATCCATTGGCATTGCTGGAGACATTACTGTTATTGTTGATCATTAGATAACTTGTATAAAGTAATGTCTGTAGTAAAATTTATTCCCATTACATGTATTGTCATCTCCTAATATTTAAAACACAATTATTGGGGTTTACCCAAATTATATGCCAACCAGCAGTAAAGTTAAACGTATCAACCAATTAATACTAACCAAATCTCAGTAAATTTGAACATATATATCAAGGGTTATGTACACATTGTGGCACTTTCTAAAGGAATTGTGGGCTGACAACAATCAGCAGTGACTACAGCATACTTTTACATTATATTTATTACAAAGACTAAATGAATTGCACTTACTGTCGTTTTAATGTCAATCTTCGTATTCTATTCAAATATTGAATTATTTTAGTGAATCTTTGTTTACATTTGTGGATGATATATCTGAAATAATAAAACAATGGCATCAATATGATTCCTGTGAAATGTTAATAATATACAGGACTCGACATAAGTGGTTGCCCAATTGCCCAGTGCAACAAAATCACATTTATTGACAAGTGTTTTTTCTTTCCTATGTGCACAATTAGACTAGCAGTGTAAATATACTTACCAGCTGACACGTTTATTGAATTTACATCTGAGATTTACCGAAAGAAATATATGTTAAAATTGTGTGTTTCAGTGTCAGGTAAACTAACCCATGCGAGTATCAATTCCTGCCTTCGACCACTGATTTGAAATTTTTTATTTGATATCAACACTATACTAAAACATGTTAGCAAATTTCCTGATGCATTTTTATCAGTACAACCCCCCACCCACCCACACCGGTCACGTATTTAGCACACAAAGCAAATTTTCAAGCACTGGTATAATATTAAATCATCCCAATTTGTACACAATTCCAGTCGTCTATAGAATACAACAAAATTTATGGTTGCCATTGCACTGACAAAATTGTTCTCTATTAATTATGTGTGTAAATATTTATTAAAATAGCCTGATCATTCAATTGATACCATTTGAAATTTCATGTTTTACATTAGGTCTATTAATCTGTCATACAGTAACACCTATTATGTAAGTATACTGCAGTGGTGAAGTAAGTCTACACACACCGTTATGTCTTAATGTATTTACAGACTATTGGTTGGATTGCCCTTTAGGATCAACGGTACTATATTTTATTTGTACCATAATATAAGTAATTACCTTTGCCAATATATTAATTCATCACTGATCTGTTTAAGAGCTTTTTCATAATTTCTTGATAATTTAATTTTTTCCCACATTCTGCTAGGAAAAGCTGCTCGTTCTACTGTTTTGACATATAAATAACAAATACCTGAAACATATAACATAATCTGAAATTCACTACCTTGGTTTAAATATATATGTACAAACCCTGCTTATACAGGCTTAAATTAATTAATATTTTTCAAAGATTTTTTTCTCAGACATCAATCATTATAATAAAACACATAGAAACTGAAGGTAAAAGTCTCCTAATTTTTTTTATCTTAATTTATTGTAAAGAAAAATGATGACCACTTGTTGAAAAATTATTTAGAAACTTCTAAACTGTAAGAGAGAAAATTAACATTACATTGATAGCAACTAACTCATGATGGCATCAGTGATTAAGATCTATAGAGCAATGCTTATTAATGAATACTCTAAACCAAGAATGTACCTTTCTCTTCTCTAACTGTTGCATACTGACTGTTAGCTAATGGACAAGCTCTACGACTACATAACCCTGTTAAATTGTATTCATTTCGACAAAAAGTCTGTGTTTTTGTTCTGTAATAAAAAGTATATAAAAATGAAATTTAAAGGTTCAAATAAAATAAATGATTATAACATAAAACATGAAGATCTCATACACATTTATATTTTAAATAAAAAATAAAACTATTATATGTACATGTATTAGTAACTAAACTTTTGCTACTAAATGGTAATATTTTTGCACACTGGAACTAGTCATACTAGTCACACTATTTGATACCTTTACACATATAAGTTGTGATCTGTTGCATTGTGATATTAACAAACAATTACATGTAGATCTACTTACTTTACTTTATGTGAACAGAAAGAATTATTTATTATACTCCATATAACCTGAAAAAAAAAAAAATACATAAAATGTATAATTATGTATTTCGGACCAATTATAGAATCTCAAAAGTTTTTGATATCATAATAAGAACTTACTTGGACTAAGGTAACCTGGATGTTCAGTTCACTGTGAAAGGAGCTAATCTGACATACTCACATAGACAAGTTCTAAGTAAAAGACTAACCAACTTTTATAGAGTACACTATATAGACTTGGTAATGAGATTTGGTAATTGTAATTGAAAGAGATACAGACTGAATTCTATGGAGTACAATTACTGAAAGACCAGAGAATCCTGAAGTCACGATGGCTTGTTGACCACTAGCCTCTATCAGATATCGTTACTATAGTTGACCACCTTCTTGATTATGTCTTATTATAAAAAAATTCTCGAAGTGTTTGGTCTAAATTATGAAAAATATTATTAAACATGCATTATGCAAGAGCTAAATCTGATTATTGCAAGTCTTAATTTAGGATTCAGATGTTATAGAAATTATAAATTAGATCTTTATTTAAACAACAAGACCAAAATCAACTCTGTAGACCCACGGATGGCTCCGCTACAGCTCGAATTTAAATAGGATTTCACTAATTGATTAAATCAGATCAGGGGTAACCTGATGAAAATACGTCAGTTAGATCGAGGCTAAATGATAGAGTGTACTTAGCGAGGCCGCTGTAAAGCGTTTCCGTATGCCATTGAAAACTTTACTTGATAATCGAGATATGTAGGTGGAGTTAACGCCTGTCAATCAAACGTTCAGCGAAGGTGAAGACACATTTCACTACCATTTCTAGGCAAATATTACAACGATGATAACTATGTTCAGAATAAAGTAATTTGACTGAATTTTTCAATATTATTATATTCTTCTTTCATCATCTACTTTTGAACTGTTATAGCAAGAATGGCCAACTCTCTAAATATCTCCCATAATGTATCTTTAATAACAGCTTGGGTAAAACTTTACTTCTATATTTTTCCAGAATTGGTTGAAACATAATATGAATTGGTTGTGGGTTTCACTTTCAACATCGTAATGAATTCCAGTCGTTGAACTTGTTGTACTCCTTTCATAGTTATGACAACCTATTTATTGTTTTCACTGCGACCTGTTCTAGCAGCATTACGACTTTATTCATCAGACTAGTTATTCAGTGCCGAGATCAAGCTACTTGAAGTGGTACCACTTGAAGTACACAAATGACAATTTCAATATAGAAGAATTAGAATTAGAAGTTAGAATTAACATGTGTTACGGCTCAGGCTTTGACAAACTCAAAATGTCTTCAGAAATCGCACTTTCACACCCTATTGATATAATTACAATTTACCCCGTCGTCTAAAGGGGATATACTCACATCGTCACTCTGCATTTTTGATTTACTATAACAAATAACTAAGAGTAAGATGTAAACATAAATATTTCAACAACAAATACACACGTGCTGAAACTGCCGTAAAACGTGCTGCTAAGGAAGATGTCGTAAATGATTTACTAATCTCGGACATCCAGACAGAAGAGAAAAGAAGTAGTGGACGGTTTACAAGGACCTCTTTTTTTTTTAATGGACGTTGTCCTCGACAAATACCGGCGTATTTAAATAATGTATATTGAATATTATTATATCGATAGAATGACACAAATGAATATATAAAAGAAAATAGTCGGTTAATTTGAACTGTGTTATTTTCAATGACTAGCTGCCGTGCACGCTTTTTTTTTCTTTTTGACTTTTAAATCTAAAGTGCATAAAATTATTTTGCCACTATTAATTTGCGTATCGCATTTTTATAGATCAATTTTTGTTTACATAAGGTAATAAGGTAACATGGTCCCAAAGTTGATACGTGTAGTACCCGTTAATTAGGAAAAACAATATCATAATACAGAAGCTAGACGCAAAATATTCTGAAATATTTGAGGTTTTTTTATTAGTATGAATAAGACAGCCGTAAAAACCAACTTATCAAGTAATATACATAAACAGTATTGCTGATCACACATTTTATTCAACAAAACTAACAAATAATTGGTCCAGGAGGGCCCACCCAACAATAACTTGTAAATATACCTTCATAATCTAAAATATTCCGGACAATCCCTCGGAACTGAATTTCGGATCGCTTTGAAAGGCTACCCCCCTCCCCCCCCCATATATAAATTTTGTTTCGAAGAGCCAGTGGCTACAACACCCCCCCCCCCCGACTGTACATTTCGTTCGCGTGTCTTAGAAATCATCAAATAGATGTTTAAGATTAAAATATCTTATACGCAAAATCCCATGTCGCACAGGCTTTGCGCTTTCAATCTATTATGGAATTTTTTGCCATGCATTCAAGGACGGATCCGACAAAGATATCAATCAATAAACCTTCTATAAAAAAAGAGCAATCTGCAAACAGCCCCCCCCCCCCCCGCGCGCTAACCTTGTGAAAATGACAGAGGGTACCTCACTGCATTTAACGGGTTGTTTTCAAATCCGGATGTGCAGCACTGGAGTAACAATCGAGACAAAATGAAATGGGGTTTAATGTCCTACTGTTTTTCCCCGAACTAGGCTAATGAAGACGGGCATTTAAGCCATACAGTGTGCTATGAGTGACATTTTGCTAGCAGCTCTTCGGCCTACTCTTATATCGATTTCCAACTGTCAAGGGATCTTTTACGTGCACGCCAAAGTGACGGGACCTCGATTTTTAGTCCCCTCCGAACGACTAGATAGCTGTCCTTGTCAGGCCCTCAGTCCTGCCCCCTGAAAAGGAGGGTGACCACGCCGGAAAATCAAGATGAACTTTCTCAGCCAATGCAGGGATCCAGGCACGAACGAGAGGACGAACACTATCGATTTTCAGCGTAACTCGACTTTCCGTTCCAGAGTGACACTTTCCCCCTTTCCAAAAACCTTGTGAACACGATAGAAGCTATAGTATCTACAACATAAATATTGTTTTCAAATGTGATGTGAAACATTGAGACCATAAGATGACGAACCCTATCGATATTCTGCCATCAGCTGTTCCAGAGTTACCACCTCCCTTTTTTAAAAAAAAAAAAAAAAAAATATAAGCATTGGACTCAGAAAGGCTGAACCGTGTTGAGATATGTTAGCCGAGAAAGTTTCTCGGAATTTTCTGGTGTGGTTTCCCCCTTTTATTCAGGGGTGCAGGACTGAATTCGAAATAAGAGTAAGCCAAAGTGGTCGCTCTCTGGGCACAATTTCCGAATCGGGTGGTGATCATGCGTTTGAGGGGGCGTTGTCGAGATACGGGGGAGGGGTTTCCAATGTCTACACTTGGGGAAAAATGTGATTATGTTGACATAAATGATGACCATGTTATGTATTAACAAAACATAAATTTCTAGGACTGCCCATCTCTAAGTAAGTGTTTATGATGCCCCGGACAACTGTTTTGATTTGTGGTGAGGTGGGGTGGGTGGTTGAGGTTTGCGGGTGTGGAGGGTAAGAGTAAAAAATGGAGGGTAATGAGCTCATGTCGATTTAAATAATGATTTTCTTAGAGCTTGATGAAACATCTCTAAATATGTTTATAAGCTTCCCATTGTGTGGGGATGGGCGCCGAGGTGGATGCCCGAAGGGGGCTGGGGCAACATGTTTTTTTGTGGAAGAAATCATTTGTTCAAAACTGACCTTACAAGTTTAAAAGTGGTTTCTTGTTAGCCTTTTCGTTCAGTACCTATTTCGTCATTCAATATATTAAATTATAATGGTACTTTTCAAGAGATCTGGAAATGTACATAAAAAACACAGTAAATCAGAGACATGTTTAGATATTAGTTTATTGTTAGTCTTCATCAGAAGATTCAAAATCAGGGGTCATAATATGAGCGGGATAAATATCTTCTTGGTTTCTGACCAACAGCTCGCATATCTTTGCATATGCTTCAGATACCAATTCACATTATAAATCTTCATTCCAGCCATGCAGCAAAAGACCACTACGGCAAGGTGGTAATAAAGAAAAGTCTGTTATTTTTTCACCCAGAAAAATAATCTTTCTTCTAGCGTCATCTACTGATGTATTTTCTACCTTTGCCCGTTTCATTATCGATCAGAATGTGTATATTTGGATCATTGTTTGCGAGGAGAATGATTGGGATGTCTATTTTGCCCGAGCAAGAACGCTAAATACAATTTGTTTCAGCGCCTCCATTAATTTGCAATGCGAAGAGGAGTAGGTAAGCTATTTTGGCGTCCTCGTGGTTTGCGGTCAGTTCTAGGATACTCTCGACACTTTCAATACTAATCTTGATATATTTTTTTTATCCAATCAAGATTAGTATTGAAGTGCCAAGAATATCTTGGCCTACATGCTTTCAGTGGTAATTACTATGTGTCTTTCTTTTTTCCAACTTTCTAACAATTTTTAAAGAGCTGGGACAGACAAATGATGTTGCTGTTGACGTAATTGCTGGTTTAGAAAAAAATGTTTGTACCATGTACATCAGTAGATGACACTAGAAGAAAGATTTTCTGGAGGAATTTTAATTGTGATGAAAAATAACAAACCTTTCTTTCTGTATTACCATCTTGCCTGAGTAGTCTTTTGCTGCACATTAAACGCAACAATTATGTTGCAACAATATGAAGACAGACTGCAAAACCAATGATCGAAGACTAAGATTAAAATAATAACAGTTCCGTGCAGAGCACGCCAAGAACTCGCCGTAACAGAACGCTTCATTGACTAATTCCTCACATCAACTAGACCGCCTGTTGTATGACATCTCTTCCAGATCCTAGTTTTGTGAAGACAAGAAAAACGAAATTTTGAACTAAAAAACGAAACGAAAAAGCATCTGTGTTTTAATCAGATTGAACGAAAAAGCTAACGAGAAAACACTTTTCAGGTCAATTTTGAACCAAGTGGTTTCTGTCCCCAAAACTACATTCCCTCGTCCCATACAATGGGAATCTTACACCCATATTTAGAGGTGTGCAGATTGGTAATGTTTTTACCAAGCTCTAAGAAAATCATCATTTCCCGCCAATTCCCTCCCCCCATACACGCTTACCTGCTACCCCCACCCCAACTCCCACAAATCAAAACAGTTGTCCAGGGGAATCATATACACTTCTTTAGAGATGGACAGTCCTAGAAATTTATGTTTTATTAATATATATACAACATGATAATCATTTATATGTCAACATAATGACATCCCCCCCCTCCCATTGTAGACATTGGACGTCCCATATCTCGACAACGCCCCCTCAAACGCCTGATCACCACCCAGGTGCGGAATCTACGCAAAAAAACTGGTCTAGAAAAACTTGGTCTCATAAATTCACAGCTCGGGGACGTGTAGATAACAAACCTTATCTCTCAACCCTCCGTGTTTCGGAATAAGAAATGGTGCTATTATTACTTCAACGTAGCACATGCGGGAGCGATTCGCACCCGGCATTTGTAAACAAAATTGACAATATTTTTAATCAAAACAACGATTGGTTATTGTTATTTATAATATTTCTGCCACACCCAACTACAATTAAGCATATAATCCTATCTGCCACGGGTACAAATCCCCTCTTTTTAAATCAAAGCGTCAGTAGATTGCTTTTTCTGACATTTTAAATTTACATCTGTAACACATAAAGGCGGGGCCTCGTGTGCAATAGCCAAGCAAAGTACTAATCTGATCAAAATTGCGCAGTAGTATACGCTGTAATAATTGAAAAAAACAACGCTTGATTTACTTTATTATCAATATTTGCTGATAAATAAATGTTGTTTCAGTTTGGACTAAGTATGTGTAATAAGTACTAATAGTATAAAATTAACTTATTTTTAAGATGGTACATGCATTAATAAAGAAATTGAGTTTGCCACTTGGAACTATAACAAGACATCCAATCGTAGCTAAAAACAAGCACATCAGTATGAGTATATCTCAGCGTTTTTAGTTACGTTACCGTAGCTAGGGGACGTGACGACCCCCTCCCCCCACCCCACCCCTTCAGCCACAGGACTTTAATTATATGGAAATAACTTCATTGGGGCTGAAAAATTGGGTGTGTTAAATTGAGACTGACTGTAAGTTCAAAGACCAGTGAAGAAATTTACACGAGTGACAATTAATTGGCGACAGATTCATGTTTTTCGTATCATTTATATTGTTTCTGTATTTTATTCTAAATTGCAGTCTTGGAAGGAAATGTGTGCACTATAAAATGATAAAATGATTGAGAACTATGGATTTAGATTTTAAAAAAGGATCTAAATAGCCTACATTATCTTTTTTAAAATTAAAAATCAATAGATTGCCTCTCTATACTAATACTAATACTATAGCAGAGATGGAAAATTTACGTGGGGACATTTTTGTCACGAATCTAAAAATAGGTTATTTCTAATAGGCAACTATTTCTGTCTGAATTGTTATTATTGAAGTTTTATTTGGGTCAACATTTATTGCCAAATATGTACTGGCACAAAAGAAAATGAAATAACCCAAGTTGAAAACGTTCTCTGAAGTGAACCGTACACCTGATTCTCGATCCTTATATGGATATTTCCTAACTGCGCACGCGTCAGAAGTTAGAGTACTTTACTCACTTCCGGAAACATTATTTCACTAGTTTGCCGGTAAAATAAACAATAAATCCTCTATAAGTTTATCCGGTTCCCTTCCAAAATATCATCGTTTCGCAGTCGTGACGGGCCAAAATGAGCCAAGCGGGAATAGACGCAACCCTTAGTAAGTATTGCTCAACTTTTTAAATCGATTTTTGCCCGTATTGACTTTACGAGATGAGTGAAGCCAGTGAAGGAAGTGTACAGCTATTTATGGGTGTTTCCTCAAACTAACTTACACAGGCACTGTGCGTCAACATTCAAATAATTTTATTGGAATAAGATGTGATACTTTGCTTAATCGATTAAAGTGTGCAAAGAACATTTTCAAAAATGTCTCCTCTTTTTCTTGTCATAAAAAGAACAGCATAGCGTACACAAGGTTGAACTCATTATTAATGATTAAATCAGATAAAAATAGCCCTCTCCGGCAATTTTGATTCTTTATTCATGAGTTGGACAGGGCAGTGGGGTGATTGATTTTATTATCAATATCATGAAAATAGTCATGGATAATACCTGTAAATCTTTTCATTATTTGTAACAATATCATGACTTTTGGACCATTTTATGGTTATTGTATTGAAATTCTGGGGTAGGCCGACAGTACATTTCTCTATATGAATTTAAAGAGTACGAAGAGATTTAAATTTGTTTCCATATGTTTCATTACAGAGGGCACATTTGCCACCCTTCCTAGGACAGTAAGAGGTCGACCAATTGTGATTAATGGAGATCCTAAAGGAAAGAACTTTATTTATACCAATGGTAATTATGTGATTATCAGAGATATTGAGGTGAGTGTGTAGTGGCAGTATATATAGTACCGTAGCGATTTAATTTCAATTAAAAGCATACTGTAGGCCAATATTAGTACTAATACTCTAACTACTTGATTAATTAACTCCTTATGTCATCCCTAACCATATATTTTAGTAAAATAAAATGAACAAGTAAAGGAAGTAAATTTTAACCATCATGACCTCTTGGGTGATGTATATGTTTGCCAAGATTGTCGTCATTGAATATCAGCCTTATTTATTTAATTGATTTGTTTATAGTTGCTTAAACCCGTAATGAATAGTTTTGTGAAGAAAAGGGGCTAAGTGAGAACAAATTGATTTTTACACTATAAGCTTCATTAACAAGTGAGAAATGTACACTTAATATTGATACCATTCTCCCAAAATATTTTCAGAATCCAGAAATTGCTGATATTTATGCTGAACATGCTAAAGAAACAACAGTCGCTAAATATGCTCCTAGTGGTTTTTATATAGCATCTGCAGGTTGGTAAGATCATTAGAAGACTTTTTCCCTATGTTTTTCTATTTTATTCAAACATTATTCAATAAATACTGATGTTTTGCTTGTTTGCACGGTTTTGCCGAGTCAGCAACTATGAATCACAGAATATACCTGAATTTTGTGGCATGCTCATATTGCCATGATGTTTAATGTGTTGAAATCAGTGAAAATTATAAAAAGGACTATGTGTAAATTTTGACTATCAATCATGTCAAATTTGAACTAGCAGTATACAGTAGTATACACCACAATAAATTAAAGATTTTTGTAAAATATTGATAGTCACTTGGTGACTTGTGTACAGTACAGGATGTACATTGATATAATTAATCTTTTGAATTGTTCACTGGTTATTCTCTAGAATTTTTTTAAAGCATTAGATGGGGCAGGGACATAGATTTGTACATCTGTAAATTCCCTGTCATGGCATGTACACTGTTTATCATTGGCTATACTTTGCTGACTGCTGTTATATGATATATAATAAGGATAGAAATAAAAATCAAGTACAAGCAGTCCTGTGGGTCACAAATTCAACAAAATCGTGTTATCTCGCAAAATATTATTAAATGAATATATACTGTTGCAGATATTAGTGGTAAGGTTAGAATCTGGGATACCACTCAGAAAGAACATCCATTAAAGAATGAATTCCATTCAATATCTGGTGCTATTAAAGATTTAAGTTGGTCACCTGACAGTCTAAGAATATGTGTTGCAGGAGAAGCTAAGAGCGAGTAAGATACTTGTCTTTCTTTTACTTTTTCATGAATAAGGGGGGTTGGATGGCTGAATGGTTAGCGTGCGCGCGCTGTATCATAAAGTCTGTCATTGAGTCGATGGCGTGGTTTCGAATCCCCGGTTGTACGTGGCAAGGAGTAGGGTCGCCTGTCCAACCTCGTGGGTTTTCTCTGGGTCCTCCGGTTTCCTCCCACTGCTAAAGACCCCTAAGCGCAACCGAAATATTGAAATAAAATTAAACCATATGTTAGTCCCGAAATGACCTAGTTTGTGTCGAGTGGACGTTAAACCCCATTTCTCTCTCTCTCTCTCTTTCATGAATAAGAAGAATTACTTTGCAAAAGTGTTGAAGTTCGTCTATGTCTCATGATAATTATTTGAGGGTTATAATTTTATCCCTTGTAACAACAGTATTGTGAAAGTTGAAAAGTTGGATATCTAAAAGGAATATGGTACAATTCAATTCAGGTTTATAAAGATATGATGAATTTGCTAACCTTTGGCATCCTCAAAAAAATTGGAGATTGGTTTTGAAATATTTTTGTGCATTTAGTCAGAAAATAATTAGATATTGTCCAAAAAATGAAGATCAGTGGCTTTAATATTGCTTCTCATTTAAGATGAAGAAAGACACAAGTCCGCTTTCGGAATAGTTGTCGTATTTTCAAAAAATATATTTTTTTGCAGCACTGCTGGAACGCTGCTCTCTTTCCACTCTTATATGACAGCTCTGGCAAAATTTACAAATTAGAGCAATGATGCACATACAGGCCCATATTATATAAAATATATGGCTAAGAGTTTAAATCTAGAATAAGAAACTATTCTTAATCTGCAATTATTAAAAAAATTATCAGACCATTTTTGCTGTTGTGTGTTAGATTACCGTAACTAACAACTCATTCGTATGATTTTTTCTTTTTATCAGATTTGCTAAAGTTTTCCACTGGGATAGTGGAACTTCTGTAGGTAACCTTACCGGTAATGTTAAATCTATAAATAGTATTGATTATCGAGCTACCCGACCATTCCGTATTGTAACAGGAAGTGAAGATTATAATGTGGGATATTTTGAAGGTCCTCCCTTTAAATTGAAGAGTTATATTAAAGTAAGTATTCAACACAGTAAAATATAAGGCTTCTATTGAATTGACTTGTCTCTGTTAGACCAGTTGGTGCACAAAAGTATGAAGTTAAATTTCATTTATTGATTAGACAATTAGGAAAAGAATTACTATATCCTGGTCCTTTCCACGGTAGACTTTTTTTGATTGATTAATTGAACAATGTCAATGTCAGAAGGAAGGTTCTATTCATGGTGTATTTTAGACTTTATGAATATGTTTTGAATGAGTGTTATGTTTTTGAATACAAAATGAACAAGCTATGTGTATTTGCATATGCCAGTGAGTATTTGGAATAGTGTAGGTAATTTTAGACAATGGGAAAAGGCTAGATGTTGTTTGACTTTGCCATGTGAATGATATTGACATGCATAAGTTGGACGATACATGTAAGACTTTTCCGGGGGGAAAAAGTATTGACTTATAGTGACTGATGCTCCTCACACTATGGTAATTTTGCCTGTACATCTTACGCCTAATGAAATCCTTTCTTAGGAATGAAAGGAATCACTCACCTCTTGATCATATAACTTGCCAAATTTACCAAATACCTCACCTTGTCCAAACAGCGATAGCTTATTTAGTAGAACGATTTTTGACTTTTGCAAATTAAGAATAAGCCTTTTTCAGCCCACCAGCCAAATGTAGAAAACAATGACTGTAGATTGGTTTAAATGGAACAAAATTCATGTTATGATTCAGTTGGTTAATTGTTTATTTTTCTTCAACTTTTTCGTAGTTAAATCAATGCACATTGTAAATAGAATGATTTTATGCAATGTTTATTTTATATGTTTGTTTCTCACTACAAAAACTTGTGTAAATATGAAAGAAATTAGATTAGTTAAACAGTTTCTTGTGAACGTTAGAAATGCTAATATTATTGTGATGAAAAAGCATATTGATTAAACTTTTTTATTTCTGTTTTTCAGGAACACACAAATTTTGTCAACACAGTACGATTTTCGCCAGATGGAGAAGTATTTGCTTCAGGTGGTGCTGATGCTATGGTTAGTTTTTAATGTCCTATTATTTAATTAAAATGGGAACTAAAGAATAGAATGTACAAGTCAGATTATTTGTTATATTTAATTAGAATGTGATTTGGAATTTGATTAATAGTTAGATTTTTGAAAAATATTATTTTCGTTGTTGATTTGATTTCAGGTATATATTTATAATGGTTCTACTGGAGATAAGGTAGGACAACTAGGAGATAAAGCTCATAAAGGTGGTGTATATGCTGTAAGTATTTTTGAAATATTCTCATTCTGTTATGGAGACATTTATATAATATTTTAATTTGGTTGTATTACATACAGCAGTACAACGAAAATCTTTAGCTACGTGAACTTCTCAATTGAGAATGAGAAATTGATGTCATAGCAAGACATATTGAGAACTTCTGTCAGTTCTTTTGGCTAAATGGAGTGATAATTTAGGCATGTATTTTAGAAGACGAAGCTAGTTTTATTGTGTTGTCCATATAGCATGATATTTGCAAAGAAGCTCATTTATGCATTTTGTCCATGTATTAGAATAGATGTTTAACAAATACAAAATTTTCTTATTTTAGTTATGCTTTGATTCAAGTAGTAAAAAATTACTAACTGTATCTGCTGATAAAACCGCCAAGATATGGGATGTAGAAACCACTTCAGTTGTTACGTAAGTTTATTTACTTGCAAATAAACATGGAATGTGGTTTTTGTCACCCCCATCCGTCATCCACAATTACTTGTGAACACTTTATATATTTGAAGAAACTTATGAATACTCTAACTGCAAAAGTTATTATCTGATCAACTTTAAATTTATGCTTCAGTTATTGCAATGAATAACATTCGGTCTTGGTGTTGGCCATATAAGTGGTGCATGATGGACAATTTGACCAGGAACAGTATCTAGTCATTTGAATGAGACAAAAACCGAGGTCCAGTGTTGTCTGGGCAACTTTTCCCCCATAGCACACTGCATTAGCTTAGATGGCAATAAAAAGTAGGACGTTAAACTCCATTTAATTGTAATTCATTGATGTATAACAGAGCTGAAGTCATCCTTCCTAACTGCAGTTATTTTCAATATAGACAAAACTAAATAAAGATAAAAGTATAAATAATCTCATTTATTTTGTTATTTGATCTTAAGGACTGTGCACACCAGAGATTAATTATTGCCAATAGCCCAATTTCTTGTCAACAATAAATTGAATAATCCAATGTTTATGGAAAGGCATCCATTAGTGATCTAAGCACACAATTTACGCTATCAAAGCCTGTTTTTGGAAGTCCTTATTAAATATGAGATAATATTGAGTGAATGTAATTTCGGGCATAAGCATTTCTTCAGGTTAACTAAAAAACCCAAACAACTTTGCACTGTGTGTTAACAGGTAGTGATTCAAAACATGTGACCCTATCTTGATGGTGTATGAAATATTGAATACTTTGAGATGCCTTACTCTTTGTTTTATTGAGAATATTGAGACATTATTGTTAACCTCTTGTCATATTTTTAAAGTGAATTTGTAATGGGTGACCAAGTACAAGATATGCAGGTTGGATGTTTATGGCAGAATGATAATATATTAACTGTATCTTTATCTGGTTATATTAACTATTTAGATGTCAACAATCCATCTACACCACGTAGAATAATCAAAGTAAGAATCTCAGTTCATTCACAATCTTATATTTTTAACGATTCAAATGATAGGAATGTTTTTATAAGTATTTTGTTATTTCTCTCGTATATTTTTCATTTTAACTGAATATTTATATTTTCTTCTGAAAAATGAAGTTTTGATAGTATTGTATATGGCTATAATTATTTTATATTTTAGGGTCACAATAAATCTATAACGTCTCTGGCTTTATCATCAGATAAATCAACAATATTTACTGGTAGTTTTGATTCGCATATCAGTATCCTTTTATACAACAAAAACTGTAGCTGTGGAAAGAAAAGGCTGTATTCCGTTCATGGAAAGAAAAAACGGTATTCTACTGAATGATGTGTTGACAACATAGAGAATGTGAATATTTATTTTAAAACTCCATAATTTCCTGTTTGAATCATATTGGAGCTTTTTAAACAATCTGCTTTCTAGATATTTGAAAATTTAAAAATGTATGTTACAATATCTATATATTGTATGTAGTATATGTAAGATTAACTTTTAAATTCTTTAACTTTATGAAGATTATATGGATGCAGCATCATGTATAGATGATGAACTTATAGGTAACGGTCATGCTAATCAGGTTACAGATATGGTTATTAACGAGGATACCCTGACATCCATAAGTATTGATGATACCATTAGGTTTTCATCAGTTAGTTCAAAATCATATGGGTAAGAAAGATCTAGTATTATCCTATATGATAATTATAAACCAAATAGAAGTCTGATCATTATTTGAATGATTGTAACAGTTGAATTTCTGACAGCATTATAAGTCCAAATTGAACTTATATTTGGCATCCTCGTGCAGACAATATAAACGTAATATGGTCAAAACATGGCAGCACCACCGTGAAGATTTTAGGTGCGATTATAGGTCACCTATAATCTTCCTAAAATCTCTTGATTGACCTTTAGATCAGATTATCTACAATTAGATTTTGTCTGAAAAATGCAACATGATTATTTAATCAAAATAAGTCAGTTTGTTATAGTCTACAATGGAAATACATTCAATCAGCCTATAGTAAAAAAAAATTTTTTTTTCAGTTCATCAATAAAACTTGAATCTCAGCCGAAGTCAGTTGACGCCAGTGGTTCGATATCTGTAGTGGCTTGTATAAACCATGTAAGTTAACTCATGGAATGTATAGAATTGATGGTTCCCAGACAATTTCACCTTTTGATGGCCCAAAAAACCTGTGGGGATTAAAGGAGAACTTTTTATATATGTGCTGGATTTGGTTATTTACATTTCTTGCCATTTACCTTTTTAATACTTGAATATGAATGGAATATTACAATGGCTGCAGTTAACCTTTAAAACAATCAGGTGTCTAAAAGTAAACAGAGTATAATTCTTGACTACATGCATATACTAAAATTAGTTTTCCATATTAAAGTGTGAACAGGGGGGGGGGGGGGGGAGGTCACATTGTTCAAGCAATTAAAGTTTTTTTTATAAAAAAACTACATTACAAATAGTATTTCTATTATTAGATAAGATTTAATTATGAATCATTTAGAAAAAAAATAGTGTTTGAAATTTGTATTTGAATTCTAAATCTGTGTATAGATATGTAGAAATGTCTTGTTTTAGCTTGTTGTCTTTGAAAACGAAAGGAAAATATCATCATTACCGATAAATTATGAAGCTTTAAGTGTAGCATTGCATCCAGGTTTAACTGAAGTAGCTGTAGGAGGTGCCGTGGTAAGTCCAATAGGATTTATTTATAGATTGGAAACAAAACTGTTTATTATTTTTTCATCTGTTATTGTTTAAATACAACATTATTATTCTACGTATAAAGAAATTCTGTATACTATTAGATATTGAATCAGCAGTCAAATATCTATTACATTACATTCTGCTAAATGCCCTACTGTTAAAACACATATTTCCATATTTAAATATGGTCAAACAAGGTAGATGTTATTGGTTTGATTATTTAATTAATCCCACTATATCAACAATAATAGAGATTAGTAATAGTTACACCCTCAGTTGTCAATATTTTTGAGTTTGATTCACCATATCTTGAAAAGCGGCTGACATATTGGGCATACACTAACGAAATGGAATCAGTGCTTAATACATTACCTACATGAGATTAAGTAATTCCTGTTTGCTGGCATGAAATGTGTCCTTGTAATTGATTGGCACACTTAGATATGAAATCTCTCACTGTGCAGAGTCCAGAAACACAGTGTAAGGGGAGGTAATTTGGGGATCTTACAATAACTTGTTTCTTAAATATATATATCTATACATGTATATTTCAGGATAATAAATTACATATCTATGAATTAGCAAATGGAACTTTAACTGAGAAAATAAAGATAGATATGACTGGAGGTATAGCAGATTTAAAATATTCTCCTGATGGTTCCATGTTGGCTACAGCTGGTACTGATCGTAAAGTTAGATTATTCCAACTTCCTAATTATCTTGTAAGTAGATTTCTTTTTAATTTAAAAATTGTAGTTTACGATAATTTTGTATGAAATATTTCTTAATATAATCTGTTAATGTATTTCTTTATAAAAAGTAAAAATATCAAGTTATTATTAAAAAGATGCTGATATGATTTTATATACAGTTTTGTTATTTCATGCATTTTGTTTTTAAGATTATGATTGATAGTAATGCCCATAATGCACGGGTTAATACTGTTGCATGGGCACCCGATTCCAAACATTTTGCAAGTGGTAGTATAGATTCACAAATTGGTATTTGGGTCGCTGTGGGTTGCAGTCCTCCAAAAAATAAACTTTTCAAAGGTATGTTTCCAAGAGTTATTTGAAATGTAGTTTACCTATATAAAAACCATGACCAAGTTCGATCATGAGAATTTTCTGCTTTAACAACTAGGTATAAGTAAGCCGTTTGTTTGCTCGATGTTTTACAAAAAGATAAATGTTCAATTAATTAGTCTGTACCATCTATTTATTTTGGGACTAAGGTGGTGGACATCGTTTACTGTTGAATTGTTTATCTCTATTTTGTAGTCATTTCCTGTATTTGGTGTACTGGTACTAGTGGTACATGTTTGATAGTAATCTAGCTAAATACACTCCAAATTTTGTATACATTTAAATTATTTTATTTTTCAGGTCATCCGATGAGTCAGTTAAACCGAGTTGCATGGGTGGATAATAATACATTAGTATCAGTTGCACAAGATTGTATGATTAAACAATGGAAAATATCATATTGAGAATATTGATAAATAAACAAACATGGTATTAATAATTATAAACTATTAATTATATAACTTGTAATAATGAGCAACTTTGTAACAAACACTCAACATGGTATTAAAAAATATAAACTATGAGCAACTTTGTAAGAGCACTCAAAACAAATTTTCGCTTTTTTTCATGAATTTTCAACAAATAAGAAAAACACATCTAGCAACAGTAATTATTTTAGACATAAATAATAAGCTTTTTTTTTAGAACATTGTATAACATGTATGCACAGGTTTGGTCTGTACCTGTTTTATACAAAAACCCATCTGAGTTATGTACCTGAACGTGTTTTTGTTAATTTTATTATGAATGTATGTATACTCTCATTTGAATGAGATGAACACATTTCTTTTTTAACCACACTACTTGACTCTAGTTATAGAAAAGACAGCTGTTGATAGAAATATATTAACTTATATCTGCAAATCATAATGCCTATATATAATAAACAGTAGGACACCAAAATTATATATGATGCCTATAATAAACAGTAGTACCTACCAGTGAAAAAGTTAATGTTACTTGTACCTTTTGTAATTTTTGTAGCTATAATGATGTAAAATTTATAAATATAGACTTAATAATGCATTATGTAAGATTTAGATAAAGAGCTGTCTGTTCTTGCTATAATAAATAGTTAAAAAATAGATAATGAGCAAAGAATATATTGGAAAATTCATTCTAATTACTTTATTCTGAGCGAAGTTATGACTGTTTGAAGATTTAGTGTGGATCGTTCATTATCGTAGCAATGGTACTTGATAACCGAGACTTAGTCTTGATTTTCCATTTTATCATTAAATTTTTAAATCTCGCTGATGGTTAAATCCATTTAAATTTCTATTATCCAATGGTCTAGATAGTTGATTAAAGGCTTATTATGTTAATAAGTGTCTAAATAATAACTTATATAACATTTGAAGCCAAAAGAAAGACCTGCAATAGACAGATTTAGCTCTTACATAATGCATCTTTAAACTGTTTATAAATAATAGACAATTTTACATGTTAACCAATAGTATATATATATTTGTAAATCATGATCAAATCAATTCAGATATATAATTTCAAGTGTAAATATATCACATTGTATGTAAGCACAATGTGATAATATTTTAGAAACAGAAAATATTTTAGAATAATCTAGGAAGTGAATTGTACATAGAACCCTGACCAGATTATGATGTAAATTTTGAGATGCAGTAGCGAAGAACTCCCAATGTAAGCTGTAAGCATTTGGAACCATGGCAATTGGTATATTGATATCCCATATTACAGTGATAATGATATAGTGTATTATGGCAATATTTTTATGTAGCTAAAGCTTTTCACCTCAGATACTTCATAATAATACAACTGGAATAAATGTAGTCATTATTTTAATCAAATTAGCCTGTTAAATATTTGTTGATCTTGTCTGTAAAATAATAATATAATAAACACTATTGTAGATCATGTACTTAAATATGATTTGTATTATTCTTTTCAGCAACAAATCGGGAATCATAGACATGTATTTGTTTAATTTCACGTCCAGAAAGAATTCAAATTCTTGAAATTGAAAGTTTTTAATGATAAGAAAGCTTTCTTAAATTATACTTTCATTATGGTATGATTCATAATGTGCCTTGTTTCTTGTTAATATTAACCTTTTTTTATCAAGTGTTTTTGGTGTTGAGTAGATTTGGTAATCTTCATTTAGTAACATTTTGTTATGTAGTTGTAAGGAGGGGTCATTAATGTGATTTGGTAATAACACAGAAATTATTCTTACAGGCATTCCATGACTTATGGAAAATATATAGTACCGGTAATATGTTCCTGTGAAACTAACAGAAATTCAAACAATTTGCTGTAGATATATTTTTTTATTTGCTTTTTGAGCAAGACTTGATATATGTATTAGAGTCTTGGTCATTGTTATGTTCAAAATCAAAGTAATATTGTGTTCTCTGTAAAGTTTATTAAAGAAATCCAATGGTAACCCCTCCTATTGTAGTTATTTGTATCACTTTTATTTCATTTTTGCATCCATTGCAACAAAAATCACTACTGGTCTAGCAACAAAGTTGTACATTACATAAATTTTAGATTTAATTGTCAAACCTTGTTTCAACTTCTTATATTGGTATCTTTCATAAAATCTGTAATTTGTATATCCTTTAGTGTCACAGAGGGGAACTTCCTAGGATAATATGATAGGTCTAAAAAAATACTCTTATTCAGAAAAGTTATACTTGATTGAATTATTTATGTGATTAGCCGAATGGCAGCTAAATAAAAGCAAAGAATGAACTAAATTTTCTTAAATTCTTTTTCCTATGATGTGATTTTATGTAATTTCATTTTTTTTTTTTTTTAAGGAAGTGGATTTCCTGTGCTTTTTTTTCAATCATTAGTGTTTTTTTGTACACTAGTAATGAGTACTTTTAATTACTACAATATATAACCTAAAAGCTGTAAAATTGCTTTTAGGGATTTGTTAAGGAAATAATAGGTTAAATACCTCTGGAGTATTATTCATAATCTGTTTATTATGTGCTATAAACTATATCTTTAAATTTAATAAAATATTGATAATAATAGCTTAGTGTTTTTTTGTTGTTTTTAAAAAACCAGCAGGGGACTATAAAAATGTATCTGTCGTGTCTGTTTTTCCGTGTCTGTTTTTCTCCTTTGGATGAATCACATTGTACACCTCCCTACAAAAACATTGTGTCTTACCCCAAAAAGCTTGACCAAGCCTATTTTTGTGACTTCTTCTGACAAGTTTCCTAGGAAACACTTGTCTGTGATATCACACTTGGTGGAAGTGGACATAAAACTGTAGGAACGAACGAATCTGTCCGTTTTGGGACACAAAAGCTCTGCTTTATCAAATTCTCATGTCTGTGTTCAATAGTGGAACAGCTCTTAAAACCAACCTGGGCATCTTTCGCCTAATTAATAGTTCAGAGTTCAGCTCATTATTCATTAATTGTTTTTCGCCAGTATTTGTATGCTGTCTAACGGCCCTCATTTTACCTGGCAGTCGCAGCCGACACCAGGCATTGACCAAATGCCTGTATGGTCATTCAGAATCCGTCTGTATGGTTGCCAGTAATCAACCTCCCTGGTCCCCCCATGTCATAACTCAACATAAAAAGATTATATCTCACTTCTGATTCTTATTGGTATCATTTTGTTTTGGGATGATTAGTAATTTGGTAGCTTGATGATGTGTAGAAAGATAAATGAGTTTACAATTAATGAGTGTCCTATATTTATTTGGGGATTGAGGCATGAGAAATCTGTCCTATGGGCAGGTTATAGGACTATATCCACTATAACATTAGAGGGAAAGAAGTTAGTAAAAGTTTTATCTGGGTTGGCCAATCATTTAGAATTCTTTTTAATGAAATAGTAGGCTAGTATATTACATCATATATTAATAAGTTTACCAAAAGATACTGATGGTCTACTGCACACAGAATGGAATGGGATTTAATGTCTCATCAACACAATACTTTGGCCAGTTTGGGACAAATATGTTAATTTTTAAAATTTTGACAGTAGAAGCATTTTGCCCAGACAGTGGCTTTTCCGCCTACTCTTCATCGATTGCCAACTCTCAAGGGTTCATTTACATGCTCGTCAATGTGTACATGAAGGATCTTGATCTGAATAACTGGGCACACTTTTCTAGTCAGCCTTGCTAGTGCCATTCCTGACAAGTGAAGGGTGGGTTTAAAAATCTTGAAGGTTCTTATTGGATTGGCCCACTTCAGAATTTGTACCCGCAACATTCTTGTTGAGATTATGCTGCAATAGAAATGAGCTCCCACATCCCCCCTCTGAGCATTCTTTCATTTCAGGGCTTTGATAAGTAGGCCTACAAGCGAGAAACATGTTTAATTCTAAGATATAGGCTAGGCAGAAATATTGCTGCCCTTGCAAAATATTTTCTTTGAATTCTTTTACCTACCTACCTAATTATAATGTGACTATAAAATCATGCTACCAAAATTGTTCATCTAACATCGGCTAGTGTTTAAAAGGCCAAATAACTTATAAGCTTAAGCCTAATTTGCTAAGAACAAATATTATTATTATTATAAATAAGGTCCATGTTGAAAGTAGGTAAAATTAGTTTTTATTTACTACCAATATGTCAAAAATTTCTCTTTTAAATTGGCTAAAATTTAAAAAGCCAAATAACTTAATTATCTGTGCTGTTAGGCCTATGATTTTCTATAATTTGAAACTTGATATTATGTTTAAATAATGAAACAAATAATTGTCCACTCAATAAGAATGCGCTCGTCAATCCCGTCCCCCACTTTTGACCGAATTTGTCAAACTGGCTTTTAATAAAACTCAATAACTGGACATGTTTCGCATTGTTGACATAACACTGACTAAGGTCAAGGTACCTTGTGTCACGTGATAACGCCATCTTACTGTGTAGACGATTATTTCCGGAAAATCTTATGGTGGAAAAATCCGAGAACATCTGTAAGACTGTGCATTGTTTTGGACTAACAGTGACTTAATATACAGCAAAGATGATTAATAATACGATGTGGAAGTTGCGGGAGCTGACGGATAAAGTGTAAGTATAAATATTCCAATTATAATGTAAGATGTCGGCTTATGCTGATTTTCTTTGATGTCAACGGTTCTTGACCTATATTTTTGTGTACACGTTGCAACATCTGTCAAAAATAAATGGTAGTTCAGAATATAAATTTAACTGCTGATAGTAATTATCAATGGCGCTTACACACATTCGTATTATTATTTAGATCTACTCTTAGTCTTAGCTCAAGAATAATTGGTGCCCGGCTGGATAAAAAAAAATGGGAGGGGCACCCCTTGTTGTGTGACACTTTATCCTGACAGTTTTATATATAAAAGCTGATGAAAATAGATCTACAAATTATAGTTCTGTATATTCACATATTTCGGTTGTGTGACATGATGTTTTGATAAAAAAAGCTAGTATTTCCATCTCAAATTACACAGCCACACTAGTACCGGTACAGTGAAAATCACTTTTTAAAAAAAAATGACATTCACTTCTAAGTAGCCTATTATCTAATTTAGTAATTATGTATGTATGCTTAAAGAATATTGCGTTTATATTGATATAAGTAAGATAATCAAATTAGTGAGTATTTTGACTGGATGACTGAATTTGTAGGGTCAGTGTTATAGTAATGCACAATATTGTCAGACAACCGAATCTTCAAAGTTTAGGAAAAAAATGGACTTGATTGCCCTAACAGTAGTGAGTAGTAAGGGCTCTTTTGCACCTCTACCAGTTCTACCAGAGGATGTTATGGGCGACAATAGATGATCGAATGCCAAATTTAAGCTGATTCCACCGATAACTTTTTATTTTTGAAGACCTTTTAGTTTTCTGATAGATAATAATACACTGTAACGTGGTCATGGCAGACATTTTGTTTATTTACTATAAGGACTTGAATATCAAGACGCTTAAGATAACTTCCTACACACTGATCTTTTTCGCCAACACGCCAGTTAATGATGATGATATCTTTTGTCTGGTTGGCGTTTTACTCTGCGTGCCTGTTGTTCCATTCCGTTATCAAATTGTTGTAAAGAGGAAATATTGGAAGAACAGGCTGTCAGATTTATGGGCTGTTGTGTAGTATGGTAAACAAGAGATCTAACAGGACATTGATGTGAGGGATTAGCCAATGAAACAGACTGTTGCAGTGAGGTCTTGGCGTGCGATGCACGGAACTGTGGGTACGCCTATCCTACTAGAAACATCAACGCTGATTGTTTAATCAAATGTTTGATGTCATAGAGTCAAAAGTCGCTCGTACCCAAATCAAAATTCCAGAATTTCCAGTTGTGAAGACTAGGATGTTGCAATGCACAGCCATCTTTTAATATCTGTGATATCAAATCAAAGATCTCACCACTTGGTCCCTTAATATTTCCACTTCATCTTTATTACACCTTTTTTTTTGGTTTATGTTGACCAGTCATTTTTGTCATAGGTCAACAATTAGATTTTGATTATAAATCAGATGCAAAATTCTCATACAAAAGTAAGTGTTAAGAAAAAGCTGAACACTTTGTCTAAAATTGGATATAAATACATTTAGATCTTGTTTTATTATTACAGAACCAATGTGGTTATGAATTATTCTGAGGTGGAGACAAAAGTAAGAGAAGCTACAAATGATGATGCTTGGGGACCACATGGTACTTTGATGCAAGAAATAGCTCAATATACATATCAATATGAAAACTTTCCAGAAGTTATGGGTATGTTGTGGAAAAGAATGTTACACGAGAATAAGAAAAATTGGAGACGAGTTTATAAGGTGGGTTAATTGTTAGAGATAATGGTTTTTATTGATATTCTTTCTGGAAGATATTTTCATTAGTCTGCACCAGAAATCATTAGTCTGAAATCTGACATTTTGTGAAATGGAAGAAAACACAATTTAAGTAAAGTATGTGTGTATTTAAAAAGTCTTGAATATTTCAGTGTTTTAAATGTATTTATTTTTGAAACCTTTTAGTTATCTGGTTTTATTTAAAGACTTGTTTATTGAAAAATAGTATCAATCAGACATACTTTGAGGTTCTGTTCAGAAAAGTTAGATATTGTTCTCAGACTAAGAGACAAGAGTTTAACTTCCATATTTTTGAACCCTAATACATGTATGAGGTGTTAGTGGCCTTTCAGTGATTACAAGGCTATTTATTATCTAGAAGGGGGGTTGGATGGCTGAATGGTTAGCGTGTGCGCACTGTATCATAATTTCTGTCATTGAGTCAACTGGCGTGGTTTCAATTCCCTTGTTGTACGTGACAAGGAGTAGGGTCGCCTGTTTAACCTCGTGGGTTTTCTCCGGTGAAATAGAATTGAACCATATGTTAGACCTAGTTTGTGTTGAGTGGACGTTAAACCTCATTTCTCTCTCTATTATCCAAAATGTTTGTATGTTGATCAGTAGACAGTAAACCTTATATTCTTTTCACTTTTGCAGTCACTTATTCTCCTATCGTATTTAATAAGAAATGGATCAGAAAGAGCTGTAACTAGTGCAAGAGAACATATATATGATTTAAGAGCTTTAGAAAATTACACATTCACAGATGAAAATGGTAAAGATCAAGGCTTAAATGGTGAGCAACAAATAATTTAAATGAATGTTTGCTACTAAATATTACCAGCACTAAATATTTCGTATGGGGGAGGGGGGTGGGGACCCCTGATCAAATACCAAATACGTTAGAAAACAAATAGCCCTAAATTAAATTTGAATATTTGTATGAGCACCAGCCTGGCTGATGTATCAGTAGAGATTTGCTATGTTTGGAGTGGCAGTTAAGTGTTAAAACATTCACAAATAGTCTGAAAATAACAGGTTATTATTCAAGTGATCATGGAGGACCTGCAAGGGAGAGGTTCAGGAACAGATACATATGCAGTGACTGCCCTAGACATTCGCCAATGGCGATAATTCTTTTTATTGGCAATCATATTGATAATACGGGCAAAAGTTTTGGCAAATGAATTTTAGAGTGTAATTTCGAAAATCTTCTAATTTTAGTCTTGAAATTGTCTAGTTTAACACTTCTTTCGATTGACTCAATGTAGTGTCTGTTTTTAGTACATTAATTGACTCTAGTCTCAATCTTGCCAGTGGCAAATTAGTCAATTGTTGCGCATTTTAAAACAACCAAAAGATCGAGTCTCGAAACTTAACTTTCAAACACAGTTACATCCCTTTTGTATAGCGCTGCTGTGTTTTACTTTCACTTACTCAATGTAGTGTCTGTTTTTAGTACATTAATTGACTCTAGTCTCAATCATGCCAGTGGCAAATAAGTCAATGGTTGCGCATTTTAAAAACGACCAAAAGATCGAGTCTTGAAACTTAACTTTCAAACGCAGTTACGTCCCTTTTGTATAGCGCTGCTGTGTTTTACTTTCGCTTACCGGGTAGCTGTCATTTTTCCAATTTTTTTTCAAATTATAATAATGAATAATGATTATGTACTAATATTTATTTACCAAACTGAAAAAAGGATAGATTCATTTTTACTACCATCATCCGCGAAGCACATTATTAACGAAACGGCAGATTCAACTTCTAGTTCTTCTAGAAAGTTACTGACGGCGAGTTGGCGACAATGTGAATGTGATTGATGTGATGAGGAGTGTACCAGTGACACTTGGAAAATCCTGGAAAAACAAAATTACTCCTTGAAACTCCTGGAAAATTAACATTTGTAGTTTCGTGTGTTAGCTGACCTGTTTTTTTCCGTGAGACTCACGAATTCGCGGCTCTTCTCCCGCACGGGATGAAAATTTCTCATGAAAAATGGTCATATGCCAATGCTACTTTTACTTTCCCAAAGGGAGAAACTCCCTTACTTCCGTTTTCAAAAATCAACCTCATGATTGGTTGAAATTGACCGGAAACTTTTAATTCCGGTAATATGCTTGACAGCCCAAGGTGTCTTAGTGGTTATTATTGTTTGGAATAAATAAATTATATTGTAATGGTAGCATGGTGCATGAGTGTACCTGATAAAATAGAGACCTGTACAAGGTTCTTTCCATTACAATCATTTTTCCCCATAGCTAGTAGTCCTAAACGTCTATGTGATTTTGACAATTCTCCCACGAAGAGAAAACATTTCACGCCACGTGACTTTAGCGTGAAATCGTAAGCCGTTGACTGACATTCAGCCGACTTTCAGTCTGCGATTTTGGATTACTTTTTCATCTTATTATATTACTAATACTAGCAATAGTATTATAATACTTTGATATCGATCTCAATACATGCAGATAATCTGACTCAAAAGTTTTTGAAATATAAGCGCAATTATCGTTTATGTACAGGAAACACTAGCGGGAAAATACCACTCTGAAATCATGTTTCCAGGGATTTCCATTCACGCGATTACAGCCATAGACTATAAATATTTTATATATTATCGTTCAAATTATTACGATTTTTATAAGTTTTAGCTGGCTAATATTCGCGGATTTCAGTTTTAAAATTGTTACAAGCGATTCCATACCCCTTATAAGATATAAAACTGAATGTAGTCATCGATTGTTTCTTCAAAAGTTCACGAATTCGTCGCCGTAAATGGACCCATCTTCTGTATTTCTGAGTTGTGCACACACTGTGCATACGTGCATTAAAAAACAAATTCAAGAGTAGCCCAACTATAGCCTGTACATTGATATGTGTAAGAACTTTGTTTATCATTGAAGTTGTTTTATTTCAGTTCGTCATAAATGTAAAGAATTATTAGAATTTATTGGTGATGATGAGAGATTACGAGAAGAGCGTAAAAAAGCAAAGAAAAATAAAGATAAATATATAGGAATGTCTGGTGAAAGTATGGGTTATAAATCATACAGTAAGTTTATGCAGATATTAAATGTGTCTCTGGCGATATACTCTATCAACTAATGGTTACAGGTTTTAGTTTCTATGATAATTGTTTGTCTTATTCACAGCTGGTTGCTAGAAAAATCGTATTCCTATGTATCTCAAAATTGACATAGATTTTCAAACCATATATGTACCCGTACCATATAGTAATTCTTCCAAAATTGTGTCACTTTTGAACAAGTTTATGAAACTTTTGTTATTGGATACATTTTATTTTCATTCGAAAATACAATATAAATGTATGTTAGTTTTGAAAGGATTTTAGAAATGAATTCCAGCATTTTGCAAGCTGATTTAGATTTTTCAAGAAACCAGTTAAATGCTTTCTATATCAGCTGCTGCCTTCTCATCATTGCACTAAGATATAAGATATCTTATCTTGTAAGCTTACTATTTAGTGCCACAGTAATTAATGAAATCACCAGTTATATATATATACAGCAGAAAAATAGAAACATATTGGTAAAAGATATTTATCAATTGTAGAATGAAGATACAATATACTCTACTAATCCTAATTAAAGCCTCTTATTTATTCCACAATTATTATACAATAAGTATTGCCAGTACCATATATATTATATATATAAACTAGAATCATCAGTATCAGTACCACTAGCCTATTTCACAAATAGTTTATAGATTCACAGTTCATTGCTGAAAGGCTTGATGTGTCATTTAGTGCTATAACAATCCCTTGAAAATTACAATATTGTGAAAGTTTAATCTCTAAATATCAGACCAAAAATGGTTAAATTCTGTTCAATATTTACAAATTGATGATAAATTGATCGATCTCTTCTGCTTAGTTTTCTTAAATGACAAATAATCAACCTGAGTGCATATTTAGCATAGATTAGGCCATGAGAAATGTGATATTTTGGTGAAAATGCAAATAACACATCAAGTCCATAACTCATCATTAACCTTTCTAATCATTCACCGTTGTCCTTTCCATAACCACATGCTTCTATCTGCTTACTATTCAGAGTATGATCCAGACTCCGGGTACAGTAAAGGTACTAGGAGCAGGGATGAAACCCAAAAACTTCCTGGATTACGCTCTGATAATGGTAAGTTGGAACACAGGGAAACCATTGCATCCAGTCACTAAATAAAAGGGATTTGTTAATAGATTCAAGATGCTGATATCAATCACATTTAAATATATATAAATGGGAGAAGTTATTCTATAAAAAAATTAACACTGGTAAATGAGTTATCCTATTCTTAGAAATGGCATTAAATCTTTTGTAAGTAATTTACTGATGGTATTTAACGGGTTTTTGTACAGGTACTTGTAGCCTATTGACCAAGAGTAAGTATGGAATGCTTGATGCATGTGAATTGCTTAATTTAGAATAAATATTGTTTCGTCAAATTATTATTTATGATTTCATAATAAATTTGACCTTTTAATTAACTATAAATGTATTGCTTAATGAAATATGTGAATGCATGTTATAATGAATTGATTGATTTTATTTCAAATATTTTTATATCCCCTTTGTTTACTGACTGGATTGAATTAGTTTGTCCCATCCTTTTGTTTATTTGTTGTTTTGTGTACGTAGCTGAGCAAGTTTTTGTTTATAATTGTTATCATCAGGTGATAGATATGACAGTGCACCTCGTGGAAGAAGTAAACTAGATGATATTGATGACTGGGATCATGATAAAAAATCGGTAGCTAGTGAAGCATTAGATAAAGTTAAAGGTTTATGGAATAATGCCCGAGGGAGAAAAGGCATGGATATGAGTGATTTTAGGTGAGGAAAATTTTATGGATGTTTTCAAATCTGATTAGACTGATTAAATTTAGAAACCTTCTTATGTTGTCTGTATTGTTTGTGGAATGTACAAAGCATATTTACATACATGTAACTAGTATCTAAATATACATTTTGGTTTTGTTTTGTATGTTGCATACAAAATTGCAATATAAAGTAATGATTTCTGTATTAGCTATGCAAACTTCCCCAGCAAATAAATGTGTTTTCAGGTGATCTGGGAAAAAAGCTCATTCTTGTATGCTGTGTGCGCATGAAAATAGTCACTGTTTTAAACTGAATGGATAACTTGGCGAACAACTAAATTCAAACTGAATGTAAAATGAAAATTGTAATATTTTCAAGCGGAATATATTCACATTTATTATAAAATTATTATGTACAGTGATGAGTTAATCACTTATAACATATTGATTGATTGATTGTTGAGCTTGATGTTTGTAATAAATTACTTTCTTTTATCCTTTTATGACTTCAAGCATTTAAATGTCATATTTTGAATAAGTCATCCATTTGAATGTTTGTGCATTACGGTATTATAGTGAAATTATGTCAGAATACAATGCTACATTGTATTTGTTCTGCTGGATATTAGAATTATATCATGCACTTCTTAGGAATTTGATATAACTAATTCACATCAAAGTGTAGAGTATTATATATTTACCTGAATTGTTTGATGAAATTATCCTCTTGATTTTGCTTAAACATTGTTAATTACAGTGAAGGATTTGATTGATATACATACAATACTAATGATGTTTATATTATAACTAGATATATATGATACTAGTAATGTTTATATTGTATTACAGTGATGATCCTATAGATATATATATGATACTAGTAATGTTTATATTACAGTGATGATCCTGTCGATAGATATACTAGTAATGGTTATATTGTATTACAGTGATGATCCTGTCGATAGATATACTAGTAATGTTTATATTGTATTACAGTGATAATTATATTGTATTACAGTGATGATCCTATAGATATATGATACTAGTAATGTTTATATTGTATTACAGTGATGATCCTATAGATATATATGATACTAGTAATGTTTATATTGTATTACAGTGATGGTCATGTAGATATATATTCTAGAGTAATGTTTATATTGTATTACAGTGATGATCCTGTAGATAGATATGATACTAGTAATGTTTATATTGTATTACAGTGATGATCCTATAGATATATATGATACTAGTAATGTTTATATTGTATTACAGTGATGATCCTATAGATATATATGATACTAGTAATGTTTATATTGTATTACAGTGATGATCCTGTTGATAGATATACTAGTAATGTTTATATTGTATTACAGTGATAATTATATTGTATTACAGTGATGATCCTGTAGATAGATATGATAGTAGTAATGTTTATATTGTATTACAGTGATGACCCTATAGATAGATATGATACTAAAGACGAAGATGATTGGGATAGAGATAGAAGACCAGCTAAAAATGAATTTAAGGATGATGATGAAGAATATACATCAGTTGAAAGAACACAAACAACCACAACAGAAAAAATTACCAAAAATAGAAGATCAACTCGTGATTCTAAAAGATCTCTAGATTTAGGTGCGGCATCAGGTTATGCTGATTCTAAGTCAGATTCTCAAGTAAGAGTTTTTTTATTATTTCAGTTTGTTTTTACTGTATTTGCTGTTTTTCACTACAAATAAATTTGTCTAAGAGTACAAGAAGATATAGTGAGAATAATAATAGAATATAACCACATAATATCAATGCTATTGAAAAGTAGGACGTTAAACCCCAGTTCATTTATTGTCCCCCGCCTTTCGAAGAAAGCAGGGGACTATTAAAATGGGTTCGTCCGTCTGTCTGTCTGTCTGTCCTTCCGTCTGTCTGTCCGTCTGTCTGTCCGTCCGTCTGTCTGTCCGTCACACTTTTTGGGACACAATAACTCTCTTCCTAATTGAGCTAGAATGTTCAAACTTGGTGTATGTGTTTATTAGGTCAATGCCTTGATGGAGTTCGAAGATGAGCATTTTCCGCTTAGGGTAAGCAGAGATAAGCAATTTGATTGGTTGATGCTTTGGGACACGATAACTCTCTTCCTAATTGGGCTAGAATGTTCAAACTTGGTGTATGTGTTGATTAGGTCAATGCCTTGATGGAGTTCGAAGATGAGCATTTTCCGCTTAGGGTAAGCAGAGATAAGCAATTTGATTGGTTGATGCTTTGGGACACGATAACTTTTAATTGAGCTAGAATGTTCAAACTTGGTGTATGTGTTTATTAGGTCAATGCCTTGATGGAGTTCGAAGATGAGCATTTTCCGCTTAGGGTAAGCAGAGATAAGCAATTTGATTGGTTGATACTTTGGGGCACGATAACTCTCTTCCTAATTGAGCTAGAATGTTCAAACTTGGTGTATGTGTTGATTAGGTCAATGCCTTGATGGAGTTCGAAGATGAGCATTTTCCGCTTAGGGTAAGCAGAGATAAGCAATTTGATTGGTTGATGCTTTGGGACACGATAACTTTAGTTCTAATTAAGTGAGATTGATGAAACTTGGTGTATAGATTTATTATATGAATACCTTAACTAAGTTCGATAATGAACATTTTTTGCTGAGGGTAAGCAGAGTGATAAGCAATTTGATTGGTAGAAACTTTGGAACACAATAACTCTCCTTCTAATTGAGGTAGAATGTTCAAACTTGGCATAGGTGTCTATTAGGTGAATGTTTAAACTTGATGTATATGTAGATGTTCATTAGGTGAATGTCTTGACTGAGTTCAATAATTAACATTTCGAGCTGAAGCTAAGCAGAGCTAATCGATTTCATTTGTCGATGGTTTGGGACAAGATAATCTTGATTCTATCTGATAGAGAGTGATGAAACTTAGTGAAAAAAATAAATGTGCGATTAATTAATATGTGTCATCTATTTATTTTGCAATTTCGGCGGGGGACATCAGCCTCACTGTTGGCTTGTTAATTACTAGCAGTATACCAGGCATTGCCCGGGGCCCAAATTCAATGGCCTAAACATTTACAGGGTCATGCTGGTTAATTTGATCAGCTTGATTTGCCTGGGGCACAAATTCGATGGCCCAAAACATTTACAGGGTCATGCTGTTTAATTTGATACCACATATGTGGAGGTGTATCGCAGGGACACACACAGACATCATTGATTTAATTTATATAGATTTAAGATATTGTGAGTTAAAGTTAGTGATGGTGATAAAAGCATGAGGAAGACGGTGGAGACTGATATAATCAGTAGCTTTCTATAGGTTTATTAGTTCCCTTATAACTTGATGTATTTATAGAATATTATGGTGTAGCACACAGTAGTACACAGTACACACCCTTCATTGTGTATTAAAGTATTGAAGGAGAACTGTTGCCATTGCAGATTATTTACATTTTCAACTTACAAGGTTGCCATAGTGTACAACAAAAAGTACAAAATCGCCTTACCTAAATTAACGCACCTGGTCAATTCAATTCCAGGGTACAGGTGGTTAGCACTGGGGTAATACAGTGATAATTCAACCTCGGTAGACCACCTCTGTATTTGAAAATTAATTTATATATTAAACTGCACTTGGTCAGCAGTATCCCATCTGTGTTGACCAAACACTAGCATCTAGCAGTTATCTACCAGTATGCTGCTGTAATTGATAATATTGTACATTCTTTGTTTCTGGAACCGCCAATAGACTATGAAATCAAATTTATTTTCTTTTTCTTGTAGAGTCAAAGTTCAGCAACAGATTCTGTACCTAATTTATTAGATATTGCACCGAACAAAACCTCATCTAGTGATTTTTTTGCTGATTTTCAAACAGCTAATGGTAATAGTAATAGCACAGATGATTTTAATCCTAGGGCAGTTGCAGTGCAATGTAAGTATTCTGACAATCTTTAGATAAATAAGATAAAAAATGATTAGATTATTATTACCCTTTTAAACATAGATCTGTATTTTAATCAGATTGATTGAAATGCATACATTTTATACTTTAACTTGAAATTGCAATGATATCTGAAAAGTTTGAATTTAATATTTCAGCTCCGAACTCCAATGACTTTGGTGATTTTACTCAGTTTAATGCTACAAGTCCTGTTGCAAATGGGTAAGATATTTTATACAAATGGGTAAGATATTTTATACAAATGGGTAAAATATTTTATACAAATGAAAACTATGGAATGAAATAAATGCAATTAACCTTACATTCTAATTACCAAAGTGAAGTATATTCCAATAGCATTTGTTAAATTCCTTGAACAACATTAAAACTTTGTATGACTCATAAATTCAAAGTTAAATATCTCAGCAGTGAAAAGAAGATTTGTATCAAATTTTACATTTAGTCTACTTTGAACCTGCTCATTGTACGTGACACTAGTCAAATTGAAATTTATCTTATTACCATGCAGCCAAGAGCTCCAAACAGCTAATGTCCAATTTGAATATATGTTTATAAAATTGATGTTAATTTTGCCTAACAGTGGATAGCAGCCTTTGAACACCTGTAAATAGAAATATCATCTTAAATTGTTGAAATGAAACCAAACACTAACTTAATATATTTATTTCAGTAATCAAGAAGATTTTGCTGATTTTTCCAAATTTGAAGCTGGTGCCCCATCTCCAACTAGTCCGCCTCCGTCGAGTGGGTCTGGTGATTTAATGGGTATGATGAGTTCGCCAACGGGTGCTCCTCTTCAACCTGTAGCTCCAGTGGGTCTAAGTACACCACCTATGTCCTCACCGTCCATGGTTCCTGGCATGATGCCAACGATGACTGGTAATAACATGATGAATCCAATGGGAACACAACCAATGATGCAATCCCAGATGCCTAATGCTGGCATGAACAGTCCAGTTATTAATCCCATGGCAGCCAAAACAAGCATGGGTATGGGAATGCCAATGGTAAGTTATTTTCTTTTAATTACGAGATAAAATAGCTGCTGCAAGAAACATACATTAAGGTCTATAATTCCCAGTGGATTACCCTGTAAAAACAAATAAGATAGAAATTACTTCAGTCTCATTAAAATGTTATCAAGATGTTATTTCTGTTGCTTTTATTTAGCTGATCACTTTAGTGTGTTGTGGGCATATGACGTATGGCAGCATAATACCTTGATTAGACAGGAATTAAAATTTGAGACAGAATCTTTCCTCTTCTCTTCTTCAAATCTCTTTAACCATATAATTGAAATATAATGATATTTTTATTTTCCAGATGGGACAACCTGGTATGCCTATGGGGGGACAGATGCCTATGGGGGGACCGATGCCTATGGGTGGACAGATGCCTATGGGAGGACAGATGCCTATGGGTGGACAGGTGCCTATGGGAATGATGGGTAATATGCAACAGGTAAGTGTCAGATATTATCATAGCTTGACAATTTGGTATATCTAAGTTGGAAGTAATGAATACAAGTCCCCTTATTCCTATCATTTATATTATAGACGTGGGTCATTCTCTTGGTAAAGACAGTATTTAGCCATACCTATTATTTAGTTTCCTATTTTGTTTTCCATCCCAGCCAATGATGATGAACCCCGGTATGATGCCCTCAATGCAGATGCCTATGGGTGGCGTTCAGACAGGAATGTCTTCAAACACTATGATTCCATCAACGGGGGGAACACCAAAAATGGTAAGCTGTGATATCTAATGCTAACAAAATGTACATATCTACAATCTAGACAGTACCATAGTTTTTATTTGTAAAATATAGTGAAGTAATCGAACTTAACAATTATTTATTACACATTGCATTATAAATTGTGTTTGATAACTGATGCTAGTGTTGGAACATTATTCTGGACTATCATCATTGTAGAATTCTCCTGTAGATTGCTAGTTCCTAGTGTACAATGTGCTTTTAGCTAGATGAATAAGTCTTGTTTTTGGTGATTGAAATATTATGTAGATATATATGTTAAGCTGGAAAAATACAGTTTGAATTTAATGCAATGAAAACAGAAATTTACGAATGAATTGAATTATACTGAGATGCAATGAAAACGCGGCATTTTTATATGAAGATGATTGTAGAAGACTCAAAGATGTGGCAAGATTAACTCAAGGGACTGTGCCATGACATCAATTCAAGAGGGCAGGAGTACCAGTGCCATTGCAGTAATGTTTGGATGCCATCACCCTACAATCCTGTATGTCAAGGCCCTGACCAGACTGGCACATTATCCATCTGTAGAATAGCATGCCGCCAGCTTACCATACTACATCTATTGTAAATGATCAACATTATTTCTTCTGTGCCAACTATGCTCTGCTGGAATGAATGCGAGGCAGACAGGTTAAAGCAATAGGGCGGTGTCTGCTTCTTTGAAGGATCCAGATTCCACCTGAGAAATACTGAGGGGAGTGTGTGAAGTTGCTTTGACGACTGCATTGTGCAAATGTGATGGAGTAATGGTTGGGATGGCATTAGCTACTATGACAGAACTGCACATATGTAGATGTAGAATGAGGAGTTGAGTCGCTAAATGTATTCAGCATTAGTTCATCATTTGTAGAACAGTATTGGACTTTGTCTCTCCAACAGTCCGTTTGAATAATCTCAAGCATGTATCATCCCTCTGTACCTACATTTCATTGTAAAGTAATGTTATCTCCCCTGTGAGTTGTAGTTCATTTTCACATTTCAGCTGCATCAAGCCTTGCCAGAGCCTTGCCAGCATTTCCAGTCAAATTTGTGTTGTTTTCATTGCGTCTCAGTATGTTTATATAGCTGCATATTTCAAATTATATTCACATATTTTCTAATTATATATCTGCATATTTCTTTTTCATCTCTTTATCCTAATTCTAATCTCTCTTTATACAGAAAACCACAGAATTTACTAGTTCCTCCAAGGTTTGTTTCTTTTACATTCTTATCTCTTGACTCTTTTCATACATTTTCTACTTTACTATGTCATTTATAGTCTATAGGTTGTAGTTGTAGAAATATTTATAGGGAATGGATTAGTTTACCCTGAATTATTTTATATCAAAAGGGAGCCACTTCGGGTTTTATCCAATGTTGGCTGAGAAAGTTCCTCTGGAACCTTATCCAGTGGTTAAGGATATACCTTAATGTATATCATAGGAAGTATGTTAAAGATATGACAGTTTAAGAAATGAAAACAAAAGAGTGTGCCACTGTTTCCAACTACATTACACATGTCTAGTTTCATTTTATACCAAAAGATGATCAAGTACATATACATATATAGTGCTTTGTGGCACTTTGTGAATCTTTTCTGTTTTTTTGTTTAATTTGCTGTGGAAAACCTCCCCTGAACATAACACTGAAAATCATGTGTACTTATCTGAAGGGGTTTATCCTTCATGCATACTTATATCAAGGGGTTTATCCTCCAGGGGAAAATAATGAGAATGAGTTTTCATTATAAGCTATGAAGTTTCATTCAAATCAAGTTAGTGTTAATGATCTGAATGTTTTATTTTAGAATACGTGGTCTGATTCCGGTGTAAATATAAATTTAGATACGCTTAACCCTGCTAATAGACAGCAAAAACCTTCTTCACCTAGCATGAACCAGTTACAACAACAACAAAATATGATGAATCCAGGTGAGACTTTACCTATGGAAAGTTGTATTACAACTTATAAAGATTATTCAGTATACAGTTAAATTGGTTGACTCTAGAATATAATGTAATATTTTTCACTGTTTAGCATTTAAAGTCAGTTAGCAAGTAATGCTTGGTTTCCCAGATTGTTTTTTTTTCTTGTCAAAATGAATGGGTAACATTTCTATACACTCTGAATTAAAATCGTTTAAAATCTAAGGACTTAATGTTTGAAGTTCTATGTGTGTTTTGTGAACCTGGGTGTGAAAGTCCTGTCATTTTAAAAAAAAACCAACACATACAATTAACAAGCTGTCGGTATTTTTCTCCTACTAACTAGGCTATGTTGTGTGGTACCCTGAAATGGGCTATACACCAGGTATTACTAACTATGTATTCACATCTTGAACTTCTTCATGGTCCATTTAACATGTTACATAAAGTGGATCCGGTCAAGGCAAAACAGTGTGATAGCTGCTGTCAAAAGTGAATTCTGTATAGCAAGATTTGCATTAGAGGATATGACACTTGTTAAAATGAACTGTGGAGAAGATTAAGATGGCCCATTAATTATACGTAGCATGATGTTTGTTGGTTAAAGGAACATTATATACTTAAACTTTCTGTCTGTCTAAGGATTAGATTGGGTTGGGGCTTTTTTTGTCCCCCGCCTTTCGAAGAAGCAGGGGACTATTAAAATCAGCCTTTCTTTCTGTCTGTCCGTCACATTTTTTGGAACACAATAACTCTCCTAATTGAGCTAGAATCTTCCAACTTGGTGTAAGTGTTTACTAGCTGAATGCCTTGATGAAGTTTAAAGATGCACATTTTTTGCTTAGGGTAAGCCGAGATAAGCAATTTGATTGGTTGATGCTTTGGGAAAGGATAGCTTTGGTTTTAATTAGGCGAGAGTGATGAAACTTGGTGTATAGTGTCATTACATCAATACCTTGACTAAGTTTATTAATGATCATTTTCTGCTCAGGGTAAGCAGAGCGATAACAATTTGATTGGTCGAGACTTTGGAGCTTGAGAAATTTGATTCTTATTGAGTGAGAGGGGTGAAACTCCTTGTGTATAGTTTCATTACATTAATACCTTGACTAAGTTTGAATGTGAGCTTTTTTTACTTGGGCTAAATAGATAACTTAAATCTGATTAGTCGAGACTTTGGAGCACAATAACTCTCCTTCTAATCGAGGTAGAATGTTTATGTGTAGGTGTTTATGTTCGATCATGCACATTTTTCACTAAGGCAAAGTAATGATAAGCAATTTGATTGGTCAAGACTTTGGAACATAACAACTCTGCATTTAATTGCAGTAGAATGTTTAAACTTGGTTTAGATGTTCATTAGGTGACTGTTTTGAATGAGTTCAATGATTAACATTTCCCGCTAAAGCTAAGCAGAGCTAAGCAATTTCATTGGTCGTTGCTTTGGGACAAGATAACTTTGATTCTAACTGATGGAGAGTAATGAAACTTGGTGTATAGTTTCACTACCAGGTAATCAGTTTGATTGCTTGATAAATGTGCAATTAATTAGTATGTGTCATCTATTTATTTTGTGATTGCGGCAGGGGACATCAGCCTCACTGTTTGTTTGTTTAGCATCTAGTGATTTTGTCCAGTATAGAAATTAGTTTCCATTATTAGATATCTTATTTTACAAATCTAATAATAACTATCTTGTCTACCAATTTTTTTTACATTACTAATCTATTCTAAGAACTGTATTTAAAGAAATCAAAAATATTTCCTGTGTAAAGTTGTGTTTTTGTGAATGTATAATATACATTATATTGATGAAAAAGGCATGTTAATCTATAATTAATTGATCAACTGCATCAAATTCTTGTTTCGATTAGTTGTCTGTTTAAACCCTGATTGATTACTGTTAGAATCTGTTTCAGGAATTTCACTGTCTTTAGAGCTAAACCTCTTTAGAACTCAGTATTTCCCATAACTCTCGAAATTAAAAACACAAATTAAAATTCAATATTGGTCTATTTGGACTTTGGACCCATTTTTGTCTACTTTAAAGTTAAAAAAAAAAAAATAGAGCCATACACCCTTTAAGTTGTCTTAAAGATTTTCCAATCTTCTAAGTTGTATACTTTTCCATTTTGTTGCACACAATATCTATTTCAGATTGTTCAATCAAAATATATTTTGTTACACAGAAATTATTTCCACAAATAGATTGTTAAATCAACCTTGAATTGCCTGATATTGGATATACACGTCTTTCTTGTTATTGAGATCTGAATTGCATGATGGTATTGTAGATGCACACTGTCAGGCTTGGGGTTTTATCATTTACACTTTTGTAACACTTTTCATCAAATCAGCTATGAACAGAGAGGCATCTGCATGTCATCAGTGAATGTTTTGTCAAGTTGCATGCAATGTTACAAATATACTGATTTATTGGAACTTGAAAGGAAACATATCCTGTAGGATTTTGATGAAAGGATGATTCACTTAATTATAACTGATACTTACATTCCCATTAACAAGCTGATCAATCAATTACAAGATTAACGGTTACAAGTTGACTGAAGATAACAGAATTTTAGGAAATTAATTCAATGCATCCTGAAGCTACTTGAATAATAACATTTAGTATTTCAAACATGGGTAGATGTGATTCCAGTTGCTACTGCTTGTGGTCAATGTTTTCAACAACCTGCTATTGATTTATTTGTATATTTTAGGAATGGGAGGTGGTGTTTATTCACAAGTTCCAACCAATCAGAACATGGGTCAGTTAAATCAAGGCATGTCTAATTTAGCTATGAGCAGTCAACCAAATCAGATGCGCATGATGTCACCAACCATGGGTAAATACAAATGATTTTTGAAGTCTTAATTTTTAAACTCACTGACTTTATTTCGTTTGAATAGATTTAGAACCATGGAATATTTCCTCCACATAAGTCATCAATCCATATTTAATTAATCTACTGCAGTTTTTGAAATATAATATTTGAAATAAACCTTTATTATCAGTTTGTCTTGTGGGCATGTACATGATATCCTTGTGTATATTTGCCTACTACAATCTGATATATGGACAGTAATATCATAACCTGTCCTTACTAATACTTATTCTATCAACTTACGAATCAATATAATTTGATAATACTTTTAGTGGACCTTCATTATCAAAGTGTTTTATTTTATGCTAATGAGTTTTCAAATGTGCAACAAGTAAATACATGTTTCTTTTTTTACAGGTATGGCAGGTATTCAACAACAAGGTATGATGGGAGGTATGGGTAATATACCTCAAGGCACTGTGGGTAGAATGTCAACTAGTACAACTGGGTCTTCATCATTTCAACAACGAACTGATGCAGCATTTGCTGCGTTCGGATCTATCGGAAAATAAAACTTACTGTTAGGAGATAATAAAATAAACATTCTAAAATATCCAGTTCATTCTATATAAAAGCCAAGCTTTAATTCCTCATTCTAATGGGTATATATATATATAGTGAATATCCACACTGTATTATCTATATGCCTACCATACATAGATTCCTGTATTTATAACATTCTGTGATCTATATATCTTGTGGGGGCTGCCATGTAGTCAACATATATTTGTGTGGAAAGTTCGTGATAGTGAAAATAACCTGTTGTTCTCTATGGGCATTCATGAATATTAACTAGACTGATGAGAGACCAATGGTTAGTCTATGTCTGTTACTATCATTCAAGAACACAACCCTAGTGTTTCATTTTGTGAATTTGTGAATTAAATAATGGCAAAAGTTGAATGTGATTAAAATCCATAGAATGCATCAATTCCTCTATTTATTATGTTTCATGATTTGTGTATGTCTCTGATGTAAACATGTATGTCTAATAGCAAATTGGCTGACTCTAATGTTTTTGTAGATGTATAGCTTAGGAACCACTTTCATGGTACATTGTTTCTAAAATACTTATATTTTCCCAAAGAGTAACTTTCATCTCAGAAAATGGAGTATCATGGAAGTGGATCCAGATGCCTGGAATAAATGAACAGAAGATAACTATTGTATTTAATATATGTAAAAACAGATTCCAAGAGTGTAAGAACAAAATATTGACATCATTCCATATGTATTCTATTCAGCAATTTCCTCATTCATTTCGATCTACAAAGTCTTATACATTTACTTTCCATAGAGATTTGTTATTGATGTGCAAGATTTATCCGCAAAATACATTTGTGGACGTATATTGCCGTCACCCCCGTCCGTCCGTCTGTCCGTCGTCCACAATTTCTTGTGAACGCTCTAATGCCAAAAGTTATCATCCGATCTTTCTGAAATTTACATGCATTATTTAAATTAGTGAAACGAAGAAGCCTATTGATTTTCGACAATTTCCGTTTATTACGTCTAGAGTTATGGCCCTTGCTTCACTTTATTGATCCTTGTGAACGCTCTCACGTCAAAAGTTATCATCCGATCTTTCTGAAAATTATATGCATTTTTTAGATTGCTGAAACGAAGAAGCCTATTGAATTTCAGCAATTCCCGTTTATTACGTCTAGAGTTATGGCCCTTGTTTCATTTTATTGATCCTTGTGAACGCTCTAACACCAAAAGTTATCATCCGATCTTTCTGAAATTTATGTGCATTATTTAGGTTACTGAAACAAAGAAGGCTATTGAATTTCGGCAATTTCTGTTTATTACATCTAAGAGTTATGGCCCTTGTTTCACTTTATTGATCCTTGTGAAAGCTCTCACGTCAAAAGTTATCATCCGATCTTTCTGAAATTTATTTGCATTACTTAGGTTACTGAAACGAAGAAGGCTATTGAATTTCGGCAATTTCCGTTTATTACGTCTAAGAGTTATGGCCCTTGTTTCACTTTATTGATCCTTGTGAAAGCTCTCACGTCAAAAGTTATCATCCGATCTTTCTGAAATTTATTTGCATTACTTAGGTTACTGAAACGAAGAAGGCTATTGAATTTTGGCAATTTCCGTTTATTACGTCTAAGAGTTATGGCCCTTGTTTCACTTTATTGATCCTTGTGAAAGCTCTCACGTCAAAAGTTATCATCCGATCTTTCTGAAATTTATATGCATTATTTAGATTGCTGAAACGAAGAAGCCTATTGAATTTCAGCAATTCCCGTTTATTACGTCTAGAGTTATGGCCCTTGTTTCACTTTATTGATCCTTGTGAACGCTCTAACGCAAAAAGTTATCAGCTGATCTTTGTGAAATTTATATGCATGATTTAAATTAGTGAAATGAAAATGCCTATTGAATTTCAGCAATTTACAATAATTACTTCTAGAGTTATTGCTCTTATTTCACTTTGTTAAACCTTGTTAATGCTCGATTGATAATCCGATATGTATGAAATTTATATGCATCATTTAAATTTGTGAAACAGGTCTATTGAATTTCAGCAATTTCCGTCAATAATTTCTAGAGTTATGGCGATTGTGAACGTTTGAATGACAAATGTGATCTGTATGAAATTTGTATGCATTATTTAAATTAGTAAAACGAAAAAGCCTGTCAAATTTCAACAATTTCTGTAGATTACTTCCAGAGTTGAGACCCTTGTTTCAGTTTGTAGAACCTTGTAAACCCTCAAACGACAAAATTTATAATCTGATCTGTATGGAACTGTCTTGTAAAGGCTCCCAATTACCACAAAGGAATAAATATGCGACAACCCTTGACAACCGCTCGGACGATTTAGCTGCTGTGGGCGTATGTTTTGTTGCCTGGCAACCTATCTTTATATGGATGTGATATTGATAATGAACAATATGTTTATTATACATAATATATTAAATATAACCAGAAGATCTCCTATATATATAATGTATAATGACGTACCAGAAAATATTTTCTAAATATTACCATTATATTAACTGTTACTTTAACTAGTCTATTTAGATGAATTTATTTCAACAGTATTTTAATATGTATACTTAAAGGTCAACATATCAAATTCATTGTTTCTGTCTGTAGCTGTTGTACCTAGTAGTATCAGAATAGTCAAATATTATTATGGTGCATTTATACTTATAGTAAATGTGAATTTTATGTTTGAAAGTATATAGATGTTTTATAAATGACATATAAGACTGTATTATTAATATCAGTATTGATATTAACCCCAGGGTTTATCTGTTTTTATCTGGTATCAGGTAATTAATACATTTGTTTCAGATGAATACCTTACTAATTACAATATTGTGGTATTTGATTTTGATTTCTTAATTGGATGTTAAATAATCGATCAAAGTGCATATTTAGCGTGTATTGATAATCAGTAAGAAATTTGATATTTTAACGAAAAAGCAAACACTGCATCAAACTTTTAATATTACTGTTTAAAACTGATATATTAGTTTATAGATATCAACTATTGTATAAAACTCAGACAGGTTATTGTTTGTAAAACAGATATAAACTATTGTATAACTATCTGCTGTATTATTACTATAAGCACTTATTATATAGCATTGTTTATACGGTGTAAAATATACATGTAATTTGTGATTTATATCACAGATTTTCTGAATGATGTGCCATTTCAACCGCAAAAGATGTTCTATCTTAAAATTCCTGGAGATAAATGTAGCTTTCATTTGAACAGCTTATGGTAGCTATTCTGACCATCTGTCTGCTGTTATAGTTAATTACGCAAATGCATATCCTACAGCAAGCTGCCATTTACGCCAGGAGCTAATAAAAAGCATGTGATAAGGTAGATGAGCTGACAAATGTGAGCTACTTTGGGAGGAGGAGAATTTAAACTAGCTTAAATTAACATAACTGGTGTTTTTAAGATATCTTAACTGTGTCCGTCTTAATGGGATAGTAATTAGACTCCTGCAATATGTGATGCATGCAGGTCAGTTATATAATGATACTCAAATAAATTTTCTATTAATATTTCTCTTGTTCTTATAGCGAGGTATAAAATTGTGTAAAAGGAATTTATGTGAACATATTATGAATGTTTGAATATATATATATATGGTATTGTCAAAGATTTAATGTATATAGGTGAACATGAAAAACAAAATATAATGTATAATATAGTTTTGTAACATATTTCAAATTCAAGGTACAATATTGGATTTATGACAAAAAAATGATCTGCTATTTTTATTTATTTGGTTTTAATACCACTTTGATAAAGATAGTCTTAATTAATAGTAGAAGTGGTATCTATTATATATTAAATAGAACATATACATGACGATTCACTAATATCTAGTAATTTTGTAATCTCTACTTAATGGTCTTATGTATTATGGGGAAACTGCATCATTAAGGAAATTGCTAGTACAAGTAGAGTAATATTCATGTGTATTTCAATCAATATTACCAAGGGTTTACATTCAAACTTCAAATTTAAATTATTTTTTTGTGTGTGTGGTTGTTTCATAAAAATCATGAGCAAATTTTTAAAATTTGAAAATTGATACATACCAGAATTTTTAGACATCTCTCAATGTTGTTATGATTGATTTTAATGTGAATAAACTGAGGGTGAAACATTTTGTACAAATTTTTCGCATATTGATTCTAAATCTGTATATTATATTATTTGTTATTATATATGTATATATTCTAAGTTGTAATATTTTAAATGATTAATTATTAAAATATGGTTATCTAAAATTCTTAACACATTGTTTTACTTGGTGGATCACCACAGAATTACAATTCCAATCTGATTCCCTATTTTCCTCTGTCAGAAAACTCCTTTACAGTAAAAACCAAAAGGATGGGTTATATTTATTTCCATTTATTTATATATATGCCAAGCCTCAAATCAGTTTCACACAATTATAGTCACTAAATAAACGATCATGTACTTAATAAGCTATGACCATTAATCATCTATAAATAATAGACTGAATACTGGTTCCAAGTGTCGTCCATAACATCCAGACACTTTTGAGTAAAAGATAGGTTACGTGCCCTTGTTTTGAAATTAGTCTCGCTTAACCAGTCCATCGACCATTCTACGTCTGATTGACAAGTCGGGATAATCAAGACTACTTTTTTACGAAACATAACAGAAAGCTAGAACAAGAAATTGAATTTAGAAATAAGCACTTTAGCCAACTCAACAATTGTTTTAAGAAACTTGTAAAAGTAAAATGAAACTACTGCTAGTATCATGTTCCTGCTAACGAAAGTGATTCAGAGATATTATTTGTACTAGCCTAAACCAAAAGATGCCGCTCTTAACGGTACAGTTAATGATAAAGCAATTTAAAAATTAAAACAAAGGTAATTTCTAAAGCTGCTGTAAAAACCAAGAAGCTAAATTTTACTGCTATTCAAATTCGTCAACAATCGATTTTTTACGGCTGTAATAGTTGATATATTTGTAGAGAATTGCACGTGCCATGGCTATTTATCGACTCAAAGAGAGTGCGGGGTAGTCAGAAATCAGTTCGAGACACGCAACTGAAGCGTGCACATTTAGCCGTGTCGAGACCAACTTTCTGTAGAGTACACGGGTCACCCTACTGTTGAAACCCAAAAAAATAAAAGCTGCTCGTTACAACATGGATCGTATTACAGTTCTATGGTTACAATTGGTCTCCCGACCTAATATTTTCAGGGGCATCACGTTAAATGGAGTTGTCTCCCTTGTATCAACTATTGATTTGGTGGCCATCGTCTACAATGGACCTAACCTTGTTCAGCTCTGGGCCCTTATTCACGAAAACTTAAACTAAAATACAATCAAAATTTTAAGAAATACTGCAATTCGATTGGCTGACCAGTAAAATCAATTTGCATATATCCAATGAAGTTGCAGTATTTCTTAAAAGTTCGGTTGTAACTTAGTTTAAGTTTTCGTGAATAAGGGCCCTGAACGTTCAGGAACCGGCCTATTGACTCCTTGTCGAAAACATTTCAGTCCCCAGTAAATCTTACTGAGCAACTGTTTACGGCTAAATGGTCCCGTGTCAGTACCTATGAACGCCTTTACAGTGTAAAGGAACATTTTAGTGAGAAAATAAGACAAAACTTACCTCGCTATAGTCAATATGTGCGACACAACATGCCGTTAAAAATACGTCCTCTTCTGCTAAACAGCTTGGCAGACGCCATTGAAATCTAAATATAGGGTAACGCACAAATTTACGTATCTCGGCCATATAAGACGAAATGAAATTTAGGTAAGCTGGTGAATCAAAATTGGAATTTATGAAAAAATTCGACTGTAATTGGGCTAGGCAAAACAATAAATGATTGAAGATTCTCAATTTCTAAAGATTCCAACTGTTCCCCACCCCACCCCTCGCCTATGTAAATTTCGTTTTTTCATATATGGCCGAGTTACGTAAATCTATGCGTTACCCTGTATTTAGATTTCAATGGCGTCTGCAAAGCTGCCTAGCAGAGGGAGGGGGGGGGGTATTTTTAACGGCATGTTGTGTCACACATACATGAGTTTCCCGGGGACTAACACCCGATCGTTTAGCCGTAAAAGATTTACTGGGAACTGAATTTTTTTCGGGGCGATTTAATGAACTTCTAAAACAATGTTATGAATTAAGACAAAAATAAAAGGTGTTTAATTCCTATTTAGTGTAAATGGGTATATAAGATATTACGCCGAGGCGTAAAATACTAAAATGACTACGATTCTGTTCGGTCCATTTTGTATTACTAACGTCAATTCTCGTTTCTTTGGGTTCTTTTTTTGTGGAGTTGAACGCTTTCTTCTACATGTGACAACCTCTTTCTCAAAAAGCATGTACGAGGTTCACAAAGGAAATCTTGAGATACAAAAACTGGAAGTAGCATACTATTAAACATGCAACTGTCGATCCTGTATATTTTAACGTAACCAAACTCTTAACCCTCTTGTCCGTCGGTTTCAAATTCATGACTTCGCTCAAATCTGGCAGAAAATGTTATTCAAACCATTTTCTTCCACTGTACACCAAAAAGTCGCCATGCAAACAGGGAGAAAAGGAAATGGGGGAAGACCATAATAGTCATCTAGAAGATTTTCGTATTACAACTATGAAACGGTTTGAGTCATATTGTAATAAAGTAATGAGGTAATTGGTAAATATATAACAAACAAATCCAAAACAGTTATACTGCTCTGCGAAATCAATGCTTATATGAGCTTAACCTTTTTGAATTTGACGATTTTGTTAAAATGCCATTTAAAAAGACAAAACATATCCTATAATATGTCTTCCGTTATTTTCCTGCTTCAATGATTTGGAGAAACTTCGGGCCAGATATTTCATTGATTTCACAAAATCCCTGAAGATTTTAGGGATTTCAAGAAATGAGAGCGGAACGGGTATTTAATGACAGAAACTGTTGTTGGCGGTTAAAGGAAAATATTTCAATGCGGGCGCAAATGATGTAAAGTAAAAACGGTTACACATGTTACTGAAACATTCCTAAGTGATTACTATTGTGAAGTAAAGCTCGAATACTTTAGTTATTCTTTACTCAGTATCGGTTAAGAAAGCGTAATATATATTGCATATTAAGAATATTGGCGTTAGTTTATAGACTGACTGGAGATATGAATATAGATCAAGAACCAAATAATGTAAAAAATAAATTATCTTCACGTGCAAATCAGTGGTATCTAAATTCCCGATTAAGGTGGATTACTGCAGCCTTGGGAACATTGCTAGCTTATTTTAAACAATGAAGCATAATATGTACCCATTGATGCCGGCCGGCATCGAACAGAAACATATAAAGAAGCATTTTCTTCAGGCGCTTTAATGTTTCGATGCCTACCGAACCTGTCTCAAAATATATATTTTTATGTTTTGAACGGCAACTATCTAAGTTGTAAAATGTCCTAATTTGCCAACACAAAAATGAAACCCCACTGCTATTGCAGAACTTTCACAAAATGTGGACGGATTTCCCAGAAGGGATATAAATAGTCTTATTTTTAGCACAGTCTAAATTCAGTTACAAAGATATGTAAAACAGCTAGTCACAAGTGAGGCGTTGATTATGAAATTTAGAATTTCCGAGAATTTGTAAACACCGACATCTTGGAACTATACACCTACAATTTCTAACCTAAATATTTTACCTAAATCAAAGAGGAGCCTTAATTGTATGTTAAACATTGGCCTATATATCATTATTTTTCATTCTGCTTTGTAGATTGTTGCAATGGAGTTTTTTTTGTCAGAGCAGTTGACGAACTCTCACCGTGTGTTTACCGAAACAAATTTCTCACTGTTTTAATGTTCAGCCAATCTTTCATTCGTTTAAATGCGAGAAACAATTTTAGCCATACAAATCTATTTTGAAAGGGACAATAACACTCTTGCTGGCTTGACAGCTCCAGAAAATAAAAAATAGCCTTATTCTTTGTACTAGATGTGTTAGTGTCCTACCTTTTGTGTAAATTATCCATTAAATCCTATTTTACTTGTCCAGAGGGTTCAAAAATATTTTTAAATCCAAGTCACATTTGAATAGCTTTACGTCAGGCTTTTCAAATCATTTAGTTGAATTTTTCCATTTTTTTAATTTAGGTGTGTTAAGATGAAATTTGTATCATCAATTAATTGGAATATTGTAAATTAGTACAATTTGTTGACCAGAATAAAGATTGGGACATATTATTCAGTTACAACAAGAGTGGTATTGAGCCATTAACAAAATGTAGATCAAGCGACATGCTCATCAACTATGCAACTAAAATCTGTATTGATACCCCAATCCCCACCCCGTGCATCGCTTGTAATTCTCACCGATAATCTGGCTGTTTAATTTAACACATCTAGAATGGTTCCCTAGTTAATATATTGTAGTCCTTTCAAAGCATCGGTTTCAGAAGTTTTTATTATCGGGTTTCAAACTCAAGTTCCATTTCCATGACCATCACTAAAATCTACTAATGATGAATTATTTATCGCATATTGGATGGAAAGGATATAAAACGTGTCTATAAAAGTTAGTCCGCGGCAATGAGTAAATATTGACAAATGGAAAGTGTTACGATAAATATCGTTACACGATTATATCTAAGATCATATCATAAGTTATCAATTTTTATCATGATTATAGAGGAAGAAGAAGTCGGTCTTTGGGTGTTAAATATAATACTACCACCATCTTAATGTGTCTATGTACAGTTTAATGGTTCTGTATCAGGCTCGTATCACAGTGCGATTAATTTTTTCATATCACTTAAAGTTGATGTGAGACATTTTCTCGATCAAGACATTAAATCGGCCTGGATACGAGTAATACTTTGCATCTGTTTTTTAAAAAATGATCCACCACACCACCCCGGGATACGTTATATGAGTATCCTAATTTAAAAAAGTAAATCGAAAAAGTATGTGTGTATACGTTATTAAAAAATGATTCTAGAATTTAGTAAATCGTTGCTTGGTTTAAAGGAAGCTAATTTACGAACCGCCAAAGAAATTTATACCACACCCAGCAATATAATTACAGTGAAATAAGGAGATACATGTTACAAAGATGACGGGAACCAGCTTACGTACATCGTATCGTATATTCCAAGAAGCGGTATAATTCTTGTGCAAAGTACCATTAATACGTCGATACCTTGCTATGTGATATTACCTTGCCGAATTTGGATAGAACTTACTGACCCGTCTTCATTAACCCAGTTTAGGAGCAGAACAGTAG